GGTGAATAGCTTCCAGAATCTCTCTACTCACTCCGTCAGTGGTGAATAGCTTCCAGAATCTCTCTACTCACAACGTCAGTGTTGAATAGCTTCCAGAATCTCTCTACTCACAACGTCAGTGTTGAATAGCTTCCAGAATCTATCTACTCACAACGTCAGTGTTGAATAGCTTCCAGAATCTCTCTACTCACAACGTCAGTGTTGAATAGCTTCCAGAATCTCTCTACTCTACCGTCAGTGTTGAATAGCTTCCAGAATCTCTCTACTCACAACGTCAGTGGTGAATAGCTTCCAGAATCTCTCTACTCACAACGTCAGTGTTGAATAGCTTCCAGAATCTCTCTACTCACAACGTCAGTGGTGAATAGCTTCCAGAATCTCTCTACTCACAACGTCAGTGTTGAATAGCTTCCAGAATCTCTCTACTCTACCGTCAGTGTTGAATAGCTTCCAGAATCTCTCTACTCACAACGTCAGTGTTGAATAGCTTCCAGAATCACTCTACTCACTCCGTCAGTGTTGACTAGCTTCCAGAATCACTCTACTCACTCCGTCAGTGTTGAATAGCTTCCAGAATCTCTCTACTCACACCGTCAGTGTTGAATAGCTTCCAGAATCTCTCTACTCACACCGTCAGTGTTGAATAGCTTCCAGAATCTCTCTACTCACTCCGTCAGTGTTGAATAGCTTCCAGAATCTCTCTACTCACACCGTCAGTGTTGAATAGTTTCCAGAATCTCTCTACTCACAACGTCAGTGTTGAATAGTTTCCACAATCTCTCTCCTTCTATTATCGAAATGATACTCTGTTTTGTGACACTGTCCATGTTATCACAAGGAGCCTAGAGGTATAGCAGCAGCTAATCTATTCCCCTGCTCCTATTTTGGAGGTACTGATCATAGTGGTGACGGTAGTTTAAGTTGTGGGGATGATGATGATGATGATGATGATGGCGACAATGCTGGTAGCAACGACAAAGTTGATGACATTGAGGGTAGCTGTGGTGTTGACAGAATTAACAAGATATGTATCGTGTTGACAGAACTGACAAGATATGTATCGTGTTGACAGAACTGACAAGATATGTATCGTGTTGACAGAACTGACAAGATCTGTATAGTGTTGACAGAACTGACAAGATATGTATCGTGTTGACATAACTGACAAGATATGTATCGTGTTGACAGAACTGACAGGATATGTATCGTGTTGACAGAACTGACAGGATATGTATCGTGTTGACAGAACCGACAAGATATGTATCGTGTTGACAGAACTAAAGAGGTAGCCGCAGTGTTGACAGAACTAACAAGATATGTATCGTGTTGACAGAACTAACAAGATAGCTGCAGTGTTGACAGAACTAACAAAATATGTATCGTGTTGACAGAACTAACAAGATAGCCGCAGTGTTGACAGAACTAACAAACACGACTGTCTCTGCCAGGTGGTTTGTGGTTCGAAGTCCCGAACCCAAGGAGCCGCCCCCGGAGATCAAGAGGGCCAAGAAACCGCCCAAGAGAAGGGCAGCAAAGGTGACGTCCTAAATATCTGAACACAATGTCCACATGACATCTGGAAACATCATCCACGTGACATCTGGACACAATATTCACATGACATCTGGAAACATCATCCACGTGACATCTGGACACATAATCCGCATGACATCTTAACACAATATTCACATGACATCTGGACACATCATCCACATGACATCTGGGCACAATATTCACATGACATCTGGACACATCATCCACATGACATCTGGACACAATATTCACATGACATCTGGACACAATATTCACATGACATCTGGACACATCATCCACGTGACATCTGGACACAATATTCACATGACATCTGGACACAATATTCACATGACATCTGGACACAATATTCACATGACATCTGGACACATCATATCATGACATCTTAACACAATATTCACATGACATCTGTACACATCATATCATGACATCTGAACACAATATTCACATGACATATGTACACATCATATCATGACATCTGGACACAATATTCACATGACATCTGGACACATCATATCATGACATCTGGACACAATATTCACATGACATATGTACACATCATATCATGACATCTGGGCACATCATCATCCACATGACATCTGGACACAATATTCACATGACATCTGTACACATTATATCATGACATCTGTACACATCGTCATCCACATGACATCTAGACACAATATTCACATGACATCTGTACACATCATATCATGACATCTGAACACAACCTTCACATGTCTTAAAGTGCCTTTTGTTGAGCATATTTCTTTGCAAACTTGCCCTTCCATGTTCAAGTGCTCTATTCATGGGGTACTCAGCATTTCTCCCCCTCCTCCTTCTTCATCTTCCTCTTCCTCTTCTTCTTCTTCTTCTTCTTCTTCTTCTTCTTCTTCTTCTTCTTCTTCTTCTTCTTCTTCTTCTTCTTCTTATTATTATTATTATTATTATTATCATTATCATTATTATTATTATTATTATTATTATTATTATTATTATTATTTTGGTTCTTCTAGTTCTTTTTCTTTTTATTCTTTTTTCTTCTTCTTCTTTTTCTTCTTCTTTGTTTCGTATATATTTTTCCCACTGTCCCTCTTTTTGTCTCTCTTTTTGTCTCTCTCTTTCTCTCTCTTTCTCTCTCTTTCTCCCTCTCTTTCTTTCTCTCTATATAACTCTCTCGCTTTCTCTCTCTCTTTCTCTCTCTCGCTTTCTCTCTCTTTCTCTCTCTCTCTTTCTCTCTATATCGTCTCTCTCTCTTTCTCTCAATATCGTCTCTCTCTCTTTTCTCTCTCTCTCTCTCTTTCTCTCTCTTCCTCTCTATATCGCCTCTTTCTCTCTCTCTTCCTTATATCGTATCTTTCTCTCTCTCTCTTTCTCTCTATATCGTCTCTCTCTCTCTTTCTCTATCTCGTCTCTTCTCTCTATCGTCTCTTTCTCTCTCTCTTTCTCTTTTTATCTCTTTCTCTCTCTCTCGTCTCTTTCTCTCTTTCTCTCTCTCTCTCTCTCTCTCTCTCTCTCTCTCTCTCTCTCTCTCTCTTTCCACGCAAACGCACATCTACATAGTAGTACGTGATACTGGATGATTCTGCTGCTAACATTTGACACGATAGGTTATATTTCTGCCAACGATTCTACCTGCAGACACATGGACAGACCCAGAAGAGAGAGAGAGAGAGAGAAGAGGGAGAAGCAAATGGATAGGGAAAAGGGCAGACTAGCACAGGCAGTCAAATAGGCGGAAAAGCAGATTGACAGATGTCAGACAGACATATACCTTAAGAAATAGATATGAAAATAAGTATGTAGGTAAACAGGTATGTAGATAAGTAGGTAGGTAAATTAGTATGTATATAAATAAGTAGTTAAAGGGTGTGAATATAAGAATATATGTGTGCGTGCGCGCGCGCGCGCGTGTGTGTGTGTGTAGATAAATGGGTGCGCATTGAAGTATGTGGTTCATTAAACAAACAGGCGAGCTGTTGGTTAAATAATAAGTAGATAGGTTGGTAGGTAAGCATCTAGATATGAAGGTAAACGGAGAACTTGGCGCAAAGGTAGGAAAAGAGATGATGATGATGTCAGGTAGTGCTTGGTAATGACAACCAAATAATTATTGTGGCAAGACTGTGACAGGCAAACTGGCATCCACTGTGACACACTGACGCTAACTCTCCACAGATGGCCAGATACAAGAAAAATTTGAGCGAATTTTCCAAGAAGGTGCCGTCGGAGCAGCGACGAAAGCCCAGCGGGAGAGTCGCCGATGGTGTCCATCCTGACCAGTGAAATAAGCATGTTCATCTGTAGGACAGACGGACACGTACTCGCTCACACACACACTCACTCACTCACTCACTCACTCACTCACACGTGCAAACACGCTAACGTCGTAGATGAGTTGTAGCAGTGAGTAATTTGTGACTAACTACTGTTCTATAAAGGCATCATTGTCTTCTAACTGCATTGAACATACTTGGAGAATCTCAACACAGTGCACGAAACTCCGAGCACCACAAGTGTATGTATACACCCGAGCCACCGCTACCGTTTTGTGTGGTTTTATTCTTCTTGTTTGTTTGTTGTTGATTTTTTTCTTCCAATTTTGTTTAGGCTGTTTAAGCAGAATACAACTAATAGAGCTTATTTTGTCTGTTTTATTTAATGTGCCCCGACCTCATCCTTATTTAATTGCCGGTATAACACAAGTAGCATCGCCCATAAATGTAAGCCGGTGAAAGTCTTAGTTGAATTTTTCTTTGTTTTGTTGTTGAGCCAACGGGTTCACTTTTTGTATTGTTGTTGATTAAATTAAACCTGTTCAAGCTAGCTATGTCTTTCGTTTTTTATTTTACTTGTGTCTGCATGCTTAGGTTTTTTCCAGTTGTAGAGGCAGGCGAGAGTAACACGCCATCACTTACAGATTACCTGTTATAAACAAACATTCATCGTCATATAAATAAATCTTTATATATTGTTTGTAATGTTTTTACAAACTCAAAGGTTGTACGTGTGTCTATTTCTGTGTATTTTGTGCACCAAGCACTGAGCATGAGCACTAAAGTCCTCACAGGTAATTTTTGGCCTCCCTCATAGTTGCAAACCTGGCAACATTTTATTGAGTCATCAAAACAGGCAAGAACACAATATTTGGAACAGTCAAGTCGAAAAGAGATGTTTCTTTTGAAAAGAAATGTGGTGTCCAGCGCCGTCTTAACATCATTATGGGCTCCTGGGCAAACCTGTGGACTAGGGTCCCTACAAATGAAAAGACAATTGTAGATAATATAAAACACTTTTTCAGATGAGCAGGAGCCCTTATGCTTGTGAAGACTCCAGACAATTAAGACGGTTCTGGTGATGTGGGAAACGGAGTCCGGATGCCTGACCGAACTTCTCGTACACAGGAGATCTCCAGTTAGGACACTATTGAAGCTCTGGGTAGGAGATACATGGAAACACAATTAAGCAGTCTTTGTCCGATATTAGGGTTTGTGATCCGATTTGCGAAGGTGTATTACCATTCGGAAATAGGTGGAAGCAGAGGAAGGAGAAGATAAAGTGGGCACACACTAGTCTACACAGAGATCAGATTCATACTCGTGCCAGTTGGTGCAGGCGGGAAAGGAAACGAGCAAGCTGATAAGCTTGCAGGAAAGGCTATTGTGATGGGTGGACGAGCCACGGATCAGGCTGATATACTGAAAGCTTTAGTCCTTATGTTCCGGCTAAATGGCTATACAAATCATCATACCTGGTGATTTGTATAGCCATTTAGCTCCACTTGGATACCAGAGGGTAAGATAAAAACAGGGGCTCCCCCCAAAAAAACTTGTAGACGAACGATTTAAAGTGACCTGAGTGTGGCATCTCTGACATGGAAAACTGTATTGAAGTTTGCACAGGACAGAAAAGCATGGAAAGTCCTCTCTGAAGCATTATGTGCCACTAGGCATAAAGAAAATTGATGATGATGATGAAACATGATGATGATGATGAAACATGATGATGATGGCGGTGAGACTCTCTAGAGCCGGAGGTAGAGATGGTGCGAGCCAACATGACGTGGAGAGAGCAGACAGGCCGCCGTTGCGGTGTCCGTCGTTAGTTGGTCAGCTCACGGTTTGTTTGTGGACTTGTCTACATCCCCAGACATGGCAGCTTTGCTTTCAGCGATCAGCCTCCTTAGTATCTGCAGGCAGACACTCTTGCTTCTTCTGTGTATCTGTATCAAGACTATTTGCTCTTCCAGTAAGTTATTTGTAATTGTCACGTCTTGTTGTCAGTTAAACTGTAGCGGAACCAGTGCCAAGCAAGTTGGTCACAAATCACAAACTTCCTGTAGTTCATGTTTTAAACTTTTAAAATAAGAGTGTATTTTCATTGTCCAAAACAAAATACGGCAAACGAACTAGAATCTGTTTATAAACAATTGATAGGTATTCTGAGCAAATGGCTTTAACTGTGAAAAATAAGACGCTGCACAGAGCATGACTAGCTAGACCAAGGATAGTTTCTTCAGGAAACTGTTTAGCTACACTAATAATATTAATATTAATAAAGTGGGAAATACTCATAAACTAAAGATTTGTCAAAATAAACATCTGATCCTGCATATATTTTGGCCAAGCAAGATCACAGATGAATACCTGAGGAAAGAAACAAAATGTTCATCACTGGCAAATGTTATCAAAGGAAGGAGATGGAGATGTTTGCAGAATGCCTCATGATGCTCTGGCAAGGACAGCAGATGGAAAAAGGAGATAGGGACAACCTAAGGAAACCTGTAGAAGAACAGCAGATGGAAAAAGGAGATGGGGACAACCTAAGTAAACCTGTAGATGGACAGTAGATGGAAAAAGGAGGTAGGGACAACCTAAGGAAACCTGTAGAAGAACAGCAGATGGAAAAAGGAGATGGGGACAACCTAAGGAAACCTGTAGAAGGACAGCAGATGGAAAAAGGAGATGGGGACAACATAAAGAAACCTGTAGAAGAACAGCAGATGGAAAAAGGAGATGGGGACAACCTAAGGAAACCTGTAGAAGGACAGCAGATGGAAAAAGGAGATGGGGACAACCTAAAGAAACCTGTAGAAGAACAGCAGATGGAAAAAGGAGATGGGGACAACCTAAGGAAACCTGTAGAAGAACAGTAGATGGAAAAAGGAGATAGGGACAACCTAAGGAAACCTGTAGATGGACAGTAGATGGAGAACTAAAGGGATACAGAATAACATGGGAAACATGGGCAGAACATCGGCAGACTGGCAGCTATGGGAGATCTCATGTGGATGCCTTCTTTGTCGGTGGTGACAGGGAGACGTGGCCAGAACATCAGCAGACTGGCAGCTATGGGAGATCTCATGTGAATGCCTTCTTTGTCGATGGTGACAGGGAGACGTGGCCAGAACATCGGCAGACTGGCAGCTATGGGAGATCTCATGTGGATGCCTTCTTTGTCCATGGTGACAGGGAGACGTGGCCAGAACATCGGCAGACTGGCAGCTATGGGAGATCTCATGTAAATGCCTTCTTTGTCCATGGTGACAGGGAGAGGATACAGAGAGATGACAGTCACCCTCTTATTTTATTAACATGACTGATTTCAGCACTTGACATCATAACACCAAGGGTATACCCGTAGATGCTGTGTCTTCTATCCCAAATGTCTTAAGGTATAGATACTAACTGTTCTCATAGCACACTGATTGTACACATGTTGTACGCTTCCTCTCTTTATCCTTTCTTGTCATATCCACACTTAATTCTAAATTCACACATTCTCAAGAGACTTGAGTACTCTTTCAATATTCAATGGCTAAATGAGACATGTTTGAATTCATGTCCTTGTTTATAGTCTGTAAGTTACTGCCTCTTAACGAATACACCATTTTGTCTATCTGTACAGATTTTGGGTATGACTTTGTGACTTGTGGCTCAGCACTCAAGATTTTGAATGTAGCTGGAAATGTGAGACTGCACTCCCACGATGTCAAGTATGGGTCAGGAAGTGGTCAGCAGGTATGATGATGACCAGTGGTCTATGCAGCTTCTATGTATGATTGATAGCTGTCGTTGATGAAGTACTAGATGGTGACCTGCTCTAGGGTGTGTCTTCCATGTATGATTGATAGCTGTCGTTGATGAAGTACTAGATGGTGACCTGCTCTATGGTGTGTCTTCCATGTATGATTGATAGCTGTTGTTGAAAAAGTACTAGATGGTGACCTGCTCTATGGTGTGGCTTCCATGTATGATTGATAGCTGTAGTTGATGAAGTACTAGATGGTGACCTGCTCTATGGTGTGGCTTCCATGTATGATTGATAGCTGTAGTTGATAAAGTACTAGATGGTGACATGCTCTAGGGTGTGGCTTCCATGTATGATTGATAGCTGTAGTTGATGAAGTACTAGATGGTAACCTACTCTAAGGTGTGGCTTCCATGTATGATTGATAGCTGTAGTTGATGAAGTACTAGATGGTGACCTGCTCTATGGTGTGGCTTCCATGTATGATTGATAGCTGTAGTTGATGAAGTACTAGATGGTGACCTGCTCTAGTGTGTGGCTTCCATGTATGATTGATAGCTGTAGTTGATAAGTACTAGATGGTAACTTGCTCTATGGTGTGGCTTTCTTTTTTCTTCTTGTTAGTATTTACCAAATGTGAACTCCAGTGGAAAGTTCTGGTTGTTTATCTATTTCTGGACTTTAGTCTTGTTCCAGATCTTGAGTTTTGTGTACACAGCAATTTTACAGATCTGGTTAATTTGTAAACAGACTGTTGGTTCCTCACCTCTCAGGCAGATGCACTCTGACTTCAGATGAAACTTCTTTGTATGATCAGTTGCTGAATCTCTCTTAGGTTTGACTTTCATGTGTGTCCGGTCTGTTGTGTCCAGTCTGTGTGTGTAGCCAATGTTTCACTGATATATTTTCCCTTGCCCAATTTGTGTGTCCAGCCAATGTTTCACTGATATGTTTTGTCTTGCCCAGTCTATGTATCTAGCCAATGTTTCACTGAAATGTTTTGTCTTGCCCAGTCTGTGACCGGTGTAGATTCCTCAGATGATCACAACAGTTACTGGCAGGTGCATGGCAAGACTGGAGCTCACTGTGTACGCGGGTATGTCAACACTTGTTTGTATGTCTGTCTGGGTACTCAGTCTTCATTCTCATACACATTTATTCACAAATGTTACCCCTTTCTTTCTTCTCTACCTTAGAGCTACCTTACAGTCTTGTTTAGCCTTTCCTCTTCTACCCTGAGATGTAAGACATACCTTACAGTCTTGTTTAGTCTTTCCTCTTCTACCCTGGGATGTAAGAGGTACCTTACAGTCTTGTTTAGTCTTTCCTCTTCTACCCTGGGATGTAAGAGGTACCTTACAGTCTTGTTTAGTCTTTCATCTTCTACCCTGGGATGTAAGAGGTACCTTACAGTCTTGTATAGTCTTTCCTCTTCTACCCTGGGATGTAAGAGGTACCTTACAGTCTTGTTTAGTCTTTCCTCTTCTACCCTGGGATGTAGAGGTACCTTACAGTCTTATTTAGTCAGTCCTCTTCTACCCTGGGATGTAGAGGTACCTAACAATCTTGTTGTAATTTGGCATCATCATACAAGCACATATATTGTAATGTTTATCGTATTGTATATGATTTTTTTATTTTATCTCTCACTAGTACAAGATTGTAGCCCAGTTGTTGTGGTTTTATGTATTTGTTTTGCGCTTCTCGGATGTGCTTGGTTGGTGGTTTTTGTAGGTTTTTGCAAATTTTAGCTAGACCATTTATCCGTATCTTTCTTGGTCTTCCTCTCACCTTCCTTCCAGATGTTCTACTGTAAACATCTCATATTCAGTCTGGTTTCACTAGATGGCTGAACCATTTCATACTTTGTCAGTATAACTCAGACACAGTCTTATTCCAACTTTCTCTCTACTGTATTTGTAACCCTGTTCCTTCTTATGTTGTTATTGACACAGCACTTTTCACAGGTAGTTATTTTCTGTTCCAATGACCTATTCATTAACCATGTTTAGCAATGATCATATAAAGTAGGGATGAAGATGCTATGAATAATTTAGTTTTTTGTGAGACATTTGGGTGTCTAAGCTGGGAGACTTGCTAGCAGGTGACAGCATTTGACAACTGTACTCTGGCTTCTGTCTCTTTGTCAAGTCTGTATATGATCAACTCACTGTTTTATGTTTCTCATATTATTTATTTACATACATATCGTTTTGCCTGACATTTTGCATGGGCATACTCTTTGCTGTATGTTGATGCAAACTTTGCTCTGTGGTCAGGAACCCGGTCAAGTGTGGACAGACCATACGTCTGATGCACGTGTCCACCAAGAGGAACTTGCACAGCCACCACTTCCAGTCTCCTCTGTCCCGGAACCTGGAGGTCAGCGCTTTTGGGGAGGAGGGGGAGGGAGATGAAGGTGGGTTATGTAGTGATGTGGCATGATCACCTGTTGTTGTAAGTGTTGTAGTAGAGTCAGTTGTGTCTTTTTTTACATGATTGACCGCTTCATTTCTGTCATATGTGATGTAGCAGAATCAGTTGTGTCTTTGTTACATTGTGACCGGTTCATTTCTGTCATATGTGATGTAGCAGAATCAGTTGTGTCTTTGTTACATGTGTGACCGGTTCATTTCTGTCATATGTGATGTAGCAGAATCAGTTGTGTCTTTGTTACATGTGTGACCGGTTCATTTCTGTCATATGTGTTGTAGCAGAGTCAGTTGTGTCTTTGTTACATGTGTGACCGGTTCATTTCTGTCATATGTGATGTAGCAGAATCAGTTGTGTCTTTGTTACATGTGTGACCGGTTCATTTCCTGTCAGTTTGTAGCAGAGTCAGTTGTGTCTTTGTTACATGTGTGACCGGTTCATTTCTGTCATATGTGATGTAGCAGAATCAGTTGTGTCTTTGTTACATGTGTGACCGGTTCATTTCTATCATATGTGTTGTAGCAGAGTCAGTTGTGTCTTTGTTACATGTGTGACCGGTTCATTTCTATCATATGTGTTGTAGCAGAGTCAGTTGTGTCCGTGTTACATGTATGAAGGGTTTTTGTTGCTTTCCTCTCAGTGAGTCCATGTTATGATCTCAATATGTTCTTTTTCCCATGTGTCATGTTCTCCCCAAGTGTCAGTGTTCTCATCTCAGTCAGTGAGTCCATGTTCTCATCCCCATGTGTCTATGCTTTCATCCCTAATTATAAGCTCTCATTTCTCATGTCTGTTTTGTCATTCTCATGTGTCTATGTTCTCACCACCCTTTGTCTGTATTTTAATCCTCGTGTCTATGTTCTCACCACCCTTTGTCTGTATTTTAATCCTCCTGTCTATGTTCTCACCACCCTGTGTCTGTATTTTAATCCTCGTGTCTATGTTCTCACCACCCTTTGTCTGTATTTTAATCCTCGTGTCTATGTTCTCACCACCCCGTGTCTTTATTTTAATCCTCATGTGTCTATGTTCTCACCACCCTGTGTCTTTATTTTAATCCTCATGCGTCTATGTTCTCATTCCCACATATCTATGCTGTCATCCTCATGTCTGTGCTCTCATCCCTATCCATGTAGGCTGTCATCCTCATGTGTCTGTGCTCTCATCTTCATGTATTTAGGCTGTCATCCTCATGTCTGTGCTCTCATCTTCATGTATTTAGGCTGTCATCCTCATGTGTCTGTGCTCTCATCTTCACGTATCTAGGCTGTCATCCTCATGTCTGTGCTCTCATCCCTATCCATGTAGGCTGTCATCCTCATGTCTGTGCTCTCATCTTCATGTATGTAGGCTGTCATCCTCATGTGTCTGTGCTCTCATCTTCATGTATTTAGGCTGTCATCCTCATGTCTGTGCTCTCATCCCTATCCATGTAGGCTGTCATCCTCATGTGTCTGTGCTCTCATCCCTATCCATGTAGGCTGTCATCCTCATGTGTCTGTGCTCTCATCCCTATCCATGTAGGCTGTCATCCTCATGTCTGTGCTCTCATCTTCATGTATCTACGCTGTCATCCTCATGTGTCTGTGCTCTCATCTTCATGTATCTACGCTGTCATCCTCATGTGTCTGTGCTCTCATCCCTATCCATGTAGGCTGTCATCCTCATGTCTGTGCTCTCATCTTCATGTATCTACGCTGTCATCCTCATGTGTCTGTGCTCTCATCTTCATGTATTTAGGATGTCATCCTCATGTCTGTGCTCTCATCTTCATGTATTTAGGCTGTCATCCTCATGTCTGTGCTCTCATCTTCATGTATCTAGGCTGTCATCCTCATGTCTGTGCTCTCATCTTCATGTATTTAGGCTGTCATCCTCATGTGTCTGTGCTCTCATCTTCATGTATTTAGGCTGTCATCCTCATGTCTGTGCTCTCATTCATGTATCTACGCTGTCATCCTCATGTGTCTGTGCTCTCATCTTCATGTATTTAGGCTGTCATCCTCACGTCTGTGCTCTCATCCCCATGTGTCTGTGCTCTCATCCCCATGTGTCTATGCCCTCATCCCCATGTGTCTATGCCCTGATCCCCATGTGTCTATGCCCTCATCCCCATGTGTCTATGCCCTCAACCCCATGTGTCTATGCCTTCATCCCCATGTGTCTATGCCCTCATCCCCATGTGTCTATGCCCTCATCCCCATGTGTCTATGCCCACATCCCCATGTGTCTATGCCCTCATCCCCATGTGTCTATGCCCACATCCCCATGTGTCTATGCCCTCATCCCCATGTGTCTATGCCCTCATCCCCATGTGTCTATGCCCACATCCCCATGTGTCTATGCCCTCATCCCCATGTGTCTATGCCCACATCCCCATGTGTCTATGCCCTCATCCCCATGTGTCTGTGCCCCCATCCCCATGTGTCTATGCCCCAATCCCCATGTGTCTATGCCCTCATCCCCATGTGTCTATACCCACATCCCCATGTGTCTATGCCCACATCCCCATGTGTCTATGCCCTTATCTCATGTTCCTTGTTGCAGGAGATAACTGGGTCATAGTCTGCCATAACAAATTCTGGAGCAGAAGTGAGAAAATACAGATCAAACATGTCACCACAGAACAGTAAGTCATGTATTGCTTCTCTCCCTTTATCTCTTCTGCAGGCATAGTATCCACACATCCATATACATATTTTTTTTGTCATCCATGCATCTACATACACTTTTACCATCCGTGAATCTACATATTCACTGTCAGAGTTGAACATCCATAGATCTTCCAACACTGTCATGGGTTGACAACTCACATGTTAATGTGTGTGTGAGTATAGTGTAAAGTAATAGTTAATGATGAAGGTCAAGTTTGTAGTCAGCGAGGCCTGATAAATGAACAGGACTCTACTGGTCGTGAAAAACATGGAAAGGTTGAACTGGACCTTGAGGTTGTAAAAAAGTTTGGAGTTAGGACAGATGGGGTTTGGAAGTTGGCAGTGGCGGTTGTGAGAAGCTAAGACAAGTTTTTGATGTTTCTATCATTTGTCTACATGTTTTTGATGTTTCCATCATTTTTCTACACATGATGTTTTTGATATTTCCATCAGTTATCTACACATACTGTTTTTTATGTTTACATCAGTAGTCTACACATGACGTTAATGTTTCCATCAGTAGTCTACACATTATGTTGTTGATGTTTTTCTTAGTTGTCTACACATGATGTTGTTGATGTTTCCATCAGTAGTCTACACATGATGTTGTTGATGTTTCCATCAGTAGTCTACACATGATGTTGTTGATGTTTCCATCAGTAGTCTACACATGATGTTGTTGATGTTTTTCTCAGTTGTCTACACATGACGTTGTTGATGTTTCCATCAGTAGTCTACACATGATGTTGTTGATGTTTCCATCAGTAGTCTACACATGATGTTGTTGATGTTTCCATCAGTAGTCTACACATGATGTTGTTGATGTTTTTCTCAGTTGTCTACACATGACGTTGTTGATGTTTCCATCAGTAGTCTACACATGCTGTTTTTGATGTTTACATCAGTAGTCTACACATGATGTTGTTGATGTTTACATCGGTAGTCTACACGTTATGTTGTTGATGTTTTTCTCAGTTGTCTACACATGACGTTGTTGATGTTTCCATCAGTAGTCTACACATGATGTTTTTGATGTTTCCATCAGTAGTCTACACATGACGTTTTTGATGTTTCCATCAGTAGTCCACACATGCTGTTTTTGATGTTTTCCTCAGTTGTCTCCATAAGATGATAATGTTTCCCTAGCTACCAGCCTGTTGATAAAATTGATGTTTCTGTCAGTTGTCTACAAATGACGTTGATGTTTCCATCAGTTGTCTATTTTGACATTGTTGATGTTTTTTCAGTTACCTCCATGTCTCTGGTGACACATACGGTCGTCCCATTCATGGCCAGAAAGAGATCTGTGCCTATCCATCCATCCATGACTCCAACTACTGGCAGGCGGCTGAGGGCATCTACATTAAACCCACAGAGGTCAAGTCTCGCACATCCGCTGATGATGATGAAGATGGGAACGATGATAGCGATGACAAGGAGCCTGTGTCTCATGATGAATTTTAGTTTCGTTTTGTGTTTGATTTAGATTTTTCTAACCATTTCATAATGTTTTAAATTATTGATGGGAAGTTTGAATTCCATATGTTGCAGACAGTGAAAGGAATTGAAGAGTTTCAGATAGTATGCAATGGATGGCTCTATCAGAGTTTTGTGTGCGTGAAATATGAAAGGTATGAATTCTGCAGGGATGTTGGATGAGAGTGAGATTTTGGTATATGACTTGGCAGAGTGAGAATGTCATGCCACAATACTTGAGTATGTTGTAGATATCACGTGGACATTCGGCAGTTCTGTGTTGCTGTCTGATGTGTTTAAATGTGTATGGTACAGTGGTTAGCAAATGTATGTGGTGCTTTTGTATGTATGTGTATGGTTTTATTTTTGTTCCGGAGGGAGGGGAGGACCTCAAACATTTTGTTCACGGTTTTCAGAAAGTAAAGGCAGTGAGGAAATGTGTTGTTCACCTTACAGTGTAGTGATTTATAAATGTGAAGCACTTAGTATCATCTTGAGGCACTGTCCGTTGTAGGACTGACTTACGCAGTAAACTCCATTGACTTATTTATTCTTTGACCCTTTGGCTGGACAAGAAATATTGTGACTGAGTCACAGAGACCATTGATGTCTTTACCTGAATATCTGATAACTGGCACATTGCTACCGGCACTTTTTTGTTATTCCATAGATTTTCGTGTTGATTCACTTGTAGATTTCTGTCCACAGTCAGACCAATCAGATGCTTCCGTGCTTTCATATTTCTCCTCTCTCTTCAACACTGTATCCCTTCGATCTCTTGTCTGTCAGCTCACTGTTAGCATTCCACTTGCAGCTGTCACATGTTTGTATCTAAATGTACACCTCACGTCAGTGATTTGTAACTTTCACATTGGTGTATTCTCATTCTGAGTTCATCTGTGTGTTATGTTAACACTTTCACATTGGTGTCTTCTCATTCTGAGTTCATCTGTGTGTTATGTGGATTTCACATTGGTGTATTCTCATTCTGAGTTCATCAGTGTGTTATGTTGACACTTTCACATTGGTGTCTTCTCATTCTGAGTTCATCTGTATGTTATGTATACACTAGAGCTCACAAGCCTGTGTTATTTTTACTTGAGTTGATTTATATATTCAGTGTGTAGATGATGTGTGATGTCTGTTGTTTGTGTGAGGGGACTTGTTGCTTTTTTTCAGACATGGTTAGCTTGCAGTTCTACTGAAATCTCTATATGATACAAATTAAACATTGATGTTGGTAATTTGTATTCATTCTCTTGTGCATTCCTGTACAGTCAGTGAATGTTTAAACAAATAAATCTTTAAGTGTTTAAAAAAAGATAATTCATTGAGCGTTTAAACAGAGATATATCATTGAGTTTTTAAACAAGGATAAATTGCTGCATGTTCAAACAGATAAATCATTGCATGTTTAAACAAATAAATCTTTTAGTGTTTAAAAAAAGATAATTCATTGAGCATTTAAACAGAGATAAATTATTGACTGTTTAAACAGAGATGTGTCACTCATTGAGTAAACAGATAAATCATTGAGGTAGTTAGCATCCTTTTGAATATTTTCTCCAGGGAATGCCAGTGTGTTGGGAAATGAGCAGGCAGATAGACTGGCCGGTTCTTCACCACTTGGTGGTGAAGTGATGTATAACAAGCTAGATAAGAGTTGTGAGGGCCCTTTAAAACTGAGTGAACAGTATGTAGGCATAGACAGAGTGTGTGTGTGTGGAGGATTGGTGAAACCAACACAGAGCCAGCTGGTGGTTGAGTTGTGAGGGCCCTTTAAAACTGAGTGAACAGTATGTAGGCATAGACAGAGTGTGTGTGTGTGGAGGATCGGTGAAACCAACACAGAGCCAGATGGTGGTTGAGGTGGAGTACAGAATATTTCCTTATACATCTCACAGACATTTTGTCCCATATCTGTAAAGGTATTAACTTTATGGTCGCTCACTACCTAGTTAATCTGAAGATGGCCATGGCTCCTTATTTTAAATTCTCCAAACCACAGCCTTGTGTAGAGAAGGGCGTGTCTCTAACACAACTGGGACAGACGTTCAGAACAGCCGTTGACAGCAACGCGGATAAATCCGGTGTATAATCTTGTGTATGTGATTCGTGGACCATCTCCCGTTCTTAGGAAGAAAATATGGGCTTTTGAGCTAAAGTGCTATAGAAAGATTCTCAGAATATCATGGACAAAGAAGAGAAGAAATGCTGACATTCTAAAAGATCTTAACATCAAGGAAGACTGGCTTGTAAACAGCATCCTTTCTCGGAAGCTGAAATATTTTGGTTTTATCAAGCGCCGCGACGGATTGGAAAAAAATTATAGCAGAAGGCATGGTACCAGGGGGAGGGGGCGGGGCGAACAACACGAAGTTGGGCACAGCATATAAGTGACTCCTTGAGTATGAAAGATCATGAGGCGGGAGAGCTGGCGAGAGACCGAGTTTCTTTCAGGCAGACTGTGATTAGAGCGACATTCTGCAAAGGACCCGCTACATGATGATGATGTCTCATGTGTAACAGTCAGTGTACTCTAGCTTTCAACTTGCATCAGCAACTGGCAGAAAGTTCAAGATGTCTTTCCGTATGACCTGTGTCTGTTTTGCTTACTCCTGCGACTGACAGTTTTCACTCCAATGTATTCTACCCTTTGTCTTTATATCAATGATTATGTTTGTGTGTGTCACTTCCAGTTGTGTGTGCTTCAGAAGCACTAGTACAGTGTTGTTCCTGGCATATCTGTAGGAACACTCGAACATTTTGATGACCAAATGTGGACAAATGTCATAGAAATGGTCGATGACTGCTCTCTTGCTTTTCAATGTATTTTTAAGTCTCTTGTGTATGTGTGCGCGCGCGTGTGTATAGGGGTGATTATGTTCTGGTGAAACAGCCCGTTTCCATACTGTGTTATTTTATTACTCATTGTGTCACTCCCTCTTTCTCTTTCACCATCTAACCGCCCCCTACTTTCTGTACCTGATTTTTTCTTGTCGTGTTTCTCGGACTCCCCACTTCATCTCCCCCTGACTGTCATATTGTCTCTCTGTTTCGCATCCTCTTTTCATTATGTGTCTCTCTCTATACATATTTACTTTTCCCTCTCACTGTCTATATGTTTCGTTCGACCGCTTTTTGTTGTTGTGTTCTTTCAGTTTGTCATATTCCTCGCATGTCACTGCTGATGTATTGGATGTTAGTTCAGTAACCACAGGTATTCAGATCTTTTGCTTGGAACAAGTGGTCGACAATGTAAAACAATTGAAGAGAGAGATGGCGGGGCGGGCGGAAGACTGTTATCTATCCTACTTACAGAAGACACAGGAAATAATTGGTTTCTGGGGAACCTGGTCGCCCTGTCTGAAAAGTGTATTGATTTTTAGTTCGTTCAATTAAATATGGGAATCTCCAACTTGACATTGGGAATTTCCATCCTGACGCCGGAAGCACGACCTGCTGGAGCCTGGCCGTGCTGGAAGATCCTGGCTGACAACGGGAATTCCCCAGGTTGCAGTCTTATTTTGGGGAAATCTTTCAGGTGACGGCGTGAGGTCGGGGAAATCTCCACATGACTTGCTGTGTGACGGGAAAACTGGGTATTACAGTCAGTCTGTCGCGGGTTTCCCGAGTGTGACTGGATCTTGTGATATTTATTAGCACTTTAGTTAGCATCCTGACATCATTTTGTTTATTTAAATGAAAGGTGAGAGAGGCGGCAAGATTGCCCTCATCTGGAAAATACACTGATGTCGGGATCCGCTGATCCCTGAGAGGCTAAATCTACGAGATTTCGGTTATAGAGTAGAAGAAATAGTAATCTTGACACAAATAATGTCCCACTCAACTCTCCGATTCCAAATTGTGATATATAAAGTCAACCTTATTTCCAATTAATACTCGTGCAATCTCCTATATCATATTATATATGGCAGACAGTTATGTTCTTTAAATTGTTATCGTTTTAATCATCATCCCATTGTAATCTTTTAGGTTGTCATTCAAGTGGCTACACAAGCCGTAGCTTTAGGCAGATACTGTTTGGACAGTGGAGACATTGCGAAGCCTGAAGACCATTTATGAACGAACTTTGATGGAAGATCAACTAATGTGTGAAAGGATGCGTGAATTTGGATTTAGGTCCAGATTGAAAGGGCGTATGAGATTAAGTGAAACGACATCGGTACAGATAGTACTACCGAAACAGTCAGCATCGACACCTCATGATATTGGGTGTGGGAAACGGAGCATCTGTTGTGTCCGTCATGCTATGATGGCGATTCCTAAACCAATAAACTGTAATGACTAGTATACGGTGACTGTGTCGATAATGTTCCTTACCTAAGTTTTAAAAAAAAAAAACGCTGTTATGTCATGTGTAATTTTACGTCTACCACGAGACGCGGAGAAGCATAATAGGCCGTGCTTGTCGATAGGAATAATGAGTGCCGGTATACGTACCGCCAGAAAAAGGAAGATTGAACCTAGGCTTGCCGTTAATGCTCTGCAGTAAGACTGGACCTACGCTTGCCACTGGAGTGATCACAAACGGTTTTCACCGACATCAGTGTGCAGTGCACTCACATGTTACAGAGACGGCTGCCTGCACTTGAGGTCAAGGTCGATGAATTGTGTCAGATGACCTGAGTCAGTCGCCACGTAAAAACACGTCAGGTGACGTTACGGGTTTCCCCCGGAATTAAAATTAATTAAGCCCGCCACATATAAAAACATCAGTTTGTCTGGGACATTTATGCAGTATTCAAACTGAACAGAAACTACCCAGCTATATCATCTACAACTAACAGAATGTTTCCGTACGTTCTTCTCTCGGTGTTTTCCTAGCGACAAAGTTCTGGCTCTGTTTCCGGGATCCTCGCCTGTATTCGGGGCTCCGTGTTTACAGAACACAGAATATACCAAATGCCTCCTAGCAACCTTGTCGTGCATGCCGACCATCTATGTTTTTTTTCCCCCTTCAAAGTCAAGTGCATCAGACTGAAAGGCGGGGAACAAGCAGTCTGCATATGAATACGCCAGATGTGTAAAAAGGATGTACACGCAAAATTTAAGTTCTGGAAGACCAGAAATAACGAACAACCAGAAATTTCCGCCAGAATCAACAACCGGTCAACGCTAATAATAATAAGAAGAAGCTTTTAGAAGACATGTAGACCGCTTTGCCTTGGTTTCGATATTGGCAATGGCAAACTATCACCGTGTGGGTTCCGTGTCAGTGACGCAGATGGGCAGGCATGTCGCTGGACACACGAGGAGCACCTGGATTTTGACAGCTGAAGTCGGAGGGACAAATGTGAAGGAAGACCCACACCCCCCCCCCCCCTTTTAGAGTGCGCTCAATGTCGCCCTGGTCTTTATATGAAGGTCACTGCATCAATTAAAGCAAAGGTCAGGCTCGAGACACAGACCTCGACCCAGATACGTTTTTTTTTCGAAGACGTCTTTAAAAAAGCTGACTTATATCAGAAAGAGACACTTTACATTCTTTTGTCAGGTCGTGAAGAGGAGAAAACTGGAGTACATCGTGATAGTAATAAAGTTGGATGGGAAGGAGAGGCAGAGGAAGACCTGAGAGAGAAAATTCTGGACAATCTGGCCTGGAGTATCATCTGTGTCAGAGTTGACCGAGAGTACACGAGACAGAAGGTTGTGGATAGGCATGACTACCAACGCCACACGGCATGGACTATGGAAGATCATCTGTGTCAGAGTTGATTGAAAGTACACGAGACAGAAGGTTGTGGATAGGCATGATTACCAACGCCACACGGCATGGACTATGGAAGATCATCTGTGTCAGAGTTGATTGAAAGTACACGAGACAGAAGGTTGTGGATAGGCATGACTACCAACGCCACACGGCATGGACTATGGAAGATCATCTGTGTCAGAGTTGATTGAAAGTACACGAGACAGAAGGTTGTGGATAGGCATGATTACCAACGCCACACGGCATGGACTATGGAAGATCATCTGTGTCAGAGTTGATTAGGAGTACACGAGACAGAAGGTTGTGGATAGGCATGACTACCAACGCCACACGGCATGGACTATGGAAGATCATCTGTGTCAGAGTTGATTAAGAGTACACGAGACAGAAGGTTGTGGATAGGCATGATTACCAACGCCACACGGCATGGACTATGGAAGATCATCTGTGTCAGAATTGATTAAGAGTACACGAGACAGAAGGTTGTGGATAGGCATGATTACCAACGCCACACAGCATGGACTATGGAAGATCATCTGTGTCAGAGTTGACTGAGAGTACACGAGACAGAAGGTTGTGGATAGGCATGACTACCAACGCCACGGACTTTAAAAGAAGAAGAATATTCTGAGAACCTGAGTCCTCTGCGCGAGAAAAAATACAGTCGACCGTGTGAGAACCCACGCCCTTCTGTATCCGTGTGAGAGCCCACGCCCTTCTGTATCCGTGTGAGAACCTTTGAGAACTGTATCCGGTGAGAACCCACGCCCTTCATGTGTGAGAACGTTGGATCATTTTCCCGAAACTTTCAGCAAAGGATTGTTACTATGTAGCCGGTGTGGATGAGATCTACAACTCCTGAAGTGAATATTTGGTTGGATTCATTTTTGTGAATGATCAATTTAAATGTAAATATAAAAGGTCGATAAACACGGTCACATGTTGTCTGTTGTGTGCAGGGGAAAAACATCTTTCACAGTTGGATTGGTGATAGCCATCGTCATTGTGGTTGGAGCTGTAGACCTTGTGTTGGTAACAGTCAAATATTCACAATATGGACTGTCAAGAGAGGTAAGTTTATTTGTCTGTCTTAGTCTGTCCATCATTCACCCATCCGTCTGTCTGCCTGCTAAATAGTAATCAGTCACCGCCTAACTGACAAACAGAGAAGCAATAAATAACCACGGAATGGAGGTCAGGCGGAATAAATAAACAGCCAAGAAGAAGCAGACTACAGAACATAGTCAAAAAATAATTAATACACGCATAATTTAAATGGAGTTTCTAGATATAATAATACTTTGTTTTTATTTATAATCAAGAGGAAAGAGCAAAAATCTTCCCTACCACGTCTGCTGGGGGACTTGTGGCATGCGACAGACATAGACTGGGCCTTGTGGAGAATACGATTGTTCACATTAAAAGCAGGTGTAAGTCTATTGGCGACCTCCTGTAGCTTCTAGCCAAACTGACTTTTTAAATATATTTTTTTAAATGTTCAAATTGTGGAATTTTACTTTTCCGCACGACATGAAAGTCGATTCATTTCTGTACTTACAAATGCATGTCTCTGCAAAATTTGATCTGAAATTATTATTCTGTAATTAATTTCTGTTTTAATTTTCATGGTAACTTTATATGTACCAAACTATGCAGAGAAAATATTCAAAATGTGAAAACTGTGTTATTTATTAACCTATTTTAATAGTTCGTTTCGCCCATTTGTTAGAAATTGAAGAACTGGGATAACCTAATCCATGTTGGCAGATATAGGCTAGAAATAGCAGTGAAAGATGCTGTCATTTTATATAATGAAAGAGAACTAGTTGGGGCTAAGCTATGGCACAGTGTTTCCACATTTCGTAGATTTGTTCAAGCACGTGAAAGAGCAGCTGAAAAAGGAAAAAATAAAAATAAGATAAAAAGAGCAAGATAAATTATTCAGACAACTGAGGAATATCCTGTTGATGTCTTATATGCAGCAGGGGCACATTGGGTAAAGGCTTATTGTGAACACCAGCTTTCGCGATTTTCTAAAAAAAAAAATTATATATTTTTTTAACTGCGTTACTCACAATTATCTCAAAAAGCTGTTAACATATTGTCTCCCGACTTGACACACACACATTGGAAAACAACACCGAAACAGACTGAACTAGAATGAATAAAGCAGCTTGAATATTTTATGACTCCCCCCCCCCCCCCCACGTATATTAATACTGACCCTAATTTTAGGGATATAAATTATTGTTCCACATAAATTAGCATAACTTTTAAACTGTAGCTTTGAATAAAAAGTTGTTACTTAATCAGGTGTAAAATAGAATGCTAAATTTATGTGCCAATTTTCAGTAAGCCATCTTTATGAGATATCACGCCATGGTGACAAATTTGGCCATTTTCCACGTAAAGGAAGTATGCAATTTTCAATAAATAACCATCAAAATATGTTGATTTTAGCCAAAAGAATTAATTTGCCTTAAATTTGTAACCAGTGGCGGTAGTCGCCGGAAAACCGCAAATTTAAGTCGCTGGAAATGCGCAATTGACACGTGACTGAGGCTCTGTTAGGGTTTTTTGTGGCCACCATCTTTTGTGCCCGTTATTCGAAGGATAGCCGCATAATCCCAAAATTAATCTCAGACTTGTATGGCAGGTGTCTAATGAAACAGTATCCAAGTAATTATGTCACTTGAACGGTCTCATTTTTGTGCTTCTTTTCAAGTTGGTATATATTGTGTAGTATCCAGCGGACATTTTTCTTCAAAAATGACATTGTCCAACAGGTCGACTCAGCTTTAAATGGGTGCAAGGTATAGTTCCGGGAAGTAAAGATGACCTGCATAAAGTTCGACCACATCACCCACGAAGGTCAATGTTGTTCGCACATCACAGGTGATGATCACCTGTAATTGGTCAATAAAATTTAGGTCTGACACTATTTGCCCCCACACCCGAAGACGTGAAGAAGGGTTCTGTTCTTTGCCATAACAGTCTTTAGAATTAGCTGTAGAATTCAATGTCCGCCACATAACAGAGCTGCCAAGATTGTAAATTTGAGTTTCTGAAAAGGCATGCTCAATTAGGATATTTTGATTTTTGTTATTGAATATTTCAGGACAAACAGAAAAGTACTTTCGTGTGTTTCCCGTGTCAAGATCTTATCAGACGTTTTCTCACGACCAGAAACTGACCACCTCAGTCAGCAGGTTGCCAAGGAAACTACGGGATGGAGTGGAGAGTTGCTGCGCTGGGGACGTGGATCAGATGGCAGTTATCATAGAGTTTGTAAGTGAATGTCAGTCAGTGAAACACATGTAGATGTATCAGTGAAACACATGTAGATGTATCAGTGAAACACATGTAGATGTATATTCCAGAAATCTGGAGTAAATCGGGTCAGATAGTTTGCAACAGTTATTTCCTTACAGACAAGATGCCTTGCAGAGAACAGAACAAGATGCCTTGCAGAGAACAGAACAAGATGGCTTGCAGAGAACAGAACAAGATGCCTTGCAGAGAACAGAACAAGATGGCTTGCAGAGAACAGAACAAGATGGCTTGCAGAGAACAGAACAAGATGTCTTGCAGAGAACAGAACAAGATGGCTTGCAGAGAACAGAACAAGATGTCTTGCAGAGAACAGAACAAGATGCATTGCAGAGAACAGAACAAGATGTCTTGCAGAGAACAGAACAAGATGCCTTGCAGAGAACAGAACAAGATGCCTTGCGGAGAACAGAACAAGATGCCTTGCAGAGAACAGAACAAGATGCCTTGCAGAGAACAGACTAAGAATCTTCCAACAGTCATCACTCCAGACTAAGATGGCTTGTAAAAATAAAAGAACTACCTCACAAGAATGACAAAACTAGCTTGCATTTGATTTGAAAAAGGTTTTGTTTGATTGCAAAGGGGTAAATTTGATTTACAAAGGGCTGACATTAATTTGCAAAGAAGTTTGGCTTGCCAGGTTTGGTGTGTGTGTGCGTGTGTGAGTGAGTGAGTGAGTAAATCAAGGACAATTAAACAGCCAGTTTGAGAAACATCTTATGGCAGACAAATGTAGCTGTCCTGAAAGATGTAGCCGTCCTGAAAGATGTAGCCCTCCTGAAAGAAGTAGCTGTCCTGAAAGATGTAGCCGTCCTGAAAGAAGTAGCCGTCCTGAAAGATGTAGCCGTCCTGAAAGAAGTAGCAGTCCTGAAAGATGTAGCCGTCCTGAAAGAAGTAGCCGTCCTGAAAGAAGTAGCCGACAAACAGAAACTGATTAGATCAATCAGAAATAAATATTAGACATATCCGCTATCTTAAAATTAGCATTATTTGACCTACATTCGACATATGTCATGAAAATCCTCACTTTTGTTTCTAACTGTACACAGTGCAGGCACATCTTTAAGACATTGTCTGAATGCTACTGTATTATACACATGTGAGTACCGGCACCTTTTTGTTTCTAACGGTACACAGTGCAGACATATCTATCAAACATTGTCTGAATGCTACTGTAATATACACATGTGAGTACCGGCACCTTTTTTTTAAATTTAGAAAATGGTGCCGAACATGGTAGTTATGATAACTGTTTCATGTCCACAGATTCGGCAGAAACAGACAAATGTACCAGGTAGGCGTTGCTTGTTGTCGGTTGTTGTTCCTTGTTGTCATGGAGATGTGTGACAACCACTTGTTTTGTTGCAAGGTTTGGGAGATAATGAAACATATGTCACTGTTTGTCTGTCATGAGTTTTTAGTAGAGTCTGGTCAATGGCACCTATGACGTACCAATGTTTGAGTCAGCGTCAGGCGGCTTAAGAAACAACTTCTGGTACTGGCGACTTTTGATCAATGGTATGCGAGTTTCATCGTGGAAGTGACTAGTGTCTCACCACATGATATTTCCAAATACGGCTGTGTATTGTCTTCCACCGCAGCCAAACCCTGACGTGGAGACGGACCTAATGTTTGTTGTTGTTTGCACGGGGCATGGTTTCAGCTGTAGGCTGTACATAATGTTGTGTCCATACCTCCCATTGTCTGTGGTGCCAGCTGGATGGTCAGGATGGTCATATACCCAATACTGTTCCCTGCCAAAGCTCAGTGTTGCCCACTTGTCCGAGGCAACCAGAGGAGTTTGGTTTCCCATGTGACACTCCCATGGTTTCTAGCTGGCCCACTGTGACCTAACTCCACTGTGGTAAATTAATGTCAGATAAAGTAATAATAATAATAACTACACTCAAAGTATTTGATTCATGAAAACAAACATCTCTGACTAGTAAACGTCTCTGGGGAGGGTCTAGGTAGGAAGCTGTCAGGATCTTATGTTTGCTCTGGGGAGGGTCTAGGTAGGGGGCTGTCAGGATCTTATGTTTGCTCTGGGGAGGGTCTAGGTAGGGAGCTGTCAGGATCTTATGTTTGCTCTGGGGATGGTCTAGGTAGGAAGCTGTCAGGATCTTATGTTTGCTCTGGGAAGGGTCTAGGTAGGGGGCTGTCAGGATCTTATGTTTGCTCTGGGGAGGGTCTAGGTAGGGAGCTGTCAGGATCTTATGTTTGCTCTGGGGAGAGTCTTAAGTATTGCTGTCAGGATCTTATTTTTGCTCTGGCCAACGCCCTGAATATGCACAATAATTTTCTTGAATTTCTCCCCCCAACTTAGAAAATGTGCAGGGGGCAAGTGCCCCCCCCCCCCCCCCCCGACATTCCTCTGAAAATATATGTAACATTATATCCAATATATCATTGTATTGACTTTCTTCTCATCACATAATAATGTTAACTACTATTATTGCAAATTTAAACAAAGTTTAAGCCCACTGAGCCCTCCTGGAATTATAAGAGGCTGAGGTGCCCCCTCCCCCTTATATCTTTGTGGTATGCCCCTGACTCATTGTACATCTTCAATTCTTTATGGCTGTTTCTGATGCCAACATTCTATTTTCTGTGTTGGCTTTCCCCTTTCTCTTTATCACTTATATTTCTTCTTCTGTCTCTCTGTGGCAGGACGTTCCCGTCAGATAGCCAACCATCTCTCTTTTTTCTCGCGTACTCACCCCATCTCTCTCTTGCTATTTATTCTCTTTCGCGAGCTTTTCTCATTTCTCTCTCGATCTTCTGCTCTCTATCTCCAACTCTAATCTGGGTACCCCCTCCCTCTCCCAACAATTGACCGAGACTCTGGTGACAGCAGTCGACCGGTGGTCAAGCCTTGGACTCTACGTAAAGGTGAGCACTAAACAAATGATCTGGACTCCCAGGTCGACCCAGGCTCAGGCTGGGATCGTGAAATGTTGCTGGAAGTAAAGACGACTGCCGTGATACCGACCACATCCCACACCAAATAAGGTCAGCCGGCAACATATGTCCACGACCCAGCACAGTGCAGAACAGGATCCATAGTTGCAAACAGTTATTCTTGGCCACTTACTTGAAAACATCACCAGCAAATACATTAGTTTCGTGACTAACGAGTGACCCAGCCAACAAATGTTTCAGCTAACGAAGATACTTTTGGCTGTTTTTCAGCCTCAATTAACCCATTGTGATTCAGTTAACCTTAGTAGATATGCACGTGTTAACATGACGGGAAACCTAGGCGTAGTAGAAATCTACAGAAAATTACATTTCAGCTAACGAATATTTGGCTAATGAATGTGATAGTGGAACGATGTTACTCCTTTATCTAAAGCATCACTGTACTCTCTCTCATCCTTAGTTCCTGTGACCTATGACCCAGCAAATGTCACATCGGGTCCAGTGTCTGTACACAAGCGACTGCTGCCGTTGACTCGTGCAGGTAAGTGTCTGTGTTCCATTTGCTGATCCATGTCACAAATATACCAGGCTCGCTAAACCAGCCAGAAATGTCATTAGAGAACAGCCAGTTAAACACGACTACACATACGTATGCACGCACACAGTCACACATCATACAACCACATAAGCTCACATATGGGTTCACGCACTGACACATGCACACAGGTGTAAATAAGTCGACATGAATACAATACACACAACCGTAGATGTATTAACTACATAGACACAACACAGATGCACATATGCATTTTAATTTGTTATTTGCTGGTAAAACATGGAAGGCTAATTTTTGGATCAGACGTTTAAAGAAATACATTTATCGAGCTGCAGTTGTTTGTAGGGGCTTCCATCAACCATGTATCACAGTGTCCACTTGGAAGGAGCTGTTTCGTGGAGCCCCCACCCTCTCCCATCCCAGTTCTTTTAAGCTCAGAAAACCAGCGAGCTGTAAGATGATTGAAACTCAGAATTCACATATGCAGACTAGAACTCAGAATTCACATATGCAGACTGGAACTCAGAATTCACATATGCAGACTGGAACTCAGAATTCACATATGCAGACTAGAACTCAGAATTCACATATGCAGACTAGAACTCAGAATTCACATATGCAGACCGAATGGAACTCAGAATTTACATAAGCAGACTGGAACTCAGAATTCACATATGCAGACTGGAACTCGGAATTCACATATGCAGACTTACTTAAACTCAGATTTCACATATTCAGACTGACTGGAACTCAGAATTCACATATGCAGACAGACAACATATGAGGATGTCACCAACAGGTGATCCAGCACTGAACACACCGAATGTGTGGGATAAGGTCAAGGATGTGCATGTTTCCTCCACACACTGGGGTGGTGGGGGGGGGGGGGGGATGTCATTAGCAACACACTCTACTTAAACGTTCAGAGTGTGTAACATGCACGCACCCACTTACACAATCCAAAACTGCCAGGTGTATGCTGCCATCACACACGTAATGTGACGTATTCCAACTACAATAAAGACCAAACTTTGTGGTATATGAGGAGATAGCTTTCGTAAAGGCTACCGGCCTCCTGATCTAAGTTTTCTGACAGAAACATCGAAGAAGAAGATAATAACAGTAATATCAATCTTGGAAATATTATATATTTTTGATATAAATGTAAAGTTTTTCATGAGATAAGCTGTGTCGTGAAACATTTTCTTAGTACTGTTGATGTATCTGTCCATAAGTCTTATAAGAGGTAAGCCTAACGTCGCCTTGCTAGTAAGCCGAATTGCTGTGTTGCAAAATTATCAAAAGTGCCAACAGCCTGAACAGTTTGGGCATCTTTGATGGTAGTTTGTGTATATAGGGAGGTTGGGGGGGAATAGTTACCTGCGAATACTGCCAATGACATATGTAGGCAGATAGACTACCAGTTTGCCATAAAGGACGCCAATATGAACATGTGATTTTGAGTCTTCACTTAAATGAATGCCAAAGTTTAACTAGCCTTATCTGTGTCTCTCACCAGGTATGTCAGGGACATTCACCAATGACAGCAACATCCGACTACAGCCGGACAACTCTGAGAGCGACACAACCAGGGAACATGTCAACAACGTTCAGGTGCTACCGTCCGGTTTTCTCATTCTCCTCTCAGGCTACTACCACATCTACAGCAGCCTCGAGTTCACGTCTAGGGACAGCAGACCGTGTCGGGAGTTTGCGGTCAAGGTGTGTGATCAAATTCAGGATGGGCAGGTCCATGATTGGATCAGCTAACCGATTAATGATTTAAATGATTTGTGAAAAGTTCAGTCAAGAAAAGAGCAAATTAAAGAATACAATGATTTATTAATGAGTGAATATTAGAGCCTCATTTAAGCAAGAGACAGCTCGGTTTCAGGAAGGGAAGAGCAATATTTTCTTTTAAGGCAGACAAGCCAACAGTCTATTGAATGTGATAAAAGTCAATACCTTATATTTATAGATCAAGAGAAGGCATTTGATCAGGTCAACAGATGCAAACTATGGAACATTTTTAGAGGATTATGACATTCAAGATTAACTGTTGGGCAACATCATGGCTCCTTCCCAAGGTAGTCAGGGCACAGTAAAAACAAGATAAGGAATGACAGACTGGTTTCCCATCTCATCAGGTGTCAGACAGGGATGTGTCCTCTCACCGTTGCCATTCATTACTTACATGGATAGAGTTACAAAGGAGGCCTATACGGACACTGAAGAAATCAATGAACTACTTTTTGCAGACGATCACAGTTTAAAACATCACCAAGAACAGAATTTACAATAACATATTGACTCTTTGCACCAAACCTGCATACAGTATGATATGAGAATAAACATTGCAAAAACTGAGTAACGGGGATTGGCAGGAAACATAATATCACGAAAGTTAATGTAACAGTACTACAATCAAACAAGTACAAGAATTCAAATATTTAGGAAGCATATTTACAGAGGATGGCAGACTCGATAGAGCGATAGAAGTCAGATTACAGAAGGCAAATGCTGTCACCTACCAGTTTAGCCACACTGCTTAGACACCCAGATGTCTGCCTTCTAGCAAAACAGCAAATGATTAATATAATCTTTATCTCTTCTTTATGTTATCAGTGCCAAACATGGACAATAAATCAGACACTAGAACAGAAAATAACTACATGTGAAATGTGCTGCCTTCGCAAGGTCACCAACAACACTAGAAGAGACAGGGTTATGAATACCAGCATTTTAGAAAGTCGCAAAAAGACCATGTCTGAATTATATTGACAAACAAAGAATGAAATGGTTCAGCCATTTAGTGACAAGACAGACCAAACCACATAGGAGACTTTTTACAGCAGAACATCTGAGAGGAAGGCCAAGAAAGATATGGATAAATGGTGTAGCAGAATCCTGCAAAAAGATGAACAAATCCATCACCCATGCCACCCGAGAAGTGCAAAGCAAATACAGAAAACCATAACCCTGGGCTACAACCTGGTATCAGTGAGATGACAACAGAACAGAAGAAGAAGAAGAATGAGTGAATAAATTACATAATATGTTAATGCTTCTTGTTGTATTGCCTCACTGATGCCAGGTTTCAGTCCAGTGTCATGAATATGTTAATGAATTAAAAATGGCACCCTGTCTGTATTTATGGCTTTTTAAGGCAGAGGGGGAGGAGAGATAGGATGGGGGGGGGGGGGGGGAGCTGGGTCATGAGCCTGAGGATTTAGGGCAGCGTGACTAGTGCTGTCGCCACAGACTGTGCAGGTTAGGGTGTTTAATTTTTTCCCCTGCGTAAGAGTCTGACGTAACTGCTTGGCCAGCCGATCCTCAGTTAATTAGTGGTTATATAACTAATATATATATATAAACTTGAACAAAGAAGACACAAACAATAGACTGCACACTTTATTGCCTGGCATATTTCGCTGTATCTCGTCAGGTGTATACTACAGTAACAATTACATAAATGAAGCAGATAAGTGAATCCTTCATAACTGAAGTACAATTTCAACATCGATCAAACAAGACTGTCAGGAATGCCTAGACAGTCTTGTTTAATCGATGTTGAAAATATGCCAGGCAATAAAGTGTGCAATCTATTGTTTGTGTCTTCTTTGTTCAAATTTACAATGGGGAAACATTGCATTGAATATATAAAAACAACAATAACAGAGATGTTAATCAGTAAAGACAAACTGATGCTGGAACTGTTGCAGACTTGGAAACAAATTGTGTTGAGGAGCCGGCCCAACGACAGGATCAGCTCTGGAGCCATCCTCAGTTCGGCTCACACCTGTTGTGACCACTGCACCTGGGATAAAGAGACCAGCTACACAGGTGAGTTTTCAGGTGATTTATCTTCCTGGCTCCTTTCCCTGTCACCAGAGGTGAGTTTTCAGGTGATTTACCTTCCTGGCTCCTCTCCCTGTCACCAGCTAAACAGGTGAGTTTTCAGGTGATTTACCTTCCTGGCTCCTCTCCCCGTCACAGGCTACACAGGTGAGTTTTCAGGTGATTTACCTTCCTGGCTCCTCTCCCCGTCACAGGCTACACAGGTGAGTTTTTAGGTGATTTACCTTCCTGGTTCCTCTCCCCGTCACAGGCTACACAGGTGAGTTTTCAGGTGATTTACCTTCCTGGTTCCTCTCCCCGTCACCAGCCACACAGGTGAGTTTTCAGGTGATTTACCTTCCTGGCTCCTCTCCCCGTCATGTAGAGTTGTCTTTCCCTGTGATGCACAAGCACCTTTTAGTTTGCTCTGCTACCCTGGAACTTTCTTCCAAGTTGGAGTGCATCTGCCCGAGAGGCATACAGATTAACCAGATCTATCAAATGGATGTTTATGAAAACATTTAAAAAGTTCATCTCAAGGAAGAGAATCAAACAGCTACAATTTCCAGAAACCCTGTTCAACTGGGGGCCGCCGTGGTGTAGCGGCTAGAGGCTCGCCTGCACTTCCGAAGGTTGTGGGTTCCGGTCCTAAAGGAGGCAGACTTTTTCAAAAATGATCTTGGCTCCCAGGTCGACCCAGCCTTAAATGGGTATCAGATAAAGTTCTTGGAAGTGATGTGCCGGTGTGATGCTGCCCACATCTCCCTCAAGTGCCGATTGGTCTATAAAACACAGGTCTAGTCAGTAGGCATGCAGGTGTGGAAAAGAGTCCCTGACCGTTACTGCCACTGAACCGTACTGACCGTTACAGCCACTGAACCGTACTGACTGTTACAGCCACTGAACCGTACTGACTGTTACAGCCACTGAACTGTACTGACCATTACTGCCACTGAACCGTACTGACCGTTACTGCCACTGAACCGTACTGACTGTTACAGCCACTGAACCGTACTGACCGTTACTGCCACTGAACCGTACTGACCGTTACTGCCACTGAACCGTACTGACTGTTACTGCCACTGAACCGTACTGACTGTTACTGCCACTGAACCGTACTGACTGTTACAGCCACTGAACCGTACTGACCGTTACTGCCACTGAACCGTACTGACTGTTACAGCCACTGAACTGTACTGACTGTTACAGCCACTGAACTGTACTGACTGTTACAGCCACTGAACTGTACTAACTGTTACAACCACTGAACCGTACTGACTGTTACTGCTACTGAACTGTACTGACCGTTACTGCCACTGAACCGTACTGACTGTTACAGCCACTGAACTGTACTGACCGTTACTGCCACTGAACCGTACTGACTGTTACAGCCACTGAACCGTACTGACTGTTACTGCCACTGAACCGTACTGACTGTTACAGCCACTGAACCGTACTGACTGTTACAGCCACTGAACCGTACTGACCGTTACTGCCACTGAACCGTACTGACTGTTACAGCCACTGAACTGTACTGACCGTTACTGCCACTGAACCGTACTGACTGTTACAGCCACTGAACTGTACTGACCGTTACTGCCACTGAACCGTACTGACTGTTACAGCCACTGAACTGTACTGACTGTTACTGCCACTGAACCGTACTGACTGTTACAGCCACTGAACCGTACTGACCGTTACTGCCACTGAACTGTACTGACCGTTACTGCCACTGAACCGTACTGACTGTTACAGCCACTGAACCGTACTGACCGTTACTGCCACTGAACCGTACTGACTGTTACAGCCACTGAACTGTACTGACCGTTACTGCCACTGAACCGTACTGACTGTTACAGCCACTGAACTGTACTGACTGTTACAGCCACTGAACTGTACTGACTGTTACAGCCACTGAACTGTACTGACTGTTACAGCCACTGAACCGTACTGCCAAACAGCAGTGATACTGGAGCACAACAAAACGGTTACATTGTAATCCCTGTTGTTCCAGCGTGGGTGGCTTGTGTTTGCATGTATTGGAATACACACCACTTAAGTCATGAAACAAGATCACAGTCCAGACAGAAGTGGACAAACAACCTGAACTTTCCACCAGAGTGTACAACCGTAGCCTTGTTCAGTTTTTCCTCTTCTGTCCTAAGATACAAGAATGAGAACTTCTGAACTGAGTGCCACATATTTCGTTTCATTCTGCTTTCTTGTTTTTATTTGACGTGTTTGTACAATATTTGATTTAATTTAGTTCATCACTATCATCATGTGTCATGCAGACCAGCGTAGGATGTCATGTTTGACCATCTCACGTGATCACCAGAGTTGCAGATAATGTCAGTGTTCTTGTCTCACCCCACTCATTTGGTCAAACCATCCACACATTTATCTCTTTGCCTTCCCCTTGCTTTTTCCATCACTGTTGCCAGTCGTCGCCAAGTTCTTGAGCCCATTCCGCCTCAAAACGTGCCCAGATTCACACAATGTCTATGTCTAATTTTTTGTAGTTTCCCATTTTCATCTGTCTGAAAAGTAATGAAATTACTTCCGTGTCATTTGTTTGTTTGTTTGCTGATGAAGGCTTGTGGGATCAACATCCTTTCTGTGTTCGTTTAACTGAATAATATATATTGTTAACAACCTTTTTCTGTGTTTTCCAATTGTTTACAAAGGATTTAGTATCAGCTAGTCGGACACTCATGCTCCGCTGAAAGATGAGAGGCACAGTAAGAAGATGTGGAGGTAGAGAAGAATAGGTCCTATTTTTGGGAAACAAAAACAGAGACTTGGAATGAAAAGAGCAGATACAAGAAATGACAAACTTTGAGAAATGACAGAGAGACAAGTTCAATGTTTTGGCTGTATTAAAAGACAAGGTACTCTCATGAAAAACCATACCAGAGGCTAAAGTAGAAGTCAAGTAAGCAAGATGCAGACAGTGATACAATTCCAAATATAACATAAGAGCACAACCAGCCAATCTATCAGCTCTTTCATTACCAGCAACAACTACATACCCTTGGATGAAGATTCCAGCAGACAGTTTAATTTTCTATTACACTGAGAGTGGACATGTAATTTGTCCAAATTGCCAGCTCAGTATGTCAAATGTAGATGTCTACTGTATGCGACTGTTATATGTAGATGTATCCATGGCAGTGAACTGTTACAAGCATGTCTAACTGTCTGCCATACTCATTAATGAGCTCATTATTTCTGTCATCGTCGTGCATATTCTCATTACCAACATCAGTGTAGTCACACAGATGATATTAATGATGATAATAACAAATGTTTGTCTGCCAGCTGGGACCTTCTACCTTCAGGCCGGTGACCATCTCCATGTTGAAGCCTCTGGCACAGGGCTGGTCAGCTTCCACACAGAGTCCACCTATTTCGGCCTGACCATGATCAGCAACAGAAGTCAGATGTTACGAGCAGACGACCATCACCAAGTGGTTACCGCACAGAACAGTTCGAGATCAGCACCATCTGACCCCATTCAGCTCAATCTCTCTGCACAGAACGGCCGGCCGCCTGCCAAAGCATCACACAAAGCACTAACCTATAGCTCCAGATTACAATCGTGAACTGAATGAGGCAGCTGTGAAACAAATCCACAACCTTCAGAGAGCAAGGCTAATGGGCCAGAGAGACCCCCAGAATCACTCCTATGGGAGACAACTGAGAAGTTTCCAGCCAATCCAGAGGTGAAGAAAAGACACTAGCTTGAGAAAACATGATTATATATATTCTATATAAACAGAATGTTTTTCTGCTGCAGCCTGAAAATAGAGATGCATAAAAGAGAATAGAGAGAGTAACAACAACACAAGGTCACTTGGTCAAGAATAGGATGACCTGCACAAGCTGGTTGAGTGCCTATGCTCCACTGGGAGATAACAGGAAGGAGAAAGAGAAGAAAACAAAGGGCTCATTTCTGGTGAAGTGTGTCATCATCTGCTACTGCAGCCATATTTGAGAGACCAATCAGAGCCCAATGTACCTGGTATTCACTACCAGACCAACAAAACCAGATCTGTGCCGACCTGTCAATGTGGTTTTCTACACAGCATGGATTGAGAGAAAGTGCAGCGAAGACACCTGTCAGATTGAGAGAAAGTGCAGTGAAGACACCTGTCAATGTGGTTTTCTACACAGCATGGATTGAGAGAAAGTGCAGTGAAGACACCTGGCAAGAGAACATGACAGGATCTGACATCAGGAAAGTTGGAAAAGAATAGGCATAAATATGGGACAGTCCAGTCTTATACAGGCAGACATGGTTTATGTTCTCATCTCCCCAATGTGTCAGCATCACCCCACAGGAGCCACCATGGTTTATGTTCTCATCTCCCCAATATGCCAGCATCACCCCACAGGAGCCACCGTGGTTTATGTTCTCATCTCCCCAATGTGCCAGCATCACCCCACAGGAGCCACCGTGGTTTATGTTCTCATCTCCCCAATGTGTCAGCATCACCCCACAGGAGCCACCGTGGTTTATGTTCTCATCTCCCCAATGTGTCAGCATCATCCCACAGGAGCCACCATGGTTTATGTTCTCATCTCCCCAATGTGTCAGCATCACCCCACAGGAGCCACCATGGTTTATGTTCTCATCTCCCCAATGTGTCAGCATCACCCCACAGGAGCCACCATGGTTTATGTTCTCATCTCCCCAATGTGTCAGCATCATCCCACAGGAGCCACCACGGTTTATGTTCTCATCTCCCCAATGTGTCAGCATCACCCCACAGGAGCCACCATGGTTTATGTTCTCATCTCCCCAATGTGTCAGCATCACCCCACAGGAGCCACCATGGTTTATGTTCTCATCTCCCCAATATGTCAGCATCATCCCACAGGAGCCACCATGGTTTATGTTCTCATCTCCCCAATATGTCAGCATCACCCCACAGGAGCCACCGTGGTTTATGTTCTCATCTCCCCAATGTGTCAGCATCACCCCACAGGAGCCACCGTGGTTTATGTTCTCATCTCCCCAATGTGCCAGCATCACCCCACAGGAGCCACCGTGGTTTATGTTCTCATCTCCCCAATATGTCAGCATCACCCCACAGGAGCCACCGTGGTTTATGTTCTCATCTCCCCAATGTGCCAGCATCATCCCACAGGAGCCACCGTGGTTTATGTTCTCATCTCCCCAATGTGTCAGCATCACCCCACAGGAGCCACCATGGTTTATGTTCTCATCTCCCCAATATGTCAGCATCATCCCACAGGAGCCACCGTGGTTTATGTTCTCATCTCCCCAATATGTCAGCATCACCCCACAGGAGCCACCGTGGTTTATGTTCTCATCTCCCCAATGTGCCAGCATCACCCCACAGGAGCCACCGTGGTTTATGTTCTCATCTCCCCAATGTGTCAGCATCATCCCACAGGAGCCACCGTGGTTTATGTTCTCATCTCCCCAATGTGTCAGCATCACCCCACAGGAGCCACCGTGGTGTAGCGGCTATGTGCTCACCAATGGATCCAAAGGTCATAGGTTTGAAACAGCCTTAAGTGGGCACCATGTAAAGTTCTGGGAAGTAAAGGCAGCCGGCGTGATTAGGACAACATGGTTGAGCACTGAATGCTCAGTACACAGAAAGGCATACAATGGGCCCGTGTTTACCGCCACTACCATCATGTGTTCATTATTGATCTGATTGTTGTTTTTGTTCTTCTTTCTAAAGTCAAGCAGTGTGCTATTGGTAGTCATGTCTATCCACAACCTTCTGTCTTGTGTACTTTCAATCAACTCTGACACAGACAACCATCCCTGTCAGAATGTCACACTGTACAGCATCTTTTCTATTAGTCTCCCCCTGCCTCTCCTCCAGCTTTCCTATGTTCATGATGTACTCCAGTTTTCTCCTTCTCAGCACATGACCAAAGAATGATGATTTTGTTAATAACGGCAATAAACAAATTTTTATGTGTTTTTACTTGTCAATACCTTCTGATTTACCATCAGTCAAATTAAAAACCAAAAAAAAAAAGGTTTAAGATTATGAACCCTTTGTGATTTTGCATGGGTCCATAAACAAAACAAACATCGGCTATCTTCCGAATAATGGTCCCAAATTATCGAGACCGAAAATATACCCTAACAGGGCCTCAGTCACGTGTCAATTGCGGACTTCCGCCACCGCCGAGAGTATCTCCCATGCCGCTACGCGCGGTGTGGATTGGGGCTAAACTAGATGGCTGGGACTCACGAGCAAATAAAATGATGGAAGCTGCAGGAAATGCGGTAGCTGCTGCTCGTGAGTCCCAGCCATCTAGTTTAGCCCCAATCCACACCGCGTGTAACGGCGTGGGAGATACTCTTGGCGATGGCGGTAGTCACCAGAAGTCCGCAAATGACCTGTGACTAAGGCCCTGTTATGGTATATTTTCTGCCTTGATAATTTGGGACCGTTATTGGGAAGATAGCTCAAACATCTCATCAGCACGGACCTCAATGGTACAGGGAATGAACATACACATTCCCCGTGTGGGTTCCAGGCCTCAACTGTAGGGGACAGACAGAATACAAGTGTGATGTAAGACTCGACTAATTTGGGATATTTCAAGTCGGAGTTCAAGTGCCTGAGATATGAGGAACCAACAGGCTGCATACAAATAAGCCAGATCTGTAAAACGGATGTACACACTAAACTCTAGGTTTGGAACAAGACTTGGTCCAGAAGTGGATAAACAACCCGAACTTTCCGCCAGCGCTTACAGCCACTGATCGCAAAAAGAAGAAGAAGAAATATACACAACAGATTTTAAAAACGTAGAATATCAAGACTGTTTATTTGTGACACAAGCAACAACAAACAAACACAGCTAGGCCTGTTTCAAACAATACAACTTGTAAACACTCACTGTTAGAAGGAAACAACATGTACATCTACTACAATGTCACACATATTCACTCTGTTGTATGTGTACACTTTCTATATGTCTAAACTTTGTCTGTGTACACTTTCTATTTGTCTAAACTTTGTCTGTGTACACTTTCTATTTGTCTAAACTTTGTCTGTGTACACTTTCTATTTGTCTAAACTTTGTCTGTGTACACTTTCTATTTGTCTAAACTTTGTCTGTGTACACTTTCTATCTGTGTACATTTTCTGATTATCTGCCCCAGAAACAGGTTTCTTGCCTGACTCAGAAGCACACATGTCTGAAATGAAGGGGCATACTTCCCAGATAGTCTGCAAAGGCTCACACACAGAAAAACTCCACACACACTAGAGTTCACACACAGAATAACTTCTCACACACAAGAGTTCACACACAGAATAACTCCTCACACACAAGAGTTCACACACAGAATAACTCCTCACACACAAGAGTTCACACACAGAATAACTCCTCACACACAAGAGTTCACACACAGAAAAACTCCTCACACACAAGAGTTCACACACAGAATAACTCCTCACACACAAGAGTTCACACACAGAATAACTCCTCACACAGAATAACTCCTCACACATAAGAGTTCACACACAGAATAACTCCACACACACAAGAGTTCACACACAGAATGACTCCTCACACACAAGAGTTCACACACAGAATAACTCCTCACACACAAGAGTTCACACACAGAATGACTCCTCACACACAAGAGTTCACACTCAGAATAACTCCACACACAGAGTAACTCCTCACACACAAGAGTTCACACACAGAATGACTCCTCACACACAAGAGTTCACACTCAGAATAACTCCACACACAGAGTAACTCCTCACACACAAGAGTTCACACACAGAATAACTCCACACACAGAGTAACTCCTTACACACAAGAGTTCACACACAGAATAACTCCACACACACAAGAGTTCACACACAGAATAACTCCACACACACAAGAGTTCACACACAGAATAACTCCTCACACACAGAATAACACCACACACAGAGTAACTCCTCACACACAAGAGTTCACACACAGAATAACTCCACACACAGAATAACTCCACACACACAAGAACTCCCACAAAGAGTAACTCCTCACACACAAGAACTCCCACAAAGAGTAACTCCTCACACACAAGAGCTCACTGAGAATAATTTTACAGCTTCCTCACATAAAACAGACATGCTCTGCACAACACCCAGAATGCCCTTTTACATTAGGTGAAAAAACATTTAAAAACAAACAAATTTGGGGGGAGGGGCATAGATAAAAAGAACCTTTGCCTAGATAAAAAGAACCTTTGCCCTTGATATATGTAGAAAAAAACATATCAATCAACTAGTCTCTCTTTTAGAGAGTTTACCTGGTTTAGCAACTGCCACAGATAGACCAAAATACAGCAACAATAGCCAAACTGATTATTTCATACTCAACACAGCAGAACCAAACACATGCAGTCACTTTAATTGTTTCCCTATAAAAAATCTAACTGCCAACACAACGGTTAAAGTGGCTTTTGTTGTTTGAGATCAAAACTCACTGTGGCATCAGTTAACTATCTCCCTCCTCAGTTATCATTCAACTATTTCCACCCTCCCAGTTATCATTCAACTATCTCCCCCGCCCAGTTACAATTCAACTATCTCCCCCTCCCAGTTACCATTCAACTATCTCCCCCTCCCAATTACCATTCAACTATCTCCCCCTCCCAGTTATCATTCAACTATTTCCCCCTCCCAGTTACCATTTAACTATCTCCCCCTCCCAGTTACCATTCAACTATCTCCCCCTCCCAGTTACCATTCAACTATCTCCCCCTCCCAGTTATCATTCAACTATTGTTTCCCTCTTATCAAAAACTAATTATGGGCCAAGTTGTTCTTTAACTGTTTCTGCACAAACCCCATCAATGCTATGTGCCAGGTGCAACACACATTCACCCTCCACATACAGATAATAACAGCCAAATCTGGCACTTTGTTAATTAAAATTACAATCTCAGGAAAAAAAAAAAGACCTTTAGCCTGACAGCCAGCAGGCGCAGGTGGCCGAGGCCCGATCACATGACTACGGTGTTTGTAAGGACTCCACCAGCTTCTTCATACACGTCAACACCTTTGTCTCCGAGAGCTGTTCCTCCGACTGTTGGTTCTGGAAAGTGAGTTGGTTAATTAACACCGACATTTCTACAGATGGAATCCAGCATTGGCTAAATTAACTCTTCTTCTTCTCTGCGTTCACTGACTGTAAACTCTGGTGGAAAGTTCTGGTTGCTCATCCACTTCTGGACTTTTGTCTTTTACTAGAACCTGAGTTTTGCATGCATGTCCCTTGCCTCTCAAGCAGATGCACTCTGACTCTAAAGCAAACATACCTAATTAGTTGACCCCTACAATATGTTAGGGGTGGTGAGTCTATCCCCTCCCTCCCTGAAGTGTACCAGAGAAACAACATGTGGGGCTAAATCCACAATTTGTGCCATTAACGTCCTTCTATAATTGGCACTAAGGCCAGGTAATGAAAGCTCCCGCCTTTTATTTATTTCCTGCCAGGTAAATGAACTGTAACTGATAGAATTATATTTGTACTGTCTTTTGCTGTCCTGTGGTGTGTCTGCTGATCTGACCAGCCTGCCAGGCCAACAACTGGCATTGCATCATGATCCTGCACCAGCAAGTTCCACTTCCACCCACAACTACAGATATGTGATCACTCAAGTGACCTTTCTTACTCCACCAGCTGAAGACCTCACTCTCCTGACCTTTCATAATCCATCAGCCAAACATCTCACTCTCCTAACTTTATATTCTACACCACCAACCACATATCTGACTCCACCAACCACACATCTGACTCCATCAACCACACATTTGACCCCACCAACCACACATCTGACTCCACCAACCACACATCTTACTCCACCAACCACACATCTGACTCCACCAACCACACAGCTGACTCCACCAACCACACATCTGACTCCACCAACCACACAGCTGAACTCACCAACCACACATCTGACTCCACCAACCACACAGCTGACCCCATCAACCACACATCTGACTCCACCAACCACACAGCTGACCTCACCAACCACACATCTGACTCCACCAACCACACGACCCCTCCCACTGACCTCATATCTAATCTGAATCTGCTCCGCCGCCCATGTTGCATATTTCAGGTTCAGCTTCTTGTCCTTGGCCATGACGCTGGAACTTCCCGACAGATTTAATGCTGCCTGCAAACCAAGAGAATATTCTGGTCATGGTTATAGTACATCTGGTGGTTTGGTCATGTAAGACTAGCCTCAAACAGCAGTGAGATGTTTGGCTACAATGGAAACGGCAAGATACAAACATCACTGACAACAGACTCGATAGGACTGTGATGAACATTCCGTATGTTTTTCGTTGGCACAGGAGTGGAGCAACTCTGGGGTGACTCGTTTGTTATGAAGCTGAAACTAAGATTACCAAGACTCGATACAACAGAAGAAACAGAAAGAGGCCTCAAAAATGAAGGATTAGGAACACAGAAGCAGCAGACACCTTGACGGATGAAGCCCATACATAAGTCTCTATCCAGGAAGCTGCCCCTGGTCTTACATTCAGCAGGCCTGATTTAGAAACCGGACAGAAAATGTAGAGCAACTGTTCTATAATACAGGATAATTATATTTCATGCAAAGCTGAATTATCTAAATGCAGCAGTGTAACCTCATCCACAGCTATACATCACAGGTCGGTCAGATCCCCGTGTGGGTTCTGTGGCCCTATCATGGGTTAAAAAAAAAAAAAATGACCCACCGCCCTCTAACAAGCATGTCATAAAAGCGACTAATGAGGGGTGTTTGCTTCAAAGTTGTAATGCATCTGCCTGAGAGGTGATGAACCAACAGTCTGCATATATAAGGCAGATCTGTCAAATGAATGTGCACGCAAAACTCAAGTTCTGGATCAATAAAAACTTTACACTGAAGTTTACAGAAAAATTCAAGACAACTAACACAAGTCAGGACATATAGGGATCTTCTAGTTTTCTCTACTCCTGGAATGCTTTGCGGCCTAAGGGCAGGAACAGATCTCTGGAACGGGCTCTTCTGTTCGCTTCGTATAAAGTACTTTTCAGTGTCTCTGATATATCTGTGGTCCATCTCCTGCGTGGTGGACCTCTGGCTCTGCTACTGTTGCATAGAGAGGCCATGACATACTAATACAGACTTACCAAGAAAAGCCCGATCAATGCTCGAAGATTGTTGGGATTGAGTTTGACAGCCTGGGCAAAGTAGCTCCTGGCCAAGTCCATGTTCTCATTGCCTCCCTGAGTGTAACGAATCTGGCAACAAGACAACAGCACCGCATCAGCAAGGCAAGCATGAGTGAGTCATCCAACTAACATAACTCAGCGTAATTCTGATGGAAGAGTTTGTTCTGTGGGTCTAACTAACATAGCATACTTCTGGTGGAAGAGATGGTTCTGTGGGTCTAACTAACATAGCATACTTCTGGTGGAAGAGATGGTTCTGTGGGTCTAACTAACATACTTCTGATGGAAGAGATGGTTCTGTGGGTCTAACTAGCATAGCATACTTCTGGTGGAAGAGATGGTTCTGTGGGTCTAACTAACATACTTCTGATGGAAGAGATGGTTCTGTGGGTCTAAATAACATACTTCTGATGGAAGAGATGGTTCTGTGGGTCTAACTAGCATACTTCTGATGGAAGAGATGGTTCTGTGGGTCTAACTAGCATACTTCTGGTGGAAGAGATGGTTCTGTGGGTCTAACTAACATAGCATACTTCTGGTGGAAGAGATGGTTCTGTGGGTCTAACTAGCATACTTCTGATGGAAGAGATGGTTCTGTGGGTCTAACTAGAGATGTTCTGATGTGGTTCTGTGGGTCTAACTAGCATACTTCTGATGGAAGAGATGGTTCTGTGGGTCTAACTAGCATAGCATACTTCTGGTGGAAGAGATGGTTCTGTGGGTCTAACTAGCATACTTCTGGTGGAAGAGATGGTTCTGTGGGTCTAACTAACATACTTCTGATGGAAGAGATGGTTCTGTGGGTGATGGAAGAGATGGTTCTGTGGGTCTAACTAGCATAGCATACTTCTGGTGGAAGAGATGGTTCTGTGGGTCTAACTAACATACTTCTGATGGAAGAGATGGTTCCTGTGGGTCTAACTACACATACTTCTGATGAGATGGTTCTGTGGAGATGGTTCTGTGGGTCTAACTAGCATACTTCTGATGGAAGAGATGGTTCTGTGGGTCTAACTAGCATACTTAAAGAGATGGTTCTGTGGGTCTAACTAACATAGCATACTTCTGGTGGAAGAGATGGTTCTGTGGGTCTAACTAGCATACTTCTGATGGAAGAGATGGTTCTGTGGGTCTAACTAGCATACTTCTGATGGAAGAGATGGTTCTGTGGGTCTAACTAGCATAGCATACTTCTGGTGGAAGAGATGGTTCTGTGGGTCTAACTAACATACTTCTGATGGAAGAGATCTAACTAGCATACTTCTGATGGAAGAGATGGTTCTGTGGGTCTAACTAGCATACTTCTGATGGAAGAGATGGTTCTGTGGGTCTAACTAGCATACTTCTGGTGGAAGAGATGGTTCTGTAGGTCTAACTAGCATACTTCTGGTGGAAGAGATGGTTCTGTAGGTCTAACTAACACATCTCAGCCTACTTCTGATGGAAGAGATGGTTGTGTGGGTCTAACTAACACATCTCAGCCTACTTCTGATGGAAGAGATGGTTCTGTGGGTCTAACTAACACATCTCAGCCTACTTCTGGTGGAAGATATGGCTGTGTGAATCAAACATACTTCTGGTGGAAGAGATGGCTGTGTGAATCAAACTTACTTCTGGTGAAAGAGATGGTTGTGTAACTCTAACTAACATACTTCTGGTGGAAGAGATGGTTGTGTGAATCAAACTTACTTCTGGTGGAAGAGATGGTTGTGTGACTCTAACATACTTCTGGTGGAAGAAGTATTTGTGTGGGTCTAACTAACTTACTTCTGGTGTAAGAGGTGGTTGTGTGGGTCTGTAACATACTTCTGGTGGAAGAGATGGTTCTGTGGGTCTAAGTAACATACTTCTGGTGGAAGAGATGGTTGTGTGGGTCTGACTAACATACTTCTGGTGGAAGAGATGGTTCTGTGGGTCTAAGTAACATACTTCTGGTGGAAGAGATGGTTGTGTGGGTCTAACTAACATACTTCAGGTGGAAGAGATGGTTGTGTGGATCTAACTAACATACTTCTGGTGGAAGAGATGGTTGTGTGGGTCTAACATACTTCTGGTGGAAGAGATGGTTGTGTGGGTCTAACTAACATACTTCAGGTGGAAGAGATGGTTGTGTGGATCTAACTAACATACTTCTGGTGGAAGAGATGGTTCTGTGGGTCTAAGTAACATACTTCTGGTGGAAGAGATGGTTGTGTGGGTCTAACTAACATACTTCTGGTGGAAGAGATGGTTCTGTGGGTCTAAGTAACATACTTCTGGTGGAAGAGATGGTTGTATGACTCTAACTAATATACTTCTGGTGGAAGAGATGGTTTTGTGGGTCTAACTAACATACTTCTGGTGGAAGAGATGGTTGTGTGGATCTAACTAACATACTTCTGGTGGAAGAGATGGTTGTGTGGGTCTAACTAATATACTTCTGGTGGAAGAGATGTTTGTGTGAATCTAAGTAACATACTTCTGGTGGAAGAGATGGTTGTGTAAGCCTAACTAACATACTTCTGGTGGAAGAGATGGTTGTGTGGGTCTAACTAACATACTTCTGGTGGAAGAGATGTTTGTGTGAATCTAAGTAACATACTTCTGGTGGAAGAGATGGTTGTGTGGGTCTAACTAACATACTTCTGGTGGAAGAGATGTTTGTGTGAATCTAAGTAACATACTTCTGGTGGAAGAGATGGTTGTGTGGGTCTAACTAACATACTTCTGGTGGAAGAAATGGTTGTGTGGGTCTAACATACCTCAGCATACTTCTGGTGGAAGAGATGATTGTGTGGGTTAGACATAATGAGCTCCTCCAGACAGAAGGCTGCATTGTTATAGTCATGCTGGGATAGATACAGGTCACAGAGTTCGTTCCAGGCTTCGTAGTCCGTCATAAAACTGAGAAGTCAACAAGCAGTGATCAATTTAAATGTGTACATGTGTATAATCTCCAAGTGTTTTACTGGCTGGGCAATCATGTCTCTCCATCATCCTCACATTTTAGTAAAATTAAAAGGATATTTTACCTTTGTACACTCATACATCATAATGCCACCCTCTTATCTGAGAATAACATCACTCCCTAACTGTTCCACATACAAAAACCAATGAACCCTATTATGACACCGGCACCAGCAACTTTATCTGAGAGAGAATGAAATCAATAACCCATGACCATAAAACTTATCCGGACAACCTATAAATGGCCCCAGAGAAGGATAAACCTAGTCATTTTTGGCTGTGACATAGACCCCTGCCTCTCTCGCTGTTCTTAAAAAGTGAGATTATAGACCATTAGTTCTAGTTCACTAAAAAGCCCAGATGTCAATACAGTAACTAAATACAATATTTAGAGGCATTTCTGTGTCAATACAAAAGCTTTTTTAAAGCCAGGAAAACTGAAAGTTTTAAAATGAGGTCACTGAATGAGTCACCCATGCAAATTTGTTTGAGGTCCCAAGGAAGGCATTCCACTGAACGCTTCAACCTGTTCTTATTTACTGATTACTCCCTTTATAAATCTTTCTATATTAAAAAAAAAATATATATTTTAGAAATAAAGATAAATAAATTTTGTACACATTTTATTAATTAGCTGTGTAAAATATTTTTGTAAAGATTTTAATTTTGGAAATTCCCATGGTTCATGTACCTACCCCCCCCCCCCCCCCCCCCCTCCATTTTTTTCTAGCCTTTGCACGGTGAAAGCGTTCAGCAGCAAACAGTTAAAACACTCTGTAGAAAATTCACCGAAATGTTTACCAGAAAGGGAAAGACTTCTCCTCTCTACTGCTGAGTACAAACTTTCTCCAGACATCTGAGCGCCTCAACCCTCTTCTGGCAAACGCCAAGTGCAGCTACTTTCTGTGTTTCCATGAACCAATTTTAGCTTGTTTTAATTTTGGCATCAAGGGATTTTGTCTTTGATCATGTTAGACAATAGTCCAAATCTTCTCACCTCGACCTCAACTGAAGAGAACTTAAACAACAACCATATTCTGCTCTACAGAATCCTGGGGCCAATATTATCAAGTGACACCACATGGAAACAGGTTATTAAATGAGGCTACATTAGATACACAGAATATTTTGAGCATATAAAGAGACTTATTATCTTACTGATAACCACCAGAGAGGCGGGAGGTCATGGAGACAGTAGTCAGTGAACTAGCCACTACACCAGCCAGCAGTTCATCAGTTCACATATCCCATCAGTCACTACCTAGTGCCTATCTCCTCCGTCTCCCGTTCCAGACAGAAAAATGCAGCAAGTGCCACCCAAGTCTGAGATTCAAACCTGTTACTTCAAACATAAGTGCTATAATTAAGGCAACATGGATATTAATAATGTCTGACCAGTTGTCCATTAACTTGCCAGACTATGAGTCATCTCCCCTGCCGTGTCGTCTTAAATATGACCAACTTTCTACTGCATAACTGCAGTTCATTTCAAGCATTGCCTTTTTGGCAAGTTCAGTTTTTAACCTGCCCTCAGATAATCCAACAAGGAAACAAGAAGACTTGATCTTGTCTGTACAAACCTTTTCAAATAGTCGTTCAACTTGGATATAGCCTCTGGGATTTTGTTCTGTGCCTTCAAGATTGCCACCTGCCTCTTTCTTGCATACTGAAAGTAGTCCCATTATGGCAGTTATTCAACACTTCATCAACTAGTGACATTTATCCATACCTTATAGGTTAACCTTTACAATAGTTCAGCCTATACATTACAGGTTAACTTATGCAATATTTAATCTATAAACTTAGACTCATCTATACCCTAGTTAATCTATATGCTAGTTAATCTTTAAACTAGACTAATCTATAAACTAGACTCATCTATATGCTAGTTAATCTTTAAACTAGACTAATCTATAAACTAGACTCATCTATATGCTAGTTAATCTTTAAACTAGACTAATCTATAAACTAGACTCATCTATATGCTAGTTAATCTTTAAACTAGACTAATCTATATGCTAGTTAATCTATAAACTAGACCAATCTATACGCTACTTAATATATAAACTAGACTAATATATATGCTACTTAATATATAAACTACACTCATCTATACGTTAGGTAATCTTTAAACTATACTGAAATTTACGCTAGTTAATCTATAAACTAGACTCATCTTTTTGCTAGTTAATCTACAAACTAGACTAATCTATATACTAGTTAATCTATAAACTAGACTAATCTATATACTTGTTAATCTATAAATGACTGACTAAACTAGACAAATGAATAATCAATACAGCAAAAAATCTACAGGCTAAACTAGACACTAGTTTAACAATACAGTGGTTAATCTATAATCTATTGATTGATTATGTATAAATTAGTAGGGCTGTACCAAATAGTGATTTTCACTATTCAGCCGAATAAGAATAGCCAGACCAACTATTTGGCCGAATACGAATAGTGTATTATCATCATTATCAGGTGCCTTGCTGACTGGCGTGGGCGAATATGCCTCGCCACAATCTGCGATCTCCTGCAGAATGTATTAGTTTGTGTGCTGACACACCTCCATACCATGCAACAAGACTGTCAAGAATCTTCTCTCGTTGTCTTCCTCTATCTCTCATTCCACAGATCTTTCCAGTGGTCTCCACATGTTCCATTTTTCCTCTTCTCATAACACGGCCGAAAAATGATGACTGTCTCCTTCTGATGTCTGTGATTAATTGTCTTCAGGATCCCTCTTCTTTCAAAAGCTCTTGGTTGTCTTTTTTTTTTTTTTTTGGCTGTCCAGGGTATTTTAAATATTGTTCTGTAAAACCAGATCTCTGAGGTATCAAGAAATTGTTTGTCCTGCCTACCGATTGTCCAGGACTCACAACTCATTGCCTTTAAATATAAGTGCTTACTTGATGAGGCTAACAGTGACTATTGTACAGACCACATTTTCCACTTTAAAATTTCGGCTAAAATGTAATCACAACCTTACTAATCCGCTGCACCTTCACGAATACAGATGGAGGATCAGTCAAACCTCGAGATAAATATAAAAGACAATTTTAGCGGTTGGCATTTTATGCAGTTTGATACACTTTGAGTGTGAAATAAGGAAAAAACTCTTTTCAACAGTGGCGAGGAAAGACAATTTAAATTTTAACTTTTAAATATCTTCATGCCTTTTTTAATAATGTCACAATTTATAGCCGACTTTTCTTGATTTTTGCCGCGGCACCCATGGCAAACGCACCCAGTTTGAGAACCTCTGCTGTAATGCCTCGGTCGAGTCAGCAGGCAAAGACCTTACCAACTGCTGTTTCCTCCCGCTACGACAGACTTAGGCAACTATTGTGTTAATGAGAGAGTTTTTTTTCAGTACATCGCAGTGTATGCAAAACGGGTGTAAGGTAACCACTATTCGTATGTGGCCCGACCGCAAGTATTCGTCCGAATACTGAATAGTTATTGAGTCCACTATTCGGCCCCGAAGCAAATATTCGGTACAGCCCTATAAACTAGTTAATCAATACAAGACTAATTACACAATAGCTCATCCTCATTTGCTAGGATATAAACCAGCTTTAATGTAAATCAATCTGAGGGGTGATCCATAAGTCCCGACCTTGACTGTGAAAGAGTTACCGGAGAAAGCGTGAAACCCGGCACGTTTGTAGCTCATTATATTGTAACTAAATATGAGAAGTTTGCAGCTGATTCTTTGACATGTTTTCTGTTATTGTGCATAGCGCCGTAAACACTGACCAGATCTACTGCGTAAATGTTTCACCACAAATACAGCCAACAGATGCCAGAGCTGTGATAAAATTCCTGATGTTGCAGGGACTAATATAAATATACAGGGAGATAGAATCAGTATTTCAGAAATCCTGTCCTTATATGCTTCGGTAAATAACGGGTAGGCAGTTTAAGTGTGGTCGTACAAATGTTGTTGATATGCCAAGATGTGGAAGGCCGCCCTCAGAATTCACTGTAAGCAGAAACAGTGAAGAATATCATTATATCCCTACTGAAGATATTTCTAGCGCAGTTAAACTGAGCAAAAGTACAGTTGCTAGAATTCTATACAACAAACTGAACATGAGAGAAGTGTGTGCCCACTAGGTCCCCTGCCTGCCAACATGTAATGTGCTGTTGACAGTTACTCAAAAATGACTATGGTGACAGTAGACGAGACTTGGGTTCACCATTATGACCCCCAATCCAAAATTGCTAGCATGCACTAGACAAGACCAGGGCTTCCCAACACATGTCAAACAACTGAAATGTGCAGGGAAAGTGATGCTGCAAGAAAAAGAACAACAGTTCTATGTACGACTCATGATGTTACCATGTTAGGCATCAAAAATGACATGACAATAATTACCATGTTTGTCTCATCCTTCTCCAGTATATTTTTGTACTCCTCTTCTGCTTTTGTGTACCTGCAAGTAGATACCAGGTTCACACATGAACATTAGAGACCAGGTGTCACACATCAACATTAGAGACAAGGCGTCACACATCAACATTAGAGACCAGGCGTCACACATCAACATTAGAGACCAGGCGTCACACATCAACATTAGAGACCAGGCGTCACACATCAACATTCACCTGTTCAGTGTGTGAGTCCTTAATATATCTTCTTCTTCATCATTTGTTCAAGTGATACAAATGTTTTATGTTGTTTACAGCATAGCTGTGATATTTGCATCTTTTAGCGGACACATCCGATCTCTTGAGGCATTTGTTATCCAGGTTAGCTTGCCTGGTTAGTTTCATGAGACACTTGTAGCCTCACCTGTTCAGACATTTGTAGCTTCACGTGTTGAGACACTTGTAGCCTCATGTGTTGGGACACTTGAAGCCTTACTTGTTGAGAGCTTCACGTGTTGAGACACTTATAGCCTCACATATTGAGACACTTGTAGCCTTACGTGTTGAGACACTTGTAGCAGCCTTACTTGTTAAGAGCTTCAGGTGTTGAGACACTTGTAGCCTCACGTATTGAGACACTTGTAGCCTCACATATTGACACACTTGTAGCCTCACGTATTGAGACACTTGTAGCCTCACGTATTGAGACACTTGTAGCCTCACGTGTTGAGACACTTGTAGCATTACTTGTTGAGACCTTCAGGTGTTGACACACTTGTAGCCTCACGTATTGAGACACTTGTAGCCTCACGTGTTGAGACACTTGTAGCCTCAAGTGTGAGACGACAATCTCTGACCCCAGGTGCTGTCCTTAGACGTCAAGTCTAGGACAGCCACAAGCAGATTAGTCGATCTTCAAGGAAAGGCAGGGGCACAGCATGGAGATTTCCTGCCATCCAAGGAGACTTTCATAATTGCAGAGCCGACACCTGAGTGCTCTAGTACTGGGCTCACCCAAGGAATCGTCAAGCCTTGCAGAAGAGGTTTCAGTGTAAGCAAAGACAGCTTCTCTTCTGCTACTCCTTTACAGTCCAGACCAAAACTTACGGCCAGTCCCTTGTACACCGAGGATTTTCAGTGCTGTTTACCCTGTGTAAATTATTTTGAAAACTTCTGTTTTCGTTGTTCACTCTCATTCTATGTTCAAGAAGTCAAGGAATGAGGGTCCCTTGGTTTCCTCCAATCACAAGCAAACAATCTTCACAATCAATCATGTAGATGATATCCCCCAATCTGGGCACTGAATCTATCATCAAAAGTAACATACAAGCGATATTGTTTCTGTAACGAATACAATTCTGAATGATATAAGGGAAGTAACTAGAATAACTGTAACTTACTCGCCCCTGGCTTCGTACATCATTCCCAGCAGACGCCGGACTCGTATACTTTTAGGAAATTTGTGGTCCAAGGAACTTATACACAGCTGCAAAAAGTGGAAATACAATCATATGTTACAGACAATATACAGCTATATTCATATTTTGCAATCAAAAATGGAATGAACAAATAACTTCAGTATGTCCAAAAGTTAATTAAAACAAAAGAGTCAAAAGCTAGATTACAAACAGTTACCCCCATGTCGGATGCAATTTTTCGTTATTTGAGCCCCACCCTGGCTTTTGCCGGTGCCCTGAATATAGCAGGGCCATTAATATGGCCTAATGGAGGCACTTTGTGTCACCGGGTGTTTATCGCTTGTGTGATGTCCTGGTGGGGTACAACTTATATAACAGCTAGATCAAATCTCGGGCTAGTAAAATAAGTACCTACCTCAGCTAGGTCAAATCTCTGACAGTCAAGGGCTGCAGTACAGACTTGCTCATAAACCAACCACACTGCAAGAAGGAAAGCAGATTCTTAAACACATTTACAAGCTCAACCCACTGAGCAATCATCCTACATAGAACTACCTGTGTATCTCATATCTTGGACATGATGGCATCTATGTCCAAGAAAGTTTTCAAAACTTAAATACTGTCAGAAATAAAACAGGAATAACATTTTAACAATAATAGTGGCATGTGCCACAATCCATGTTGGAGTCCAGATCTGTTTCCGGGCAGGGAGTTGATATAGAACTTACTTTTACTGCAGCACTGGGCAGGGAGTTGATATAGAACTTACTTTTACTGCAGCACTGGGCAGGGAGTTGATATAGAACTTACTTTTACTGCAGCATTGGGCAGGGAGTTGATATAGAACTTACTTTTACTGCAGCATTGGGCAGGGTTAACACGTAAACCACAGAAAGTGTACTGAACAAGTCAGGCCGACGTTGGTACAGAATTTACTTTTACTGCCAGCTTTATGGGGCAGGGAGTTGCATATAGAAGTCTTGGCTTTTACTGCAGCACTCACTCCCCTACAGGGAGTTACATATATCCCACACAACCATTACCCTACACAACAGTGACACTTAAATCATTCCCACACAGCCATTTGCCTACACAACAGTGACACTTAAATCATTCCCACACAACTTACCCTTGCAACAGCACTTAAATCATTCCCAGTTTGCCCACACAACAGACACTTAAATCATGCTGCACAGCATTTGCCTACACAACAGTGACACTTAAATCATTCCCACACAGCCATTTGCCCACACAACAGTGACACTTAAATCATTCCCACACAGCCATTTGCCCACACAACAGTGACACTTAAATCATTCCCACACAGCCTGCAGCCCACTGGGCAGTGACACTTAAATCATTCCCATACATTTGCCCACACAACAGTGACTTTTAAATCATGCCCATACAGCACTGGGCCCACACAACAGTGACACTTGATATTCCCATACAGCCATTACACAACAGTTTAAATCATTCCCATGCAGCCATTGCCCACACAACAGTTGACACTTAAATTACATTCCCATACAGCCAGCACTGGGCAGTGACACTTAAATCATTCTCACTTAGCCATTTGCCCACTGCAGTGACACTAAATCATTCCCAGTTGCCCACACAACAGACACTTACAATCGTTCCCATACAGCCATTTGCCCACACAACAGTGAGTTAAAATCGTTCCCATACAGCCATTTGCCCACACAACAGAACACTTAAATTTTACCATACAGCCATTTGCCCACACAACAGTGACACTTAAATCATTCCCATAAGCCATTACCCACACACTGCACACTTAAATCATTCCCATACAGCCATTTGCCCACACAACAGTGACACTTAAATCATTCCCATACAGCCATTTGCCCACACAACAGTGACACTTAAATCATTCCCATACAGCCATTTGCCCACACAACAGTGACACTTAAATCATTCCCATACAGCCATTTGCCCACACAACAGTGACACTGGATCATTCCCATACAGCCATTTGCCTACACAACAGTGACACTTAAATCATTCCCATACAGCCATTTGCCCACACAACAGTGACACTTAAATCATTCCCATACAGCCATTTGCCCACACAACAGTGACACTTAAATCATTCCCATACAGCCATTTGCCCACACAACAGTGACACTTACAATCATTCCCATACAGCCATTTGCCCACACAACAGTGACACTTAAATCATTCCCATACAGCCATTTGCCCACACAACAGTGACACTTACAATCGTCCCCAAGCTTGTGGTAACTGTTTGCCAGGACATTGTCCCACAGGCTGACCACCAAGTCTGAATCCCGCGTCTGCTCATCACGAAACTTTTTCAAAATTGTGCGAGCTTCTGAAAATAACAAGGATCTGAATAAAGCTTTGCACATACAAGATTACAATATCGCTATACTGAGATAAAAAGGCTACAAAGATTATTTTTTAATGGAAACAGGCGACGACAAATTTGGAATTATAGTGCCTGAAAGGTTAATGCCTTCTCACCTCAGATGGAACATCTTAGGACAGTCGAAACATGAACACACTGATCATAATTATGTGCTCAGCTGGAGGCATAGGTTTCAATGTTTTTCCATAAGAAAGCATGCGGAGAAAGGTGAGGAGGCAGGCGGAGAAAGGTGAGGAGGCAGGCGGAGAAAGGTGAGGAGGCAGGCGGAGAAAGGTGAGGAGGCAGGCGGAGAAAGGTGAGGAGGCAGACGGAGAAAGGTGAGGAGGCAGGCGGAGAAAGGTGAGGACAGGCATGCGGAGAAAGGTGAGGAGACAGGCAGGCTGAGAAAGGTGAGGAGACAGGCAGGCGGAGAAAGGTGAGGAGACAGGCAGGCTGAGAAAGGTGAGGAGACAGGCAGGCTGAGAAAGGTGAGGAGACAGGCAGGCGGAGAAAGGTGAGGAGACAGGCAGGCTGAGAAAGGTGAGGAGACAGGCAGGCGGAGAAAGGTGAGGAGACAGGCAGGCTGAGAAAGGTGATGGAGATGCTCCAGGCACTGAGTCGGTTCAGGAATCAGCTCAGCTCAACTCCATAAATGCTGAGACAGGCAGGCTGGAGGTGAGGAGACAGGCAGTTCAAAGGTGAGGAGACAGGCAGGCGGAGACCATTCAGGCAGGCGTTAAAGGTCTGCTTGTCTCTGCCGGAGAAAGGTGAGGATCAGGCAGGCGGAGAAAGATGCCCCTCCTCTCCTCATATGCCCAGAGAACAATCTCTTTCTGACAGGCAGCGGAGAAAGGTCTAGGAGACAGGCAGTTTGCTGAGAAAGGTGTCTCAGGAAACAACTCAGGCGGAGAAAGGTGAGGATATAAAATTATCAGCTTCCTTGAGGAGACAGGCAGGCCAAAAGTTCTAGGAGACAGGCAGGCGGAGAAGGTGAGGATTTCTCTCAGGCGGAGAAAGGTGAGGAGACAGGCAGACTTTCTACTGAAGGAGACAGGCAGGCTGAGAATAGCCAAAAAGAAGACAGTGCAGTCGGAGAAAGGTGAGAGCACAGGCACTACGGAGAAAGGTTTCAGGAGTCACACAGGCTGAGAAATTTGAGGAGACTTTCAGCAAAGAGAACGGTGAGGAGACAGGAGGCTGAGAAAGGTGAGGAACAGGCAGCCTGAGTCAATGTGAATTGAGACAGGCAGGCTGAGAAAGGTGAGGACGACAGGCATCTCCTACTAAAGGTGAGGAGACAGGCAGGTTGAGAAAGGTGAGGAGACAAGCATGCTTCATGCAGAGTGGCATGCTTCACTTTGGCCATCTTGTTTATCTCCAATCTACGCCGTGCGTAGCAGCATGGAAGATACTCTCGACGGTGGCGGTATAGTCCCCGAAGTAGCAATTCATGGCGGTGACACTCTTGGCGGTGGAAGTCCGCAATTGACATGTGACTGAGGCCCAGTTAGGGTGTATTTTCGGCCTCCCTTATTCGGAAGATAGCCAATTTCTCTTAGTACTGTGGACAAACCTATGAATGTCTAATACTTTGTGGACACTCAGTTATTCATGAAATGACGACAAACCTATTCATAGCGTTAAATTTGTCAGCCTTATGTGTTTTTTTTTCTTTTCATGATATTTTTCATCATGGACACTCGTCCCTTCCCCAACCAAACTTGTTCCAGACTATTTATAGCATTATTTTTTTTTAATACGACATTAGACATAGATGATTAGGAGTTAGCAGCTAAGATGGGAAAATAATTAGGTTGCATCACAGTTGTTTATTGAATAACTGATAACTATAATTCTTCAACAATTTCTCTGAAAAAAATGGGGCCAAGGGAGGGGAGCTCATACAAACAATGACAGTCACAGTGACTGGCAACGGATGAAATGCTTTTCTTGTACCCACATATGTGTGTATACACACACATATATAACATGTAAATCAACTATCCTTTGTTAAATCTCGGTATTACGATATTAGTTTGACCTAAAAAGGGGCTGGTGTCGAGCAAACAAAAAAATTTGTGTCTGCTATGTTGCAGTCAATCGATAATAGGTTAGTCCATTCTTCATATTGATACTACTTTAACGGGTCACAAAACATTCAAGTTTATGTGACCACAAGTGAGGTATTCCAACTTTCAATAATATATTATAGCAAACACATTTCTCTCTAATCTCTGGCAAACAAATATTTGTCGAACATTCCAGTTCTCACCGTCGAAACTCACTCTCTGCGCCATCTTGGTTGAGTATAAAAAAAGTCTGTCAATAAAGAAAACAAAATAATTAAAAACTCATAAAATCTATAATTTTATCATGATAGCCGATTTTATTACCCTTCATATTGAAACTAAAATTTTTTTTCATGTTTGATGTTGTGTAAATAGTCTAAAATACTACATAATTTAATCGTTTCTAGTTATTTGTTGGGTCCATATTTTTAATATATTGATTACAATTACCTAGCAACGGCAAACAATGTAGATTGAGAAGTCTGGGCAGTCACTGATACAACAACTTGCCGGAGATACTCACATCAACATGATACCACCGAACGCTTCTCTCGTCAAATATGACAACCCTGTGTTGGTCAGCAGAAATACCGACAAAAAGACGCCTAGGGTGAGTAGACAACTCTAGTGTAACTTTGCTGAAGGGAAACATTACAAACACAGTGTCTTCAATCTTCTGCAAACTTCTCATAATGAGACAACGCGTGAAAGACACTATATTAGTTTAGAGGGCGATTTTATGTTACACTTGTGAAATAAAACTCATAATAATGTATACTGATCAAATAAGATATTCCATACTTTATTTGTCTTTAGTGAGTGAGCCAGAAAGAGAGGGTGAAAGAGAGAGAGAGAGAGAGAGAGAGAGAGAGAGAGAGAGAGAGAGAGAGAGAGAGAGAGTACACACATATGTGTGTGATTGTGCGCGCGTGTGTGTGTTGAGGACACGACGCACGTTGAAGGATAGCGTGGAGAGCCAACATTATTAATCTAAACACTTTAAAGACACACAAAAACAATCCTGATCCTAAACATTAGGAAAGACTATAATCATTTTTGACCATGTTGTAGAAAAGACTTTCTCTAACATAATAGAGAAATATATAGAACTGGACAGACAGAGGTTAGACAGATGGGCATGGAAGGCAGTCAATGAACAAACTTAGCAAAAACACAAATGGGGGAATATCATCACCTAGACTACACACCATGATACATGATAATGATAAATAAATAATAGAATGCTGAAATGTTTGCAGGCAAAGGCCCTCAAGGCAAGTCCTACTCCTCCAGCCATTGCTGGACCTGTGCCTCAGCCCCCAGGCAAGGCCAAGGGATCCCCCATGGATGCAAAGGCTGCACAACAGACAGATGAAATTCTCAACTCCATCTTACCTCCACGGTAAGTCTGGGTTCACAGTAAGCTTAGTTCAAAGTAGGTCTTGGTTCAATGGTAAGCTAGGTTCATAGTTAGTCTTGTCTTTTAGTAAACCTTAGTTCAATGGTAAGGTAGGTTCATAGTTAGTCTTGTCTTTTAGTAAGCCTTAGTTAAATGGTAAGGTAGGTTCATAGTTAGTACTGTCTCTTAGTAAGTCTTGCTGACACTGCATCTGGGTTCACAGTATGTCTTGGTTCAGTGGTTGTCTTGGTTCAATAGATGTCTTGGTTCAATGGTTGTCTTGGTTCAATAGATGTCTTGGTTCAATGGCTGTCTTGGTTCAATAGATGTCTTGGTTCAATAGATGTCTTGGTTCAATGGATGTCTTGGTTCAGTGGTTGTCTTGGTTCAATGGATGTCTTGGTTCAGTGGTTGTCTTGGTTCAATGGATGTTATGGTTCAGTGGTTGTCTTGGTTCAATGGATGTCTTGGTTCAGTGGTTGTCTTGGTTCAATGGATGTCTTGGTTCAGTGGTTGTCTTGGTTCAATGGATGTCTTGGTTCAATGGAGGTCTTGGTTCAATAGATGTCTTGGTTCAATGGACGTCTTGGTTCAATGGATGTCTTGGTTCAGTGGTTGTCTTGGTTCAGGGATTGTCTTGGTTCAGTGGATGTCTTGGTTCAATAGATGTCTTGGTTCAGTGGTTGTCTTGGTTCAGTGGTTGTCTTGGTTCAATGGATGTCTTGGTTCAGTGGTTGCCTTGGTTCAATGGATGTCTTGGTTCAATAGATGTCTTGGTTCAATGGTTGTCTTGGTTCAATAGATGTCTTAGTTCAATAGATGTCTTGGTTCAATAGATGTCTTGGTTCAGTGGTTGTTTTGGTTCAGTGGTTGTCTTGGTTCAATGGTTGTCTTGGTTCAATGGTTGTTTTGGTTCAATGGTTGTCTTGGTTCAGTGGATGCCTTAGTTCAATAGTAAGGGACTTTACAATCCATCTTTTCACATAGTCAAGTCTAACTCCGTAGTAAGTCTGTTTTCACAGTGGCTCACAGTAAGCTTTCCCTCCACAGTAAATCTGGGATCTTAGTCAGTCTTCTCCTACAGTAAGTCTTGCTTTCATGGTAAGTCTATTTTTGTTGTATGCTTGGTTCACAGAAAGTCTTGACTCTGTGATGAGTCTGGGCTCACAGAAAGTCTTGACTGTGATGAGTCTGGGCTCACAGAAAGTCTTGACTGTGATGAGTCTGGGCTCACAGAGAGTCTTGACTGTGATTAGTCTGGGCTCACAGAGAGTCTTGACTGTGATTAGTCTGGGCTCACAGAGAGTCTTGACTGTGATTAGTCTGGGTTCACAGAAAGTCTTGACTGTGATGAGTCTGGGTTCACAGAGAGTCTTGACTGTGATTAGTCTGGGTTCACAGAGAGTCTTGACTGTGATTAGTCTGGGCTCACAGAGAGTCTTGACTGTGATGAGTCTGGGTTCACAGAAAGTCTTGACTGTGATGAGTCTGGGTTCACAGAAAGTCTTGACTGTGATGAGTCTGGGTTCACAGAGAGTCTTGACTGTGATGAGTCTGGGCTCACAGAAAGTCTTGACTGTGATGAGTCTGGGTTCACAGAAAGTCTTGACTGTGATGAGTCTGGGTTCACAGAAAGTCTTGACTGTGATGAGTCTGGGTTCACAGAAAGTCTTGACTGTGATGAGTCTGGGTTCACAGAAAGTCTTGACTGTGATGAGTCTGGGTTCACAGAAAGTCTTGACTGTGATGAGTCTGGGCTCACAGAAAGTCTTGACTGTGATGAGTCTGGGTTCACAGAGAGTCTTGACTGTGATGAGTCTGGGCTCACAGAGAGTCTTGACTGTGATTAGTCTGGGTTCACAGAAAGTCTTGACTGTGATGAGTCTGGGTTCACAGAAAGTCTTGACTGTGATGAGTCTGGGTTCACAGAAAGTCTTGACTGTGATGAGTCTGGGCTCACAGAAAGTCTTGACTGTGATGAGTCTGGGTTCACAGAAAGTCTTGACTGTGATGAGTCTGGGCTCACAGAAAGTCTTGACTGTGATGAGTCTGGGCTCACAGAAAGTCTTGACTGTGATGAGTCTGGGCTCACAGAAAGTCTTGACTCCATGATAAGTCTGTGTTCACATGTTCATAGTAAGTCTAGGCTCCACAAGAAGTCTGGGCTCTATCTCTATGAGAAGTCTGGGCTCTATGAGAAGTCTGGGCTCTATGAGAAGTCTGGGCTCTATGAGAAGTCTGGGCTCTATGAGAAGTCTGGGCTCTATGAGAAGTCTGGGCTTTATGAGAAGTCTGGGCTCTATGAGAAGTCTGGGCTCACAGTAAACCTTGGCTACACAGTGATTCTGTGCTCATAGTAAGCATTGACTGCACAGTAATTCTGGGCTCACAGTAGGCATTGACTACACAGTAATTCTGGGCTCACAGTAAGTATGGGCTTTTTTCTAGGCTCACAGTAGGCATTGACTACAGAGTAATTCTGGGCTCACAGTAGGCATTGACTACACAGTAATTCTGGGCTCACAGTAAGTATGGGCTTTTTTCTAGGCTCACAGTAAGCATTGACTACACAGCAATTCTGGGCTCACAGTAAACCTTGACTACACAGTAATTCTGGGCTCACAGTGAGTCTAGGCTCTATGAGAAGTTGTTTTTGACCTGTTTTTGTGCTCAGTAGTAAAATCGTTTGTCTTGCAATGTGGAAGTTTTGGTCTTGTTTTTGGACTGTCATTCAGCTCATTTTTTACAATATTATGTTTAGATGCCCAGATTACTGGAGCTATGGAGAATGTACTTTATGTGATGCTTTCAACAGATAGCAGCCTCTCAACAGATAGCAGCCTCTCAACAGATAGCAGCCTCTCAACAGATAGCAACCACTCAACAGAGAGAGACTGGGTCAGAAGAGACAAAACCTGACGTAATGAAGCTGTTTCTCCTGCTTGTGACCACTAAAGAATTCTTTATGAAAGTTTTCTGACTGCTGGCGTTGGATTCAGCACTGAAATAGTGAACATCACCACAGAAAAAAGGACATTCTAGAAACACTTCTATGTATAGGGACCTGCTTTCTTGTCTTGAGTGTATTCACAATATGATGTTAGCAGCAGATTCATATAGACCAGTTAGCACTCAACGAGTGATCTGCTAATTAACATACAGGCCACTTTTACTTCCCTTTACATTTTATGGTGCAAATTTTAGTTGAATTGGATATTGTTGTTAAATTACTACTACTACTAGAGAGTGGACAGAAAGTGGTCAGCTGTGGGTGCAGCAAGTGTCCAGTACACCAGCAACCAGGTTGGATGTGGTCAATCTTCAGGAGGAGCTAGACAGAAGGCTGCAACAAAGACAGGCCAGAGAAACAGGAATTTGTCCAGTTCGTCGGGAACTATACTCACAGTGTTTTGGTAAGTGACTGAACAGAATGTGAACTTTTTGATTTCTTTGTCTCTCTAGGAGAATCATTAGTTCAGCATGATTTAGGCAACTACATGACTGAACTAACAATGTGAATTATGAACTACGTGACTGAACCAGGAACATGCCTGAATGAACTACATGACTGAACCTGCTAGACAAGCTGAGTTGGGCTGTGTCAAGAACAGATATTACAGCATACAGGGCATTTCCATGAGTCATTTGTCCCCATTTTCAACAGCCAGTGCAGAATTCCAATTACCATGGTATGAGTATCAGTCTGATCGAAAGGCTTTCTAACCTTCCCTCCGAGTGTTGAATGTTGACCATATCTGTGATCACTCCTAGCTGCACCATTCTCTTTGGACCTTATTGATCCATTTGTGCCTCCACACTGTTCACTGACTCCCACAGGACTTGTATCACGTCTAGCTTGTCATGTATCAGTTTATTACCAAGTGGTTCACAACCTGTTAATGTGTCTACCTGTGTGTTTCCTCAACAACACGACTCAGCATGCTACATGACTGAGCCAGCTGCATGACTGAATCAGCTATATGACTAAGCCAGCTATATGACTGAGCCAGCTGCATGACTGAATCAGCTATATGACTAAGCCAGCTATATGACTGAGCCAGCTGCATGACTGAATCAGCTATATGACTAAGCCAGCTATATGACTGAGCCAGCTGCATGACTGAATCAGCTATATGATTAAGCCAGCTATATGACTGAGCCAGGTGCATGACTGAATCAGCTATATGACTAAGCCAGCTACATGACTGAGCCAGGTGCATTACTGAATCAGCTATATGACTGAGCCAGCTACATGACTGAGCCAGGTGCATGACTGAGCCAGCTGCATGACTGAATCAGCTATATGACTGAGCCAGCTACATGACTGAGCCAGCTGCATGACTGAATCAGCTATATGACTAAGCCAGCTGCATGACTGAATCAGCTATATGACTGAGCCATCTGCATGACTGAATCAGCTATATGACTGAGCCAGGTGCATTACTGAATCAGCTATATGACTAAGCCAGCTACATGACTGAGCCAGCTACATGACTGAATCAGCTATATGACTAAGCCAGCTACATGACTGAGCCAGCTGCATGACTGAATCAGCTATATGACTGAGCCAGCTGCATGACTGAATCAGCTATATGACTAAGCCAGCTACATGACTGAGCCAGCTGCATGACTGAATCAGCTATATGACTGAGCCAGCTGCATGACTGAATCAGCTACATGACTGAGCCAGCTGCATGACTGAATCAGCTATATGACTAAGCCAGCTACATGACTGAGCCAGCTGCATGACTGAATCAGCTACATGACTGAGCCAGCTGCATGACTGAATCAGCTACATGACTGAGCCAGCTGCATGACTGAATCACCTATATGACTGAGCCAGCTGCATGACTGAATCAGCTACATGACTGAGCCAGCTGCATGACTGAATCAGCTATATGACTAAGCCAGCTACATGACTAAGCCAGCTACATGACTGAGCCAGCTGCATGACTGAATCAGCTACATGACTGAGGCAGCTGCATGACTGAATCAGCTATATGACTGAGCCAGCTACATGACTCAGCCAACTGAACCTTTAGGTTTCATTTACTTGTGTTTACATCATCAATACCACCATCATTATGTCATTACATTACATCAATGTATCTTATTGCACTGAAAATAAAAAATTTTTTAGAGCATGTTGGGAGGGAAAAAGCAAAAACCAGGCTTTAACTTTTTGTGACAACTGGCAAACCTGATGGAGATAAAGCGAAGGGAAGACAAGGAGAAAAACATCTGGATGGTTTGACCACTTGACATAAGTGGAACAAGAACAAGACATGATCTGAGACGGGTGATCATGTGAGATAGTAAACTACCACTGCTTACATTTGTTAGCATGGCACATAATGATGATGATATGCTGTAAGCTTCGCATTAAAAAGCTTTCACTTAAATAAAAACAAATCAGTCACCAGTGAACAAATATTCAGCTCCTGCCGATTTCCACAGATGAGTTGATACGCCAGGTCACCATCAACTGTGCCGAGCGAGGACTTCTCCTTCTGCGAGTGCGGGATGAGATCAGGATGACAGTGGCAGCCTACCAGACTCTTTATGAAAGCAGTGTAGCTTTTGGCATGCGCAAGGCCTTGCAAGCTGAGCAGGGCAAGTCAGACATGGAGAAGAAGGTATTTGATAGATACTTTCCTGGGTACGGCTTGTTGAATGAGTGGTTGGTTGACTGGTAAATCTGTAGCGATGTTCAAGCTGACTAACCCTGAACACAGGTGACATCTACCAGAGACTTGTCTCCTGATTAATCACCATTTCTACAGGAACTAAGTTTTAGAGCTTTGTCTATCTGTGACTCAGTTTTAGAGCTTTGTCTGTCTGTGACACAGTTTTAGCGCTTTGTCTGCCTGCGACTCAGTTTTAGAGCTTTGTCTGTCTGCTACTCAGTTTTAGAGCTTTGTCTGTCTGAGAGCTTTGTCTGTCTGACTTGTGTCATCCTCTGGGTTGCGACCCGAAGGTTTGATCAGCTCTGAGACTTAAAGAGCCGTATCCTGGCTGACAAACCAGCTTGGCAAATCTCAGATTCCCTGTTCTGTCTCCAAAGAAATTAGAGCACCTGTAACAGCCCTGCCTGGCTGGCGTTGCCCTGCAGTCATGTGTGGGATTATTGTTCTGAGCTTCTGTTCCCCTGCCGAATCTCATCAACTAACAGGGCATGTGGGAGCGGTACTGGACTTTACAGCTGCAGAGAGGCATACTGGACTTATCCTGGTTGTAAATCAGCACTGCAGGTACAGACTGGCTGATCTTCTTACTAATGTTTGCTGGCTTCCAACTCTGGCAGAAATTCCTGGTTGTTAGTCCACTTCTGGACTTTGGTCTCGTACCAGAACTTGAGTGTTGCATTCACATCCATTTGATAGATCTGGCTTATTTGTGTGCAGACTGTTAGTTTTTTGTCTCCAGGCAAATGTATTTTGACTTCTAAGGAAACATTGATCTATGTTGGCCAGTCCCCAGGTTAGGAACCTGTTTCTGAGATAACCAATGATTATCTAATCTACCTGAACTGGAACCAGGTACTAAACCACATATGGTGTTATACAGGTCTAGGGCTTATACTGGTCAGTTCTTGTCTTTGTCATCGTCATGATTGCCATGAATATATTATCCTGATTGTTATGATTACATCATCACCTTTGTCTGTTTAGTTTATATACCATTAGGTGCATAAAGCTTACACTACACTTTTAGAAAGAAAGGAAAAGAAGTATTTCATAATCTGCATTCTGGAAAGTCGAAATTTCCATGGAAAATGTTGCTCAAATCCGACCAGCATCTAGGCATCTCTTCCTATGATAAGCTTGTTTATGAAATAATGGCGTGTGGGGGGGGGGGGCATGGGGTTGGGGGGGGGGGGGGGGGGATTGTGGTTGTTAAAAAAAAGGGAAGGGTTGGTTTCGACAGAATACAACAGGATTGAAAGGTTAAGACAGTTAACCTCAGGTAGTCAGCAAGAAAAGCAACTTGCTGTCTTTGAAAACATGATAAAATTAGTTAGAGGTTTTATTCCTCGACAGTTAAACTTTATTTTAAGAATTGTTTCATTGAATTTTTCAGTTACATTCTGCAAAAAACTGATGTCTGCTACTGTGGTATAACCTCTAATTTGACAATTAAAAACAAAAAATAAAATAATAATAATATAATACTTAAGTATCCTTAAGTACATTATAATCATGTTTTGGTTCTTATCACAACATTGTTTGCAAAAATGAGAGTTACTTCCCCTCCCATTCATGCAGCGACTGGTCATACAGCCTGTTGTATATTGTCGTGGTGTCATCTATTCCTTATTTTCAATATTTCAACCGTTCTCTCTTTCACATGTTGTCACCGTTGACTTGTGAGATTATTGCACAGTCCTATTTGCGCTACAGTTCTTGAGTAGCAAAACTGGAATGATTTTGTATTTCTACTTTCCTTGGCGGTCACTTCTTCTTTCTGTGGTGAAAGCCACTGACAAGGAACATAGCAATGCAAAAACATCCCAGTTCTGCTACTCACTAACTGTCGCACATGCAGCGCCTCAAAGAGACTCACAAATTCATAACCTCCCACAAACATTGTAAATGGCAAGCAAATATCAAACGAAGCCATCTCATAAAACCCCCACAACATAGGACAGGTTATGTGACAGGACACGGCACGAATGGGATGGTAAGTAACTCGCCGTGCAGACAAAATGATGATAAGTTTCCATGTTTTATTTGGACAAGTATAACAGTCTTGCTTTCACTTGTAGATCTCTGACCTTGAAACTGATAAACGAGATCTTGAAAGGCAAGTGAATGAATTGAAGGCCAAATGTGAGCAGATTGAGAAACGTGCATTAGAACAAAGGCAGGTCGAGGAAAAGAAGCATACAGAGGAAATCCAGTTTCTGAAGCGAACCAATCAACAACTCAAGGTCAGATACTACATCATTTCTCAATGCCAGATTTTTGTCATACTGAATTCTTTGCAGTTATTTTTTAAAGTCATAATTATGTAGAGCAGTAAGCCTTCCACAGACACCATTTGTCTGAATCCACATCCACATCCATTGGATAATACAGCATCTGGGGATGACTGGTGGTGGTGGTGATGATGAGGATAGTGATGATGTTGATGATGAAAATGATAATGGCAGAGCAGATAGTGATGATACAGATGATCCAAAGACAGCATGAACTAACTAATAAGGAAGATCAATGCATTTGTGTTTTTCTTGATATTCATAATATGCATTTTGTTATGTGAACTTAACATGCTTTATTGATAAAATACAACTGCTGGGTGACAGATGGGTGGTTGGAATGGTGGAATGTAAGATGGACCTGCCATTGACTTCAGTTCATATATTATGTACACTGGCATGTTTTTAACTCATGTGACTTTCTTTACTTGCCATATATTCATCTGAAGGAATCTCTGATGGACGCCAGTAAAAAACTAGGTAACAATTTGTCTTTCACACACAGAAGAGGTTCAGTTATGGTCACTAGCACAAACTGATTTTCTGATGTGACATGTCACCAATGCACTAATGTTTTGTCCTACAGTTGTATGTTTTAATGAATGCTTTGTTTTGTTTGAATGTCTGTGTTCTGCATGTGTGGCCTATAAGCCATGGTGGTAAGCAACATAGAGCTGTCCAGAAACAGAATCATCATTATATAATAGGTCTTTTACAGAAGGTCACTCTCTTCACAGCCTGCCTGAGGAAACTTGGTCTCTTGCCAGCTCTTCCACCTCATACACTTTCCTGTTCAGTGTGACTCTTCTGTGATGTCCCATCTTCATGCTGGTGAGCCCCTGCTCCTTTTACCTTCTCTACTGTTCTTTCCAGTCCACTGTGACATTTGAGATGATCAAAGTATTTCAGTTTCCAAGGCAAAATGCTGTTATGAGCCAGTTTTTCTTGATGTTCAGATCTCGTTAGAATGTTAGTATCTCTTTCTCTTAGTCCATGGTATTCTAAGAATCTTTGTAAAGCATTTCAGCTCAAAACCCCATATTTTCTTCCTTAGTGATCGTGAAACGGTCCATCACTCACATCTGTATGTTGCTACAGAGAAGATTTGTGCTCTCAGAAATGTGACTTTGATTTGCTTGCTGGTGCTCAGCCAAAGATTTTTAATGCTGTTCCCAGAAACAAAATGTTGGTCTTTGAGACAAGGTCCACATGGATCCAGTCTGTCATTATAGTATGAGCAGGATTTCCCATACTGACATTAAAAGATGGTACCAACTGCTTCCCTCACAAAAGAAATAACTGGTAGCCATTGAATGAGACTAGGTCCGGCTGAGAGTGCCTTGACAAACTCTCCTTAACTGGAGATAAGAAATGGGAACTCAAGGTCACAAACCTGTCCACCACATGATGTCAGGCGGGCAAGTTGTCCAAGGGAAACTAAAGGGACCTAAACAATGCTGTCCTGTGCTAGAGGTATATCAAGAGTAGATGCCCTTTTGTTGACAGCTCAAGGTTGGTCAAGTATATGGCACTAGCCAGATTTTTTTGACTGAGTGAGATGGTCAATATCATCCTAGCAGACTTGACTTTCCTGAAAATTTCCTGGTCATAATGTCAGCAGGGGTTGACTGGGAACACATCAGCTTACTTAACCTCTTCTCAGTCAGGTCCAGACATGCCTTGACCCAGGCTAAGCCTTATTTGAGGACCACATGATATCCAGTCTTTATTACATTGAACATAGCTGAAGACAACGGGGCAAGACCGCAGAGTGGAATGTCATGGATGGCAGTGTTACAGTTGTTCGATAGAGAGGAATAAATTTATTTACATGGAGACAAAGCAGAATATCACCAAGTGCACAGAGCTCTTATAATAATATGGATAATGTAGGGAGTGGTACAGTGAGAGAGCTGAGGGATAATACGAAGGAAAGTCAATAAGTCAAGTCACAAATGGTAGTTAAAAAAATATTAAAGACAATAACAACTAGAAAACCATTTGTTTGTACACACACACTGTGCCTTTATTTTTCAACATAATTTCCACCAACACTGACACCTTTGTCCCATTGTTTTGTCAGTCCTCCCAAACTTGCTGCTTAGAATTGCGTGCTCTGTTTTCTAAACACTCATTTTCACTTCATTTAACATCTGTGTCATTTGCAAAATGTCTCCCGCCAAGGTGGGTTTTCAGTGCATTATGTTGTTTGCTGAACCATGTTAGAACCCTATTGAAGCTGCTACAGAGTCAACCATTACTTGCCTGTCATCTTTAATCATCTCTTCCACCTGCTGCACAGATACAATTTAAACAGGACAAACAGATCGGATTTCGTCAACTGTAGAGCGTCCTTGAGAATAATTTTTTCGCTTCACAGGATCAGTTGTCAGCATAAACAGGAAGCATTTCCTTATAAATGTCCTTTGCTGGCAGTCCTTTTGCGTTAAAAAACTGCACATCAGCATGCTGTTCTTTGAGGGTACACTCCATCCATAAGTACAGTCACCATTTATTCTGTGTTGTAGATGCTCATGCAACACCTAGCGCCACCTAACGAACAGAGACAAAAAGTTCCATGTTGCGTCACCTAATGATACCTTTAGAAACCACCAGCTATATTTTCATGCCATCCCATAATCATCTGTGACCTACTTATTGACTTCCCCTCGTAATTCAACTACTGGTAGAGGGTGTTGCTGAAGAACATGATGCAACGGTATATCCTATCTGATCAGCACAGTGCGGGGAAAGATTATGAGGGAGCTCTAAAGCTAGATGGATCACAGACCTGAGCGAAGCACATTCAAACATGCTGTCCAGCTAAACATGGAGGTAGAGGCAGTCACTGCAGTTCCGGGGTATCTTTCTGATTCTACATTCGGCAAGGCAATCATCACTGCTGACAGAGTCAACGCTTTGAAAATTTAAATACAGATATACAGTCGAGTCTGGATAAGTAGAAGTCACAAGGACCTAAGAAAATGCTTCCTCTTATCAGGATTTCTACTTATCCAGACAGCACACACAATAGAGAAAAAAGCCAGGACTAAGCTGGTCATGTCGACTTGACCGAAATTCGACTTATCCGAGTTCGACTTAAGTACCATACATAGCTCTTATGTCTTCATTGTCAGAAAATGTATTGCTGATCTATGTTAGATTACTAAAATATATTTTTAATGAATGTTTTCTTGCAAACCCAAAGGAATTACACTCGCAGCAGAGTAGAAACCTGGGTAACCTGTCTACTACATGGTGTCTGATGTTCACTTGTCATCGTTGTTTGATCTGTGCCACCTTGTATTTTTGCACATTTGCATGCTAAAATAACAGTTCTCACTAAAATGACACAAACTGGTAGCCCCTAAAGTAAAGGGCCCTTATCCACACCTTCAGGTGCTCAGGTGGGCATCTAGTCCACTATGCCAATGCCACGTCACAGCCCCTAAAGTAACAATATGTTTATATAAATAATTACATGTATATACAAAGTTGTATTAATATCACTGTTTGAGAAAGCCTTCAAAAATGTTTTATAAAAGTATGTGTGCATGTATTTTTTACTGTTTGACTGTGTTTACCTAATATCACTATGTTGATGAAAATTGTGAGCTGTTTTCTTGCATATGACATGAGTATGTCACCGTGTGGTTAGTGGATCTCACTGTGTGGTTAGTGGATCTCACCGTGTGGTTAGTGGATCTCACTGTGTGGTTAGTGGATCTCACTGTGTGGTTAGTGGATCTCACTGTGTGGTTAGTGAATCTCACTGTGTGGTTAGTGAATCTCACTGTGTGGTTAGTGGATCTCACTGTGTGGTTAGTGGATCTCACTGTGTGGTTAGTGAATCTCACCGTGTGGTTAGTGGATCTCACCGTGTGGTTAGTGGATCTCACTGTGTGGTTAGTGAATCTCACCGTGTGGTTAGTGGATCTCACTGTGTGGTTAGTGGATCTCACTGTGTGGTTAGTGAATCTCACTGTGTGGTTAGTGGATCTCACCGTGTGGTTAGTGGATCTCACTGTGTGGTTAGTGGATCTCACTGTGTGGTTAGTGACTTGAGAACACTTCTTGCCACGGCAGTCAACACTGCTGCTGTGTCTGTTCTTCTTCTTCTTTTTTCATTATCCCTGCTGATGGTTTTAAAATGAGAAGGCCTCAACAGATGCCTGCAGAAGTTGGATGTGTCGGCTGAAAGGTGTAAATATTGCAGCCATACTATAAATCGGGCACAATGTAATTACATCTGCAGAAGAAGAAAAAGAAGAAGAATCACTAGAAGCTATTCTCTATTTACTAAATCAAAATCACCATGTTTCAGTAACTTTGACAAGTTTTAATGTTTTAATCTTGACATCAAAATCACCCTGTTTTGAGCCAGTTTCTAGAAGTTTCTGTGTTACTACATCTATTTCACCTTGTTTGTGCACGTTTGACAAGTTAACATCTTGTGAAACATTTTTATCACAACCTGTAGATTTTCTAATCACTTTGATTGATGTAATTTCATTAATGTTTTTCTATTGAGCCTATTGAAAGACTGCAGTTATTTCGACAAACAGTAATGGTTTTATTATAAAGGGTGGATTGGGGAGATAGTAAGTAATGAAGGAATGCGTAAGAAGGGAAAGGTACCTGGGCATCCACAGCTGAACCTGGGCTATATGTACTTCCAGGCAGAGATTTTTAAAATGTTATTTGTAATTAGAAACTTGTTGCAGCATTACCTGTTGGCTCTGATACTCATGCCTCGAATCAGGAGTTTATTTATAGCAGACCCTTTGCCTGTTTACATTTGTACATGGTAGGGCTTAAAACAAACTACTTTCACTACTCAACGCTGTCCAGCTAGCTCGTGGTGGTTCATTTACTGCCACCACTGAGCTGGAAATGGCAAATGTTATTTCATTCTATTGGTGTTACCATTCCCTTGAAGTAAACAAGGCAGGCAGAGAAGGAGTCATCCTGCGTGGACAAAATATGGTCTCTACAGTACTGCCCATGTGTACTATGAAAAAGAGGAATGGTATTTCCATTTCTGGACTTCGTGCATAACCATTTTCTTCTTCTTCTTCTTCACGTTCACCAGCTGTACACTCTGGCGGAAAGTTCTGGTTGTTCGTCCACTACTGAACTGCAGTCCAGCTCCAGAACCTGAGTGTTGCGTGTGCATCAGTTTTACAGATCTCATTTCTTGAATACAGACTGTTGGTCCCATGCCTCTCCGGCAGATGCACTCCGACTTTAAAGGAAGCTCCCCAGTTAGTCGACTCTTACGACATGCTTTTGGGTAGGCAGTGGGTCTATTCTTGTTTTCCCCTACAATGGGGCCCCGGAACCCACACGGGGGATAATATAACCATTTTAGATATCTGGCTTATCTGTATTTAGATGGGCTCATGCAGATGGGCCTCCAAAGAAAAGAGCGTAAACGGGCACAAAAATAACTGGGTAAAACTGGGGAAAGGGCTTCAAGCTGTCTGTGAACACAATGAAATGTCGCGGGGAATGGACCTCGGTAGACTGGTCAAAGCCTCTAGTGGAAAAAAACTTTTCATCTCTAAAAGCCATAGTAAAAGTAAAAAAAAGTAAAGATCCCTTTTCGCGCCTTTCGGCGCATCGGGCATATGGGCAGAGCGTCCCATATTTTTACAGACCATCAGCACTCGGTGGGTAATGTGGTCAGCATTACGCCGGCTGTCTTTACTTTCCCAGGACAGCCCATCCCGGTACCCATTTTAGGCTGGGTCGACCTGCGCCTAAAAGCCATAGTGACCAATAAATGTCTGCCAGTGTCTGTCTGCTAATTGCCAAAGTCTAACATCTGTCCGATGAACCATAAACTTTTCCCTTCAGGTCGTGAAGGTAGTCTGTTAATTTGATACCACAGCGACAATATATGTCACCAAATCCCACAATACCTGTTACAAAGTCACCATTTCGTCTTGTCCCTGTCCGAATGTCCGGTAAAGTGCAGCAGGGGAAGATCGAGGACTGGCATCATGAACCAGGTCAGCCCATCCTTCCGAGATTGTTCAGGAAAATCATGAGCCGAAACAATGATCAAGAGGGACCTTTCTACTGATAAACGGTGGATCCCTGCTAGGCATGCTTCCCTGTGGAGTTCTTCTGATTACTTATTGTTGGTTGCTCACCTCTCAGACAGATGCACTCTGACTTCAAAGGGAAACACAGCCAATTAGTCAGCTTTAATTATGTGTTTATTAGGAGGGCAATATATGTGTGACCTTGAACATCTGAGATGACAACTGATGATGGCTAACAATCCTGGAGTTATCCCCCTTCACAACTAGATGCCTAAAATGACCATCAATATTTGCTCGAGCCTCATTTCCAGACTGTCAGTTCCACCATTATCAACTGAGACAGCCAACTACAAGTTCAGTCAATACTCAACAACAACAAAAATCTGGCATTACTGTCCTATTTACCAGGTTTTAGGCAGTTTAAGATGGGGTTTTGAGCCTGAGGATTAAGGAGCGCCTGGTTAGTATAGTCGTCACGGACTGAACATGTTAGGAGTTTTGCCCCCTGGCAAATTTGAAAAAAGAATTTTTTTTTTTAAATCCATCATCTTACCAAGATTTGGAAAGTAGGTCTCCCAAATGATGGCCCAGCCTTTGTAAATGTCCAGCCAGGCAATACTCACTAGAAACTGGCATGAAATCAAGAGCATGTCTGCCATCAGAAAGTGCCGTACATCTAGGATGCAAATTTCATAAACAAAATGGCAGTGATTTTCCATATGCCAGCTTGGACATTTTTACAGTGACTGTAAACGCCAAGAAGAAAGGCAAATACATTTAAATATGCAGTGAACCGTAATTACATTTGTTGTTTTCTTCTTTCACCAGACACAACTAGAAGGGATAATTGCACCAAAGAAGTGAGAACAACAGCAGCAGCACAGTTGGCAGTGGAAAGCTTGGATGTTATTTGGAGGGCAAACAGACAAATGTTTCATCTGGTTACTTCCCTTTTAAAATTTGTCAGACATATTTGCTACATAGCAGGATTAAAAATCCTTATCCAGATTTTTTAAAACTGTCCTTCCAAAATGTATAAATATACACAATACTTTAGAATATTTGAATGATTTTGTGATGTTATGTTATTGTGTCTAAAGACTAGTATGCCATTTGTTAAACATTTCAATAATGCGGACACAAACAATCTATTGACAGGTACACTTGGCTGCATCTTGTTGGGTGCATTATTACACAGCTACATCAACAAAAATAAAGCATAACAGTTCATCTCTTCCATTGAGATTTGGTTGAAAACTATGCCAGGCAATGTATTGTTTGGCAACAAACTGCAATGTATTGTTTGTGTCCATATTATTTAAATTTACAACAGGAACATGCTGTGAATTTTTTAAATGTATCGCTTCACTCTATTTTGTTTGCACATATACTCGTTTGGAAGATCCGTATGGTAGTTTCCTCTTGCCTTGTCAGATATGTACATGTTTGAGTGATGTAATGTGAAGTTTTGAAATGTTGAGTCAGCAATTTAAAAAAAATCTTCACCCACAGTTGACTTGTCTACAGCTGATTGTATCTTTAGCCAGCACATTGAGCCTTTTCACGTCCATGAATATCATTTGTTTTACTAAGTTAATTGTTATTATAAATTTGATTTTTGTGCCATCTCCACAACAAAGCTTTGCTACGGGGCATCTACTGCAGTCTTTTGGAATATCTCAGGTGAGGTTTTAGTCTCTTCCATGGTGTGATTCTCGCACCACTGTCATGGGAACTGCATCTACTATATGGCTTTTATTGATGTCCAGTAAACTTCACAAACATTCTTTCTTCTTCTTTCTTTATTTGTCATAGTGCTTTTGCCATAAAGCGTCACAGAGAGGAGTTGGATGCAGTTTCCTGTGTTTTGCTAGTTTCCAAGTTTATGTTCATGTCATATTGCATTTCTGTTGTGTTTCTTTAACTTCTTCCACTCATCTCTGTCTTGGTCGGACTCTTGCTTTTTAACCTGCTGCTCTCATGTAATAGTTTTAAACTGCTGGCTGATTTTGTTCCATTCTGATGAAAGACCAAACCATTTGATTCTCTGATATTCTTTGAAACCATTCACTGGTAGTCTGCCTACCATTGTTCTTATTTCTTCCTTGGTAACTTTGTCTCTTCTTGTTTTTTTTCCACCTCATTTTTTTTAACATCTCATCCATTTTTGTGTTAGGACTGTCCAATCTGGCATCATCAGAAATCAAACTTTCACCTTCTACTTCACACAACACACAAACATCTAATTCATTGATTCATCAAGAATCAAACCTTCACTTTTTCATTTCACACATCACAGACAGCCAACTAAATTATTTGCAGTCAACTCAAACCGCCAGCATACGTTTAGGTAAACGACACACCCCATAGAAAGTTTCAGCTGCCCTCTGACAGTGTAAGATTACGTTAGTGTTTCTAGTTGTTATATCTTATCTTGATATCACACCACATCATTGTATGTGTGTGGAGTTACGTTTGATGTCATATACAATATATTATGAATATGAAATATTAATGAATCAATAAAACTGCTTTTGTTTACATACATGAAAAAGTTTCGTGTTTAAAAAAAAATCATGAGTGTTTTTTTACCATATTGTAAATTTTGGCTCTCCTCCGAACTTCTACCCGATATTCTGGCGGCCAAACAAATAGCCTAACAGGGCCTTAGTGTGTAAAATGTGGACTTTCTGCCAAGAAACAAATTGCGGAAAAACTAGGATTACTTGACAATTTTAAGAGACGCAACACTGCAGACGATAGTGGCAGACGATAATAGCGACTGTTGAAAATTTCAATCGTTTCTGCAGATACTAGCAGACGATAATAGTGACCATTGTCAATTTCGAGACAGGCAACATTACAGACGATAATAGCCACATGGCGGGAATACCACGCGCTCCGACGCGCAAAACGCAGTTAAACTCATCGCCGACAATATCCCCCGCGCTGCTACATGCGACGCAGATGGGGATCTAAACTAGATGCCTGGGAGTCACGAGCAAATAAATTAGAGGAAGTTGCAGGAGATGAGGTAACTGCTGCCCGTGAGTCCCAGCCATCTAGTTTAGCCTCCCCCCCCCCCATCCGTGCCGTGTTTAGTGGCACAGGGGATACTGTCGGAGGTGCGGCATAGTTGCAGAAACAGGTCCGCAATTAACATATCCCTGAGACCCTGTTAGAGCATTTGTTTTGTTATTCTTAGCCGATCCTAGTTTTACCGCGATTTGTTCCTTGGCAGAAAGTCCGCATTTTACACACAACTGAGGCCCTGTTAGGCTATTTGTTTGGCCGCCATAATATCGGGTAGAAGTTTGGAGAGCCTATATTTTCTTATCACAATGTGTATTTTATTATCATATTGTATATTCTCAGATGAAAAATATCTTATGCAATAAATCACTCTCATTTAATGTCAAAAAGAGGGTGCTAACATGTTATATAGAACCTGTTCTGCTGTACGGCAGCGAATCTTGGAATGTCAGTGAACAAATTAGGAAGAATTTGGAAGCAACAGAGATGTGGTTTTTGAGACGAATGTTACGAATACCTTGGACACAAAGAGTAACTAATAATGATTGCCTGACAGAAGCTAATGAAAGTAGATCTCTATTTACAACAGTAAGAAAGAGACAAACACTGTTCTTTGACCACATAATGAGAAGAGAGACATTAGAGACTATCGTGACAACTGGAATAAACAGTGGAAAAAGAGGTAGAGGCAGACCAAGAGAGAGTGATGTAAGATGGGCTGAAATGATGGCATGGAGGGATATCATCAAGTGTGCTGTTGCAGTCAACCAGGGATCATGATCTGTGGAGAAGCATGAGCGCCTTCGCCAGTTGGCAGGGCACATGATGATGATTGTATATTTTCTTATCATAATGTGGATGTTCTTATTTCTTATTCAGATGTTTCCGAGCATGCCTGACTGTCTTCTGTCATGGCATGGGCAGATGTCAGGAAACAAACTGGCACATGCGACTGGAGACCACAAGATGTGGAGAAATATGATCACATGATCACCGCAAGGTACTTGATGATTGCCAGTTTGTACATAGTGAACTTAGTATGGATACGAGCCGATGTGGCCTTTTACTGAAAAGACAAAACTCAGGATATTAATCTGTAGCGTTATTCACATGAGATGAAACCCTGCTCACTTAATCAGCAAGCACCAAAACAAGACCCATTGGTCTTTCAAAATAGCAATGTCTAATGGTGACTTTTGTCTTCTACCATTTATTCCCCAATGGAGCAGGGGCCCTCAACCCACTTGTGCCAAACCTTTCTAGCCTTTTACACTTGATGCAGTTCACTCTTTCCCTAACCCCCATTTTCTTGTCCATGTGCTTCTTGATAACCCTTTATTGCTTCAGTAGTGATCTGGTGAGTGAGACAGGAGGACGATGCCAGCACTCAGTGATCTGGTGAGTGAGACAAGAGGACGATGCCAGCACTCAATGATCTGGTGAGTGAGACAGGAGGACGATGCCAGCACTCAGTGATCTGGTGAGTGAGACAGGAGGACGATGCCAGCACTCAGTGATCTGGTGAGTGAGACAAGAGGACGATGCCAGCACTCAATGATCTGGTGAGTGAGACAGGAGGACGATGCCAGCACTCAGTGATCTGGTGAGTGAGACAAGAGGACGATGCCAGCACTCAGTGATCTGTTGAGTGAGACAAGAGGACGATGCCAGCACTCAGTGATCTGTTGAGTGAGACAAGAGGACGATGCCAGCACTCAGTGATCTGGTGAGTGAGACAAGAGGACGATGCCAGCACTCAGTGATCTGGTGAGTGAGACAGGAGGACGATGCCAGCACTCAGTGATCTGGTGAGTGAGACAAGAGGACGATGCCAGCACTCAGTGATCTGGTGAGTGGGACAGGAGGACGATGTCAGCACTCAATGATCTGTTGAGTGAGACAAGAGGACGATGCCAGCACTCAGTGATCTGTTGAGTGAGACAAGAGGACGATGCCAGCACTCAGTGATCTGGTGAGTGAGACAAGAGGATGATGCCAGCACTCAGTGATCCAGTAAGTGAGACAAGAGGACGATGCCAGCACTCAGTGATCTGGTGAGTGAGACAGGAGGACGATGCCAGCACTCAATGATCTGGTGAGTGAGACAAGAGGACGATGCCAGCACTCAGTGATCTGGTGAGTGAGACAAGAGGACAGTGACAGCACTCAGTGATCTGGCGAGTGAGACAAGAGGACAGTGCCAGCACTCAGTGATCTGGTGAGTGAGACAAGAGGACAGTGCCAGCACTCAGTGATCTGGTGAGTGAGACAAGAGGACAGTGCCAGCACTCAGTGATCTGGTGAGTGAGACAAGAGGACGATGCCAGCACTCAGTGATCTGGTGAGTGAGACAAGAGGACGATGCCAGCACTCAGTGATCTGTTGAGTGAGACAAGAGGACGATGCCAGCACTCAGTGATCTGTTGAGTGAGACAAGAGGACGATGCCAGCACTTGGTGATCCGGTGAGTGAGACAGAAGGACGATGCCAGCACTCAGTGATCTGGTAAGTAAGACAAGAGGACGATGCCAGCACTCAGTGATCTGGTGGGCGAGACAATAGGACAGTGCCAGCACTCAGTGATCTGGTGAGTGAGACAAGAGGACGATGCCAGCACTCAGTGATCCGGTAAGTGAGACAAGTGGACGATGCCAGCACTCAGTGATCCGGTAAGTGAGACAAGAGGACGATGCCAGCACTCGGTGATCTGGTGAGTGAGACAGGAGGACGATGCCAGCACTCGGTGATCTGGTGAGTGAGACAGGAGGACGATGCCAGCACTCAGTGATCTGGTGAGTGAGACAGGAGGACGATGCCAGCACTCGGTGATCTGGTGAGTGAGACAGGAGGACGATGCCAGCACTCGGTGATCTGGTGAGTGAGACAGGAGGATGACGCCAGCCCTCAGTGATCTGGTGAGTGAGACAGGAGGACGATGCCAGCACTCGGTGATCTGGTGAGTGAGACAGGAGGACGATGCCAGCCCTCAGTGATCTGGTGAGTGAGACAGGAGGACGATGCCAGCACTCGGTGATCTGGTGAGTGAGACAGGAGGACCATGCCAGCACTCCGTGATCTGGTGAGTGAGACAGGAGGACGATGCCAGCACTCGGTGATCTGGTGAGTGAGACAGGAGGACGATGCCAGCACTCAGTGATCTGGTGAGTGAGACAGGAGGACGATGCCAGCACTCAGTGATCTGGTGAGTGAGACAGGAGGACGATGCCAGCACTCGGTGATCTGGTGAGTGAGACAAGAGGACGATGCCAGCACTCAGTGATCTGGTGAGTGAGACAAGAGGACGATGCCAGCACTCGGTGATCTGGTGAGTGAGACAAGAGGACGATGCCAGCACTCGGTGATCTGGTGAGTGAGACAGGAGGACGATGCCAGCACTCAGTGATCTGGTGAGTGAGACAAGAGGACGATGCCAGCACTCAGTGATCTGGTGAGTGAGACAAGAGGACGATGCCAGCACTCAGTGATCTGGTGAGTGAGACAAGAGGACGATGCCAGCACTCGGTGATCTGGTGAGTGAGACAAGAGGACGATGCCAGCACTCAGTGATCTTCCTTAGTGTAAATGTCTAGTCTGGGATGTAGCTCCCTCACATTCTATGTTAGTTGTGATGAACTCCAGCCAAGCACACAAAAGCTAACACTTATGAATGAACAGCCTGCAGACTACACTAGGACACATAGATTTTCTGAGTCATCATTTCAGTGACTGGATGAGCCAGAACATCTGCACAGATCAGTTAGATAACAAGAAAAGTGTTTCCTCACCCAGCAACTGAGCTGAGTGCACTGCAGGAATAATTTAAAGTGCTTTTCAACTGTGCCCAACCCAATGTGGTTTGTTTCCTTGTGAACTGTAGACTCAGATGATGCTGAGTGACTTGTTGCCACAGAACTGGTGGTGCTTTATGTGATACTGTGTCTGCAACTGCTGATCTGTTGTCAACTACTACTTACACTGATGAACTGCAATTCTAGGGGCAGACTGTTTGTGTTGGCACTCATAATGGCTGCCAGCTGCATTTAATGCTTGTGTATGTTATTAGAAGAAGACTAGGACTGAAACCAGTCATACAATTTATTAAAGAAGAACAATTGAGGTGGTTTGGCCACCTGACAAAAATGCCCTGGTACCAACTGCCACAGAGCAGAGTCATGCTGAAGAAATATAATGAACACAGATCAAGGGGAAGACCACACAAGAGATGGAGCAACATCATCAGGAGCAACCTAACAGGAATGAACATCAGCTTACACAATGCATTGGAAAATGCGAACAAACGATCCTTACATCTCCCCCCAATACCTCGATGAGGTAAATGGTGAAAGAGAAGAAGAAGAAGAAGACTGTTATTTCCTTTGCCGAGACTGCGGTCTGTTTCAGCTGGTAGAGCTCTGGACATTTTGTGTGGGTTTTGCTGGCACAGGAGCACAACCATTGTGGGGTGACTTGTTTGTCATGGAGTTGAAACTGTAAATTAACTTGGGAGCTGAAACTATGAATTAACTTGGAAGTTGAAACTATGAGTTCACTAGGGAGTTAAAACCATGAATTACCTTGGAAGTTGAAACTATGAATGAACTTGTTGGGAGCAGAAACTATGAATTAACTTGGGAGTTGAAACTATGAATTACCTTGGAAGTTAAAACTATGAATTAACTAACTAGGGAGTAAAAACTATGAATTAACTAACTAGGGAGTAGAAACTATGAATTAACTTGGGAGTAGAAACTATGAATTAACTTGGGAGTAGAAACTATGAATTACCTTGGGAGTAGAAACTATGAATTAACTTGGGAGTAGAAACTATGAATTAACTTAACGAAACAGTCAGTTTTCATTGTAGTTCTTTATTCACAAGTGATGATGACTATTTATTTCATCTGTCATGGAACCAAAGTTGAATGTCTGTGAGTCCAGAGGTGACTTATGAGCCTAATTCAGGCCCGGAAAGATCTAGGACAATAAGGACAGGGAACAGTGTCTGTAGTTAAAGGGCCTGTTACACAGGTCTTTCTAGCCTATCCCTATTGTCAGTTGCACCTTTTTCTAGATGCCTCACAAGTCGCTGCACCTCTTCAGATTGTGACAAACTTTGTCAGTTTTCATACAAACAAGAATTACACAATGATAAGGCGAACATACACAACAATAAAATGAACATACACAATAATAAGATGAACATACACAATAATAAGATGAACATACACAATAATAAGATGAACATACACAATAAAAAGATGAACATACACAATAATAAGATGAACATATACAATAAGATGAACATACACACAAATAAGATGAACATACACAATAATAAGACAAACATATACAATAAGATGAACATACACACAAATAAGATGAACATACACAATAATAAGACGAACAGCTCCTCAATGATAAGATGAACAGCTCCTTCAACTAAGTCTTACAAGTGTGTATTTTACTGACTGACAATAAACAAAGTATCAGTACATAACATTTGGTGCTAGCTATTCTCTTGTGTGGATTTGAAGGCTGGACACTTGCACAAAGAGTCGCTGCTTCTCAACCCCCCTTCCTGTCAACACAAGTGTCAGAGAAACATTCACACACTCTTCATACAGAATACACTCATCTGCATTTGCAAACTCACTCAGACTAGCAAGAGACAGAGAGGATAATCCCTTCTTTTCTTTATGGGTAACAACTTGTTCAACCCTTGTGGACTATAACTGAAAATAGGTAGCAACTTGTTCAACCCTTGTGGATTATAACTAAAAATAGGTAACAACTTGTTCAAACCTTGTGGATTATAACTGAAAATAGGTAACAACTTGTTCAACCCTTGTGGATTATAACTGAAAATAGGTAACAACTTGTTTAACCCTTATGGATTATAACTGAAAATAGGTAGCAACTTGTTCAACCCTTGTGGATTATAACTGAAAATAGGTAGCAACTTGTTCAACCCTTGTGGATTATAACTGAAAATAGGTAGCAATTTGTTCAACCCTTGTGGATTATAACTGAAAATAGGTAGCAACTTGTTCAACCCTTGTGGATTATAACTGAGATAGACAGTATGTATTATTATCTCAAATTACTGAATTTCAGTTAGCAGTTTTGATAATCATGTTGTGATGCCCAGTTTCAACAAAGTAAAGTTTTGTTTTACATGTTTGCTATTTCATACTGTGTAGGTTTAAAATCAGGTTCCATCATTCAGTGTCGGTTACATAATCATACTTCATGTAGTGTAAACAAGACTTTTTATGCCAATGGCCCATCCAGCGTATGATCCGAGACTTGTATTTTATAGACCACACAGTTTTCAGTGGGTTATGTGGTCAACAATCGTACAGTGCAAGTTACACAATTCTCTTTCATATAGTGCAAGTTACATAATTCTCTTTCATATAGTGCAAGTTACATAATTCTCTTTCATATAGTGCAAGTTACATAATTCTCTTTCATATAGTACAAGTTACACAATTCTCTTTCATATAGTACAAGTTACATAATTCTCTTTCATATAGTGCAAGTTACATAATTCTCTTTCACATAGTGCAAGTTACATAATTCTCTTTCATATAGTGCAAGTTACATAATTCTCTTTCATATAGTGCAAGTTACATAATTCTCTTTCACATAGTGCAAGTTACATAATTCTCTTTCATATAGTGCAAGTTACATAATTCTCTTTCACATAGTGCAGGTTACATAATTCTCTTTCATATAGTGCAAGTTACATAATTCTCTTTCACATAGTGCAAGTTACATAATTCTCTTTCATATAGTACAAGTTAAATGACATCAAAGGAAAGTGTGACATTCAGATTCCAATATTCTATACTTCTAAAACCTGTTGGAGAAGATACCAGAAATCTCCAACAAATGAGACTGGGCACAAACCCCCATCACTCAGACACACCTATATACAATCTACACATAAATCTCCAACACATGAGACTAGGCACAAACCCCCATCACTCAGACACACCTATATATAATCTACACATAAATCTCCAACACATGAGACTGGGCACAAACCCCCATCACTCAGACACACCTATATACAATCTACACATAAATCTCCAACAAATGAGACGGCACAAACCCTCCATCACTCCGACCAAACTATATACATTCTACACATCCCTGACTGTGTTACCAACTCCACATTTAAAAAAACACACTAGACAGCTGGCAGCACAGTTTTGTTATCGTGTGCTAGCCACACTCCAGAAATCAATCAACCAATCAACACTGCACAGATGTGCCGGCCCAGCCTCTAGTGGTGGACACACAACTTCTCCAAGCTGGCCAGGTTTCTGCACAACTTGCTGAGAGATTTCTTCAGTGCTGGCACATCGTTGAGAACATTGTCTTCAGTGAGATGCACCGTGGGGTTGCTGTGTTCGGAGGTCTCCAGGTCTGCAAGCAGAGGAGCAACATGAGTACACCATTTGGATAGAACAGAACATGTATATGTCAGCATGTGGAAGATAACATATATATGTCAGCATGTGGAAGATAACACATATATGTCAGCATGTGGAAGATAACATATATATGTCAGCATGTGGAAGATAACACATATATGTCAGTGTGTGGAAGATAACATATATATGTCAGTGTGTGGAAGATAACACATATATGTCAGCATGTGGAAGATAACATATATATGTCAGCGTGTGGAAGATAACACATATATGTCAGTGTGTGGAAGATAACACATATATGTCAGCGTGTGGAAGATAACACATATATGTCAGTATGTGAAAGGTAACACATATATGTCAGCATGTGGAAGATAACACATATATGTCAGCGTGTGGAAGATAACATATATATGTCAGTGTGTGGAAGATAACATATATATGTCAGCGTGTGGAAGATAACATATATATGTCAGCGTGTGGAAGATAACATATATATGTCAGTGTGTGGAAGATAACACATATATGTCAGCGTGTGGAAGATAACACATATATGTCAGTATGTGAAAGGTAACACATATATGTCAGCATGTGGAAGATAACACATATATGTCAACGTGTGAAAGATAACACATATATGTCAACGTGTGGAAGATAACATATATATGTCAGTGTGTGGAAGATAACACACGTATGTCAGTGTGTGGAAGATAACACATATATGTCAACGTGTGGAAGATAACACATATATGTCAACGTGTGGAAGATAACACATATATGTCAACATGTGGAAGATAACACATATATGTCAACGTGTAGAAGATAACACATATATGTCAACGTGTGGAAGATAACACATATATGTCAGTGTGTGGAAGATAACACATATATGTCAGTGTGTGGAAGATAACACATATATGTCAGCGTGTGGAAGATAAGACATATATGTCAGCGTGTGGAAGATAACACATATATGTCAGCGTGTGGAAGATAACACATATATGTCAGCGTGAGGAAGATAACACATATATGTCAGCGTGTGGAAGATAACAAATATGTCAGCGTGTGGAAGATAACACATATATGTCAGCGTGTGGAAGATAACACATATATGTCAGTGTGTGGAAGATAACACATATATGTCAGTGTGTGGAAGATAACACATATATGTCAGCATGTGGAAGATAACACATATATGTCAGCTTGTGGAAGATAACACATATATTTCAACGTGTGGAAGATAACACATATATGTCAGTGTGTGGAAGATAACACATATATGTCAACGTGTGGAAGATAACACATATATGTCAACGTGTGGAAGATAACACATATATGTCAGCATGTGGAAGATAACACATATATGTCAGTGTGTGGAAGATAACACATATATGTCAGTGTGTGGAAGATAACACATATATGTCAGCGCATGGAAGATAACACATATATGTCAGCTCGTGGAAGATAACACATATATGTCAGTGTGTGGAAGATAACACATATATGTCAGCGCATGGAAGATAACACATATATGTCAGCGTGTGGAAGATAACATATATATGTCAGTGTGTGGAAGATAACACATATATGTCAGCGCATGGAAGATAACACATATATGTCAGCTCGTAGAAGATAACACATATATGTCAGCTCGTGGAAGATAACACATATATGTCAGTGTGTGGAAGATAACACATATATGTCAGCGCATGGAAGATAACACATATAGGTCAGCGTGTGGAAGATAACATATATATGTCAGTGTGTGGAAGATAACACACGTATGTCAGTGTGTGGAAGATAACACATATATGTCAACGTGTGGAAGATAACACATATATGTCAACGTGTGGAAGATAACACATATATGTCAGTGTGTGGAAGATAACACATATATGTCAACGTGTGGAAGATAACACATATATGTCAGTGTGTGGAAGATAACACATATATGTCAGTGTGTGGAAGATAACACATATATGTCAGTGTGTGGAAGATAACACATATATGTCAGCGTGTGGAAGTTAACACATATTTGTCAGCGTGTGGAAGATAACACATATATATCAGCGTGTGGAATATAACACATATTTGTCAGCATGTAGAAGATAACACATATATATCAGCGTGTGGAATATAACACATATTTGTCAGCATGTAGAAGATAACACATATTTGTCAGCGTGTGGAAGATAACACATATATGTCAGCGCATGGAAGATAACACATATATGTCAGCTCGTGGAAGATAACACATATATGTCAGCGTGTGGAAGATAACACATATATGTCAGCGTGTGGAAGATAACACATATATGTCAGCGTGTGGAAGATAACACATATATGTCAGCGCATGGAAGATAACACATATATGTCAGCTTGTGGAAGATAACACATATATGTCAGCGCATGGAAGATAACACATATATGTCAGCGTGTGGAAGATAACACATATATGTCAGCATGTGGAAGATAACACATATATGTCAGCGTGTGGAAGATAACACATATATGTCAGCGCGTGGAAGACAACACATATATGTCAGCGCGTGGAAGACAACACATATATGTCAGCATGTGGAAGATAACACATATATGTCAGCTTGTGGAAGATAACACATATATGTCAGCGCACAGAAGATAACACATATATGTCAGCGTGTGCAAGATAACACATATATGTCAGCGTGTGCAAGATAACACATATACGTCAGCATGTGGAAGATAACACATATATGTCAGCGAGTGGAAGATAACACATGTCAGTGTGTGGAAGTTATGTGAGTATGTTATGTCACAATGAGTACAACATCTAGATGGAGGACAACACATACATTTCAGCATGCGGGAGGAATGTGAGTAGGTTTATCTTTCAATTAATACATCATTTTGCAAAACATAGGTCAGTGAGTGTGTGTAAAAAAAAAAAGTTGGGGGGGGGGGGGGGGGGTCCATCTTCGTGTGGGTCAGCCCCTGCCCCTCCTTCCTGGTACCATGCCTTCTGCTATATTTTTTTTCTAATCTGTTATGGCGCTTGATATGACCAAAATATTTCAGTTTTCGAGACAGGATGCTGTTTATTAGCCAATCTTCCTTGATGTTCAGATCTTTTAAGATGTCAATATTTCTCATCTTCTTTGTCCAAGATATTCTGAGAATCTTTCTATAGCATTTCAGCTCAAAAGCCCCTATTCTCTTTTTTAAGGACTGAAAGATAGTCCACAATTCACATCTGTATGTTGCTACAGGGAAGATGCATGCTCTCAAAATTATAATTTTGATCTCCTTGCTGGTGCTTACATACATGCATACATACTATAACAGATTCCCACAACCCCCCCCCCCCCCCCCCCCCCCCAAATACTTCAATAAGGTTAATGGAGAAAGAGAATAAGAAGAAGCAGAAGAAGAAAAGAAGAATAGGAGGAAGAAGAGAAGATGAAACTGCATCAGTCAACTAAATCAAAGATTAGCTAACTGAGTCAAAACTGGGACAGCCAACCAATCAAATCACTCATGCTTAATTAATGTCTGCTTGCAAACCAGTGGCCAATGAAAAAATTACAACAACAAAAAAACTGTACAACTCAGCCACAACTGCTGGCCAATCAGAGGGACACGATGCAGCAGCTACCTGTGATCTGTTGCTCCAGCAGTTCCAGCTGTTTCTCGATGTCTGAGTGGACTCGGCTGACATGGATCAGCAAGTTCTGCTCACAGTTTCTGTATGGATCTAAGGACTCCTCAGCTGTGTCCGTCTGCAACAGAAACAGGTGCTGTTGTTAGCTATAGCTCTTACAATCCACTCATTCAGTTTGTTGCCTTCAATAAACCAGCTTCAGGAGAACATCAACACATGCAAATGTGGAGCGGCAGTGGCGAGACACTTGCCTGCCGGCTTCAAAGTCTGTGGCTTAAATCATTAACGAGTCAAATGTTTGTTATACCTTGGCTCGCAGGTTGATCCAGACTAAAAACTTGTTTCAGATAGCTCCTGGGAAGTAAAGGCGGCCAGCATAATGACCTCATCACCCAATGAGTGAAGAATGGTTTGTAAAGACATCAGTCAAGTAGCATTAGCCCAGGGGATCACTGGCATCAATAGTCAAGCAGCATTAGCCCAGGGGATCACTGGCATCAATAGTCAAGCAGCATTAGCCCAGGGGATCACTGGCATCAATAGTCAAGCAGCATTAGCCCAGGGGATCACTGGCATCATCAGTCATGTAGCATTAGCCCAGGGGATCACTGGCATCAATAGTCAAGCAGCATTAGCCCAGGGGATCACTGGCATCAATAGTCAAGCAGCATTAGCCCAGGGGATCACTGGCATCATCAGTCAAGCAGCATTTGCCCAGGGGATCACTGGCATCAACAGTCATGTAGCATTAGCCCAGGGGATCACTGGCATCAATAGTCAAGCAGCATTAGCCCAGGGGATCACTGGCATCAATAGTCAAGCAGCATTAGCCCAGGGGATCAGTGGCATCAATAGTCAAGCAGCATTAGCCCAGGGGATCACTGGCATCATCAGTCAAGCAGCATTAGCCCAGGGGATCAGTGGCATCAATAGTCAAGCAGCATTAGCCCAGGGGATCACTGGCATCAATAGTCAAGCAGCATTAGCCCAGGGGATCACTGGCATCAATAGTCAAGCAGCATTAGCCCAGGGGATCACTAGCATCAATAGTCAAGCAGCATTAGCCCAGGGGATCACTGGCATCAATAGTCAAGCAGCATTAGCCCAGGGGATCACTGGCATCATCAGTCAAGCAGCATTAGCCCAGGGGATCACTGGCATCATCAGTCATGTAGCATTAGCCCAGGGGATCAGTGGCATCAATAGTCAAGCAGCATTAGCCCAGGGGATCACTTAAGGAAATATCATCATCATCATAATGAAACCATCAGAGCATGATGACCACCAGAGCTTGTCATGGAAAGGACCATCTATAGCATAAAACACACAAAAAGAGATATAAAAAAGGAAAGCATTTCTTATCCAGGCTTCATAACCTTGAAAAGATGCAGTTCTGCAGTGAGCAGCATAGGGGTGGGGTGGGGGGGGGGGGGGGGGAGAACGAACGAACGAACGAACGAACAAACTTTATTTTCAAAGGGTTTCAAATTGGGCACGCAGGCCCGTCTGACATTCGGCCCTTCTAAGCACTCGTTTTCCGGAGTACCAATGCCTGTTATTTAAAATGCATGTTATAGATATAGAATAAAAATATACATTATAGAATATAATACATACATCATGTGTACACAATCTTACACACTCACAGACATATATATATATGCTCTAACATTCTCATACTTGCACACTCATATACAGACATACCTAAATATATACATCTACATATATACACAAACAGAAAAGACACACACATACATATATAGACATATATGCACACACACATTCCATACATACACACCTACACATGATGCATGCACACACACACACACAATCACATGTACAGACACCCACAACCACACATTCACACTCACATGTAAACATACATATACACATATACATACACACACCTACATCTTTACACACATACATGCATACATACCTACACCCACATACTTATACATCTACAAATGCATACACACATCCACAAACATGAATACATACACACACCCACATACATGCCGACACACATTACATACATACCCACACATGCATGCATAGACACATATACAACCACCCATACAGATACTTACATACATACTTCACTCATGTATACATACATTCATACTTGCCTACATTATGTACACACATACACTCATATACAGTCACACATACTTACAACACCTATACATAAATACACACACAAACAAACTTAAATATACATTTAATATATCCACATGCATGCATACACACACACCCACAATCACACACACCCATATAATGCATACATATATACACACACATAGATACTTTATATACATACATACACATACATAATACATTCCCACATACTTACATACATGCATACATTCATAAATACATACACATCCACAGCTACATATACCGACAAACATGCATATACATGTATGAATACACATACACCCATAGACTTACACAGATACATTTACATAGAAACATTCTCATAATACAGAGACATACATAATACATGCACCTACATACATATATGCACACATACATACATACATGGACTACATGTACATGCATACACACATCCATACATACACTCCATACATACACTCACATACTTACACACATACATACTTTCATACTTACCTAAATACACACACACATGCATGCATACATACACACACATACATGCATACATACACCGACATCTTTACATACATACATACATAAACAGACACACATGCATGCATACTTACATATACAATCGCCCATACAGATACCCACAGAGAGAGAAAGAGAGACAGACATAATGATCAATGACAATAAGGAATGTGTGTAGACAGCACTAGAATGGGCAGCAGATACCAATGGCAAATAAGACAAGAGACAACCCGATGCAGAAACAGTCGGCAAAACTTCTTCATGATTTTAGTCTGGGTCTTATAAATGGCCTCTGATATAAATGCCACGTGAGGAAAAGGAGAAAAATGGAGCACATCATAATGATAGGAAATGTGGAAGGGAAAAGAGGCAGAGGGAGACAGAGAGAGAGAAGATGCTGGACAATCTGACATCACAGTACAGAAGATCATCTGTGTCAGAAATGATTAAAATTCTACAGACAAAGGCTGAGCATTGACACGACTTCCAACATCACATGGCATTGATTATAAGTCTACAGACAGAAGGTTGAGGATAGAAATGACTTACGACATCACATGGCATTGATTATAAGTCTACAGACAGAAGTTTGAGGATAGAAATGACTTACGACATCACATGGCATTGATTATAAGTCTACAGACAGAAGGTTGAGGATAGAAATGACTTACGACATCACATGGCATGGATTATAAGTCTACAGACAGAAGGCTGAGGATAGAAATGACTTACGACATCACATGGCATGGATTATAAGTCTACAGACAGAAGGTTGAGGATAGAAATGACTTACGACATCACATGGCATTGATTATAAGTCTACAGACAGAAGGTTGAGGATAGAAATGACTTACGACATCACATGGCATTGATTATAAGTCTACAGACAGAAGGTTGAGGATAGAAATGACTTACGACATCACATGGCATTGATTATAAGTCTACAGACAGAAGGTTGAGGATAGAAATGACTTACGACATCACATGGCATTGATTATAAGTCTACAGACAGAAGGTTGAGGATAGAAATGACTTACGACATCACATGGCATTGATTCTATAAGTCTACAGACAGAAGGTTGAGGATAGAAAATGACTTACGACATCACATGGCATTGATTATAAGGCAGACAGAAGGTTGAGGATAGAAATGATTTACGACATCACATGGCATGGATTATAAGTCTACAGACAGAAGGTTGAGGACAGAAATGACTTACGACATCACATGGCATGGATTATAAGTCTACAGACAGAAGGTTGAGGATAGAAATGACTTACGACATCACATGGCATTGATTATAAGTCTACAGACAGAAGGTTGAGGATAGAAATGACTTACGACATCACATGGCATGGATTATAAGTCTACAGACAGAAGGTTGAGGACAGAAATGACTTACGACATCACATGGCATGGATTATAAGTCTACAGACAGAAGGTTGAGGATAGAAATGACTTACGACATCACATGGCAAAAGAAGAAGAAGTAATCAACTGGCACTAATGAAGGCCACCAATAAAAGCACATTTACTGAATAACATTGACAAACTGTTACTACTAAACTATGGCATCATGTGTCAATGGCTTGGATGACAAGGTAACAAGTCATGAAGGCATGCCCCACATAAAGACAAATCCTGATTGTGACAAAATGACAAACCATGAAAATAATACTGATAAAGACAAACCATGATGATGATCATGGCAGCATGACAAACTATCTATGAATATGATGCTGACAAAGAGAAACAACGTACGAATGATCCCAACAGGATGATGTCAAGCCATGCATAAAAAACAATGTGTGACGAGTGTCAGAGTTGTGTCACAGATAAGTTACGATGTCTGCCTACATCACTTACATCATTGTCGGGAACATCATCATCATCATCACCGTCCACCTGCGGATCCAAGTACAGAGAGGTCACATGTGTGCTGTCATTCATCTCCACTGTCCTATCCAACCTGGCACTCAGGGATGACGATGACAGCTGGTCCTGGCTGTCACCGCCAACAAGTAATGACAACGAGCCATGTCGTTCAGCAGCATCCCGTCCAGGTGACATCAGAGCACAGGAAGACACTGTCTCCAGGCTGAAGTCCCGCCCATTAGTTTTCACATCCAAACACACCCCATTACAAACTGCAGGATTTGAGGATGATGTCCCAGCAGACGCCAGTTGTAAACCTGATGAGGAAGGTTCTGGAAACCTTTCACTGCCCAACTGTAACAACACAGTGTTATTGCTGCCTCCATCAGATTTTGTTTTTTCATCAACTGGTGAGGGTTGCTCAGTTTCTTTCTCTTCAGAACTTTCCGTTCGACAGTCCATGTCCTGAATTCTGTCTGCAGACGAGGACTGTGGGTTGTCTCCATGACAACCAGAAAACAAATCTCGAACCAAACCACCAGCCTGTGCTTGAAAAGATGTCATGGTGTGGCTATGTCCAGCACACGATGATGATGATGATGGAGTTATCAGCGGGGCAGGATTTGAACCAGCTAATGAAAGTATGTCTGTGTGAGAACCAACCGCTGGTGGGGTGACTGCTGAAGTGGATGCCTCTGTTGTCGACGGCTGGGACATGACTGGTGGCAGGTCTAAGATCGAGGCTGCCTCTGCCAATGTCGCTGTGACATGCAGCATCGACTGCAACAAAGGATCAGATGACGACACCATGATGGAAGGAGAACAAACTTCGGTTGTGGCGGATGTGATATCTGGGTGAGGTGCTGCAGAAAACAGAAATGTGGATGGAGTGGGGGAGGGGTCAGGATCCCCTGAACGAGGGGTCAAGGTTAGATCCTCTTCTGGTTTGGTCCAGTTGTCCCAGTCGGTCTGCCACAGTTGGAACTCTGGGTCTGCATCTTCCCTGTAATAGAACAAAAATTCATTAAATATGGAGAACTGATACAATAGTCAGTTTAAGATACTGAGAACTAGTAGGAAAAGTAGTCACCTAATCAAGATACTGAGAGCTGGTATTAAAAACAATCAATCAAGATATCAAAAATTGGTATTTAAAAAAGAAAGAAAAAAAAAAGAAACAAGATGTTGAGAACTGATACTAAAATAAAATAAAAAAGAATCAATCAAGATAACAAGAACCGGTATACACACACACACAACCCCCCCCCCCCCCCCCCCCAATCAATCAAGATACTGAGAACTGGTATAAAAAATAAAAATCAAGATACTGAGAACTGGTATAAAAAATAAAAATCAAGATACTGAGAACTGGTATAAAAAAATAAAAATCAAGATACTGAGAACTGGTATTAACAAAAAATTTTTTTTTTAATCGAGATACTAAGAACTGGTATTTAAAAAACCCAATCAATTAAGATACTGAGAACAGGTATTAAAAAAAAAAATCAAGATACTGAGAACTGGTATTACAAGAATTAAAAAAGAATCAACCAAGATACCAAGAGCAGGTATACAGAAAAAAAATCAATCAATCAAAAAACTGAGAACTTGTATATTAAAAAAAAAAAAAAACATCAATCAAGATACTGAGAACTGGTATAAAAAAAACAATCAATCAAGATATGGGAGACTGGTATTGAAAAAAAAAAAACAACAATCAATCAAGATATGGGAAACTGGTATTAAAAAAAACAATCAAGATACTGAGAAATGGTATAAAAACAGCCACTCAATCAAGATACTGACAACCAGTATTTAAAAAAATCAATCAAGATACTGAGAACATATAAAAAACAATCAAGATAATGAGAACTGGTATAAAAAACAATTAAGATAATGAGAACTGGTATAAAAAACAAATAACCAAGATAATGAGAACTGGTGAAAAAAAACAATTAATCAAGATAATGAGAACTGGTATAAAAAAACAATCAATCAAGATACTGAGAACTGGTATAAAAACAATCAATCAAGATACTGAGAACTGGTATAAAAAACAATTAATCAAGATACTGAGAACTGGTATAAAAACAATCAGTCAAGATAATGAGAACTGGTATAAAAAACAAATAACCAAGATAATGAGAACTGGTGAAAAAAAACAATTAATCAAGATAATGAGAACTGGTATAAAAAACAATTAATCAAGATAATGAGAACTGGTATAAAAAAAGTTAATCAAGATAATGAGAACTGGTATAAAAAACAATTAATCAAGATAATGAGAACTGGTATAAAAAAAGTTAATCAAGATAATGAGAACTGGTATAAAAAACAATTAATCAAAATAATGAGAACTGGTATAAAAAAACAATTAATAAAGATAATGAGAACTGATATAAAAAAAACAATTAATCAAGATAATGAGAATTGTTTAAAAAAAAAATCAAGATAATGAGAACTGGTATAAAAAAACAATTAATCAAGATAATGAGAGCTGTTATAAAAAAACAATTAATCAAGATAATGAGAGCTGTTTTAAAAAACAATTAATCAAGATAATGAGAGCTGTTATAAAAAACAATTAATCAAGTCAATGAGAACGTATAAAAACACTAAATAAAGATGTAAGGAAAAGCATAGAAAATAATTTTAATTTTTTAATTTTTATTTTTCATCCAATTTCTGACAGAAGTTTTTCCATGCCATGATGGCAGATGTTTTTCAACACTTTCTCTCTTGCCCCTCCAACCATCCTGTTATCACAACTACAACTCCTGAAGATGTGCACATTAATTTGAAGACAAAAGCAGAGCTCCAGGCAAGCTCTTTATCCTGGGGTAGAAAAGGAAAGACAAGGACAGACGTGAGAAGGTGAGGAAGACAGTGGATGGTTGGCTGGCTTTTGGCTTGCACTAGAGTGTTTGTTGAGAACTAATGTGATATCCTTACTTGGAGATTTTGATCTGTCGGCGTGTGGAGTGTAGTGCTGCCTTGATAGCTTGAATAGCGGAGATCATCTCGTTACATTCACAGGCTATAGACTTGAGATGCTCCATAGAGCTGTCAGAGACGAAAGGAAACGATGGCAGTTCACCTCGCCGCTCCCAGCCCATGTCAAACATGTATCGACAACTGTCTCGGATACCTGAGGAATGATCACACGGACATTTGACAGCGAGGATATAGATAACAAGAGGAAGCAGACATACCAATCACACAAGGTTGAATGTATGAGGTAAAACAGACAAGACAGAAGTACGATGTAAAATATGGACAAGACACAAGGTAGAAATGTAAAACCTAGACAAGATACAGAAGTCAAACATAGACAAGACACGAGAAACACATGTCAAACATAGATATGACACAAGGTACAGATGTCAAACAGATAAGACATAAGGTACAGATGTCAAACACAGACAAAACACAAGATACAGATGTCAAACATGCACAAGACACAAACAAAGTAGAGAGGTCAAACATGGACAAAACACAAGATACAGATGTCATAAATGGACAAGACACAATGTTGAGAGGTCAAACATGGACAAAACACAAGATACAGATGTCAAACATGCACAAGACACAAGGTAGAGAGTCAAACACAGACAAAACACAAGATACAGATGTCAAAAATGGACAAGACACAAGGTTGAGAGGTCAAACATGGACAAAACACAAGATACAGATGTCAAAAATGGACAAAACACAAGATACAGATGTCAAACATGGACAAGATACAAGGTTGAGATGTCAAAGAAAGAGAAGACACATGGTATTGATGCCAACAATGGACAAGACACAAGGTACAGATATCAAACAGGTATATAAACATCAATCACAGACACAGCAAATAATCAGATGCTGAAAGTATAAACATCAATGGCTAAGCAGAAAGTACAAACATCAATGACTGTCTAAGCAAAAAGTAAAAACATCAATGAGAGACTAAACAGATAGTACAAACATCAATCAGAGGCTAAGGAGACAGTACAAACAACAGCACAGGATATCCACTGGACAGCAGACAGAAAGTACTGATGACAACAGCACAGGATATCCGTTGGACAGCAGACAGAAAGTACTGATAATAACAGCACAGGATATCTGTTGGACAGCAGACAGAAAGTGGTAATGTCAGAAACAGTACACTGACATGAACAGCACAGGATAGACCACTAGGACAGCACACAGAAAGTACTCTGTTCGGCAGACATAATCTGTTGGACAGGGGATAGCCTCCAGCATTGTTCCATGTGAAACTGGCCATGATTTCCCATGGTTCTCAGCCACTGAATGTATTCTCTCACTTTTTACATTTGGTCACAATAAGCTAAAAATCTGGTATTCAGTGACCACTTCTGCAATGCATGTTGCTTCGGTGAAAGCCATGCTCTGGTGGTTTTGTGTAGTTAAATAGCAATTATTGTCCCCTCCAGGCATCGAGAATTACATCTTTGGCTACTGAAGAACTTGAATCTATCCAGAATTACACGCAGTAGCAGTAACATTACTGGCTCAGAGTCCAGTATGTTAGTCACTCACTCTGTGTGATGCCTGTTCCAACCTCGGCAAGGCATAGTGTTTCCTGGCTTAAATGGTAACTACCCAGGCAAGTAGTATTTTTTATTTCTCAGCCCAAAAAATATTCCTCATATGACACATCAGCCTGGCATAGATGTCATAATGACAATACACAAACACATGAACAATTATTACCATTTCACAAGAGAAAATATCATAAACTGCACAGGAGAAAATTCAATTGTTCATCTAAATATTGCTTCCTTTGAAGTCGGTGTGTTTCTGTCTGAGAGACAAGACACCAACAGTCTGCATTCAAATAAGCCAGATCTGTAAAATGGATATGCACATAACACCCAGGTTCTGCAATAAGACTCAAGTCTAGAAGTGAAAAACAAGGGGAGCTTTCCATTAGAGTTTACAGCTGGTGAACACGAAGAAGAAGATGAAGAAAACAAATCCAAACATTTATGACTGCTCGGCGGGAAGTTTTCTGTTTCGATAATATATAATAAAATAAAAGCCAGGACACAATACACTGCCAACACTAAACTAATTCCAACAAACAACAATGCTGACCTCAACTCAACACACAACAACAGTGACCTCAACTCAACACACAACAACAGTGACCTCAACCCAACACACAACAACAGTGACCTCAACCCAACACACAACAACAGTGACCTCAACCCAACACACAACAACAGTGACCTCAACCCAACACACAACAACAGTGACCTCAACCCAACACTGACCTCAACCCAACACACAACAACAGTGACCTCAACCCAACACACAACAACTTTGACCTCAACCCAACACACAACAACAGTGACCTCAACCCAACACACAACAACAGTGACCTCAACCCAACACACAACAACAGTGACCTCAACCCAACACACAACAACAGTGACCTCAACCCAACACACAACAACAGTGACCTCAACCCAACACACAACAACAGTGACCTCAACCCAACACACAACAACAGTGACCTCAACCCAACACACAACAACAGTGACCTCAACCCAACACACAACAACAGTGACCTCAACCCAACACACAACAACACTGACCTCAACCCAACACACAACAACACTGACCTCAACCCAACACACAACAACAGTGACCTCAAAACAACATACAACAACAGTGACCTCAACCCAACACACAACAACAGTGACCTCAACCCAACACACAACAACAGTGACCTCAATCCAACACACAACAACAGTGACCTCAACCCAACACACAACAACAGTGACCTTAACCCAACACACAACAACAGTGACCTCAACCCAACACACAACAACAGTGACCTCAACCCAACACACAACAACTGTGACCTCAACCCAACACACAACAACAGTGACCTCAACCCAACACACAACAACACTGACCTCAACCCAACACACAACAACACTGACCTCAACCCAACACACAACAACAGTGACCTCAAAACAACATACAACAACAGTGACCTCAACCCAACACACAACAACAGTGACCTCAACCCAACACACAACAACAGTGACCTCAACCCAACACACAACAACAGTGACCTCAACCCAACACACAACAACACTGACCTGTATCATCAGTCCACTGGTCTCCCGAAGACCGCACACACAATTAACCACATCAGCCTCCATATCTTCATCCTCTGTGTCAACTGCCACAAACTCCTCCGTGGCACTATGGTGTGACATGTGAGGCTGCTTGCCATCTGCAGACAAACAAAAACCAAACCAAAGTGTCTTCTGACCTTCACCAAACAAATGGCATGGATGGTCAAGCTCTGCTAAACCAACGGTTAATTAACATTAAGAAGCATTCAGGTGTTGCTATCTGTCCACCCAACATACCAAACCATCTTACATACTTCACCATCCTCCTCTACGTGGCCATTATGGCAACCAGCTATCTCAGGTCCAGCCAACATACCAAACCATCTCAAAATGGTCACCTATCTATCTGTCCACATACCAAACCATCTTACATACTTCACCATCCTCCTCTACGTGGCCATTATGGCAACCAGCTACTGCAGGTCTAGACTGGCTTCACTGGGGAGACCTATTTCAACCGGGTAAAGATCTGACATCACAGATCAGCTGCCAGCTAAAGTATTACTACAATCACCACCAATGTTTTCTCAAGCAAATCTTTCAAGCAAAACCTCTGTAGCAGATGTTCAGATGTCATCCATTTGGTGTCTCTACAAGATGTCTAATATACCCCAGTAACTTATCTTAGTAAAATTTCACAGTAAATTATCATGGTAACATATCCCAGTAAATTATCATGGTAACATATCCCAGTTAATTATATCAGTAACATATTTATGTAAATTATCTCACTCACATATTCCCGTAAAATATCCCAGTAACATAATCATCATCAAATGCCTTGCCGACTTGTGGTTGTGATCATGCCTCTCCACAATCTGCAATCAGTTCGTGCGCTGACACCCCTCCATGCCATGGCAAAAGACTGTCAAGAATCTTCTCATGCTGTCTTCCTCTGTCTCTCTTCCCACTGATCTTTCCAGTGGTCACAACGTTTCATTTTCTCTCTTCTAACATGACCAACAAATCTCAGTAACATGTCTCAGTAGAATGGCTAACTAACACAGCTCAGTAATGTCTGCAACATGTTACACAGATAAGTTGAAGTAAACATGTATCACAAACAAATCAGAAACAGTGTGTCCAGCTCCTACCTGTCCACAAGTCTCGACCAAGGATATCAGGGCTTGTGGCTGCTGCCAACGAGGAGAACTCCGAGTCCCGGTAACGTTTACATGAAGATTTGCCCTTGGATGATACTGACACATCCGAGTCTGTAGAACCTGCAAAAACACCTCTATCATCACTTTTTGTTAGCAAACAGGGGACAGTACATAAGTGACAATTTCACTGTCCTCATTCTTCCTTTTCTTTGTGGGTTCCAGTATTTCATTATAGCTATCACAACTTACAGCGAAAGAAAAGAATGAAGATTTTATGTTAAAATATCTTAAATTTTTTTATATTGGAAAGAAAATGTTGAGAAATCTGGTCAAAAATTGTTATTCATTATCCAGAATTACCCTGTGACCCTCCAGGCAACTAAAACAGAGGAGGACCAATAAATATAAAGAGAAGTAAAGTAGAGAAAGGACAGAATACTGTGGAAGGATATAGATGGAGCTGCATGAGGCAGCAGAAGATATCAGGGCCAGGAATGCATTTTTTTAGGGCTGAAGTTCCAATGGGAAATCAAAAGCAGTAGCAGACGCAGATTTGTAAAACTACAAGGTGGACATTTTGAAGATGAACTATGAACCCCGGCTGGTTGGCGACGTGGTAAAAGAGGAAAAAACACATTTAGGTTTTGCTTGAGTTGATATTTAAGTGTGGATCCAGCCATGGGGGAATATATGAGACAATGGTTCAGACATGTTTACAATCAAGGTGTAAATGATCAGCATCAACATTCTGTGGCCGAGGAAGACGGAGCATCTATAGGTTTGCCTGCAGTGTTATAAAATGATGCTGATGCCCCAAAATAAAGAACCAAGAACTACAGACCAAATAAGAAACTAGTGAGAAGGACAGAGGATGGTGTGAAAGTGCGGACTACTATCATGAGGCAAATAATATGAGAAATGATGAGAATAAGTCCAGGTTGATGAGAACATTATTTTAGGGAAAGCAATGATGTGGAAAAGCTGAGTGTGAGTACAAATGGTCTGGATGAGACAAGTTGTGAAGACAAATGTCATAAATCAGGTTGTTATCAATCCAGCGGCACATGATCTTTTGCCCTTTGGCCCAATGCCATGTAGTGGAATTTACATGTTTTCACAAGCTGTTCTTTTCCTCCGTACAAGGTGTTCCACTTGTCTGGTCTCGGAGGGAGTAGAGCATAAATAACGTAAAAATAAACTTATGTTAATAAGGATCAGGAAATTACAGTGCTAAAATACTCACAAATAAACTTATGTTAATTAGGAACAGGAAATGACGTTGTTGAAATACTCACAAAAAAACTTATGTTAATTAGGAACAGGAAATGACGGTGTTGAAATACTCACAAATACTGCTTGTTTTCTTCCTTCTTTTCCTAATGCCAGGAGTTCCGACGGGCGACTGCAGTAGTGGAGATGTGACGCTTCCCATGGTGTCACAAGCCAAGGACCCTGCCGGCTCTGACTGTGTATGGTAATATTTGATGTGGTAAGTGAGCAGGTTTTCCTTGCGAAAAGCCTTGTTGCAGCCCTGATGGGGACACTTGAACGGGTTGTGATCCGCCTCCACGATGAAAGCCTTGGATGGGACGAACACTGGGAGAGGCAGAGGAATGTCTGCAGGTGGACCTGATGAAACAAGTCAGAGAATTTCAATGGAGAGGTCATCTTTAACAGACAATATGAATAACGAATTCTTGTAATCTAAAAATAAATAGTGAGGGAAATCTATAATTCTCAACTGGAAAATTATCTATATAATGTCAGAGCAGAAGCCTTGGATGACTGACTGATTGAAGGATTGAAGGATTGTAGAAAATGTGCTGTAACTTAAGAATCGGCTGAGTTGATGTTTAGCATGTCTTCAGACTGTTATAGACAATCTAACCAAGTGAAGTCAGCACAGAGACATTCATGCCAACCTGGTACCAAAGCATCTACTCCATAGATTGTTGCAGAGGGTAGCAACCATAAAATTTGTTGCAAAGCTGTTCTTCTCCCTCCAAGAGTAGCAACCATAAAGTTTAAGTATTACCAGTACACCTGGAACATTGGCCAGTCTGAGAACCCAGTCTGTGTATAGGCTACACGACAGAAATGCATGAGAACCCAGTTTGTGTATAGGCTACATGACAGAAATGCATGGGAACCAAGTCTGTGTATAGGCTACATGACAGAAATGCATGAGAACCCAGTCTGTGTATAGGCTACATGACAGAAATGCATGAGAACCCAGTCTGTGTATAGGCTACATGACAGAAATGCATGGGAACCAAGTCTGTGTATAGGCTACATGACAGAAATGCATGGGAACCCAGTCTGTGTATAGGCTACATGACAGAAATGCATGGGAACCAAGTCTGTGTATAGGCTACATGACAGAAATGCATGAGAACCCAGTCTGTGTATAGGCTACATGACAGAAATGCATGAGAACCCAGTCTGTGTATAGGCTACATGACAGAAATGCATGAGAACCTAGTCTGTGTATAGGCTACATGACAGAAATGCAGGAGAACCTAGTCTGTGTATAGGCTACATGACAGAAATGCATGAGAACCCAGTCTGTGTATAGGCTACATGACAGAAATGCATGAGAACCCAGTCTGTGTATAGGCTACATGACAGAAATGCATGAGAACCCAGTCTGTGTAGAGGCTACATGACAGAAATGCATGAGAACCTAGTCTGTGTATAGGCTACATGACAGAAATGCATGAGAACCCAGTCTGTGTATAGGCTACATGACAGAAATGCATGAGAACCTAGTCTGTGTATAGGCTACATGACAGAAATGCATGAGAACCTAGTCTGTGTTATAGGCTACACGACAGAAATGCAGGAGAACCTAGTCTGTGTATAGGCTACATGACAGAAATGCATGGGAACCAAGTCTGTGTATAGGCTACATGACAGAAATGCATGAGAACCTAGTCTGTGTATAGGCTACATGACAGAAATGCATGGGAACCAAGTCTGTGTATAGGCTACATGACAGAAATGCATGAGAACCTAGTCTGTGTATAGGCTACATGACAGAAATGCATGGGAACCCAGTCTGTGTATAGGCTACATAACAGAAATGCATGGGAACCCAGTCTGTGTATAGGCTACATGACAGAAATGCATGGGAACCCAGTCTGTGTATAGGCTACATGACAGAAATGCATGGGAACCCAGTCTGTGTATAGGCTACATGACAGAAATGCATGAGAACCCAGTCTGTGTATAGGCTACATGACAGAAATGCATGAGAACCTAGTCTGTGTATAGGCTACATGACAGAAATGCATGAGAACCCAGTCTGTGTATAGGCTACATGACAGAAATGCATGAGAACCCAGTCTGTGTATAGGCTACATGACAGAAATGCATGAGAACCCAGTCTGTGTATAGGCTACATGACAGAAATGCATGAGAACCCAGTCTGTGTATAGGCTACATGACAAAAATGCATGAGAACCCAGTTTGTGTATAGGCTACATGACAGAAATGCATGGGAACCCAGTCTGTGTATAGGCTACATGACAGAAATGCATGAGAACCCAGTCTGTGTATAGGCTACATGACAGAAATGCAGGAGAACCTGGTCTGTGTATAGGCTACATGACAGAAATGCAGGAGAACCTAGTCTGTGTATAGGCTACATGACAGAAATGCATGGGAACCCAGTCTGTGTATAGGCTACATGACAGAAATGCATGAGAACCCAGTCTGTGTATAGGCTACATGACAGAAATGCATGAGAACCTAGTCTGTGTATAGGCTACACGACAGAAATGCATGGGAACCAAGTCTGTGTATAGGCTACACGACAGAAATGCATGAGAACCTAGTCTGTGTATAGGCTACATGACAGAAATGCATGAGAACCCAGTCTGTGTATAGGCTACACGACAGAAATGCATGAGAACCTAGTCTGTGTATAGGCTACACGACAGAAATGCATGAGAACCTAGTCTGTGTATAGGCTACATGACAGAAATGCATGGGAACCCAGTCTGTGTATAGGCTACATGACAGAAATGCATGAGAACCCAGTCTGTGTATAGGCTACATGACAGAAATGCATGAGAACCCAGTTTGTGTATAGGCTACACGACAAAAATGCACGACAATCCTTGAAACCCTAACCAGTTTGAAAACCTGGGTAATATCTAATTACAATACAAATTACACTAACTACTTGAAAATGTGACTAATTTATAACAGTCTACTACTAACTACATGTGATTACATCCATGTAAAAATGTAATAAATTACTTTTCTTACCATAGCTTGCTGCACACAAATTAATTATTTTTGGTGAGCTTTTGACTTGCAATAAAAAGTTACATTCAAACACATATAAATCTGGCTACAGCTGAACTTACCAACAACTGTCGCTGTGTCCAGTGATTTTGTCCTGTCCAGCTGGCTCAGTTTAGGTCTGCGTTTGATCAGACCCCCAAATTTGGCTGCATCATCTTTAGATTTGGATCGTCTCTTCCTCCTGGCATGCAGATGAGGCATGGTATTGGACCGCTTCTTGGTTCTCTTGGAAACCATAAGCTGTGTCTCCACTAGATAATGTACACCAAATATTTGAGTGAATGAAAATGCGACAGGTCTAGTCACTTATAAATGATCCTATAACACATAAAGTTAACTATAATCGACCTTATGAAACATATAGTCAACTAGAATTTATCTTATTACACATCTAGTCAAACAGAATTAATCTTATTACACACTTAGTCAACTATAATTGATCTTGTAACACATCAAGTCAACTATAATTGATCTTGTAACACATCAAGTCAACTATAATTGATCTTGTGACACATCAAGTCAACTATAACTGATCTTACAACTCATCTAGTCAACTAGAATTGATCTGACTGAACAAGCTTCACCTCAAAATAAGTTAGGGTATCAGATATCTCGGCTGCCTGTTCAGTCTGTCAGATCTGGTGACGGTGCTGTAGAGCTCACGCTCCTTTCTCCGAGCTCAGAAGCCATCACCAGGGGAAGTCACTACTACCATCTACAAGTCCAGTAAGACAGTACTGCAATCTCAACATTCAATAAGCTGGTTATCCTCTCAAATTCTTCTTCTTCTTCTTGCGTTTGCTTGAAATAGATTATCTATATCTGCAATGTTGTCTCTAGTATGAAATTTACTGTCTGTTGTAATTCAATCAGCGAACTGTAAAGTTTGGCTTGCACCGATGATTTTCTTGGCCCACAGTTTTGCCGTGATATGTTGCATTTGGGACTGTCTTGAGGACCTCATCTGTTGTTTCAGATGCTAATCCACATGCACACATGGCTGATTTGCCAATCCTAAATTCTGTGTACAACTGTGTTGCGAAGTCGACTGTGTCCTGTTCTAAGGGGTACAATGATGACTTGCTCTGGTCTGTCCATTTCTTGTCCTATCATTTTGAAGACAAAGCACCACCTTCTAAGTTTAATATATTAATGCAAAATTTTATAGAGTGAAGTAAGATAGCACAAACATCTTAAAATGAAGTCAGATAGTAGTACGATCAGAAACAGCAAAGAGACAACAAAGAGAGATAAGAGATACCTGGACGACTGCAAGCTGATGCATTAGTTGCCATGTTATCTGTGGCTGCCACGGCTGCTGACTCAAACTGTGGCAGACGGGACAGGTGGGTGACTGCCCCTGGCAGCGACTTGGTGGCTGATGTGTCTGTGGGTGGTGCTGTCATTGGCACAACTGATGAGGGGTCCGTGGTCACTGCAGTGGCAGCTAAGTCTGAGGCAGAACTTGGTAACTGTGTAGTTTTCACTGGTGCCACAAATGCTGACTTCCTCTAGAAACACATGAGACTTTTTGTTGTAAAACTGTTGTTCTTAAGAACATAAAACAATGATTAAAATGAACAAGGATTTTCTTCTTCTTCTTTTCTTTGTTTATCCGAGTGATGTAATTGTTGCTATGCCTGATTACAGCAAGACTGGGATAGCTGTACCTTTTAACCGAAACATCCATCTTCCTTGAGCATTTGCTGACGGGCTTCACTTGCCGGGAAAAGGGATCTATATTTGTGCTCCAGTGACTATTCTAAAACACTTTATTAGGTACACTGTTTGGCAGCTTTCCATCTTTATAGACATTAGTGTTGATACTGTTCTATGTAGAGACATAAGAACACAGCCCACGGCGACGGCGACCAGCAAGACCCACCCACATACAGAAAACCCTTCTCTCCACAACACAATGCCTGGGCAATGTGGTCACCACCATGCCTATTGTAGAAGGTTAACACATGAGGAAATAATCTCAATGTGTACAAATGTTAAAACTGATGACAAATGCTTGAGAACACGAACGCACACACACACACACTCGTTCATGCATGCACATGTGCACATGCACACACACACACTCACAGGTGTATGCATGCATGTGTGCATACAAACACACACACAGAGCAACCTTAACATTTGACTACCAAAAGGGAACCTTAACATATTATACCTGAGAGGCAAGGAACCAACAATCTGCACACATTTAGTCAGACAGTGTAAAAGGGATGTGCACCAACACTCAAGTTCTAGAACAAGACTAAAGTCCAGAAGTGGACAAACAACCAGAAGATTTTGCCAGAGCTACAGCTGGTGAACGTGAAGAAAAACAAATTTTACAAAGTATTATACCAGATGTTAGACATGGCTGTGTAAGATCAATGATCTCTTTAGTTTGTGCAGTGAAATAATGAGATCCACCCAAAATGTGAGAGGAACCTCTGTTGATGGGTATAACACAGAACAACCTGCCACAGGGTGAAGTCACAACAACCTGCCACAGGGTGAAGTCACAACAACCTGCCACAGGGTGAAGTCAAAACAACCTGCCATAGGGTGAAGTCAAAACAACCTGCCATAGGGGAAAGTCACAATTTTAACAGCGAAAATGTAATGCAGTTACAGTAAATAATGGAAATAATTGCAACAAAAAGTCAAAATAAACAGCCGAGTGGGCAATGCAGAAACTGAAGTAATAGTGGTTAAAAGAAACCACATCCTCCACACTGCAACAACAACAAAAGTAATTGGGACTATTCTGGAAGCCATACCTAACACAAGACATGTGTCGACACCAGGCATACTGAAGACAAAGCCTTCATCAACCAGACACGACAGACTGGAGATACATCTTACCTCAGCCGATAACTTCTTGAATGCTGGAATCCTCCAGGAATAGGCAAGCTTCTTGTTTTTTCTGCAAACATCAGACAGATTCTAACAAACATGTACAAGGCAGTCCAGCTGATATGAGAGAATTTTGTAACATCTGCCAAACTCCAGTTTGACCAACAAGACAGCCCAGATTATGTCGGAAAAAAGAAGAAATCTGGCCTAAAAGAGGTTGCTGTGTGGCAAGTCAAGTGGTCTCTGAGTGTCTTCCTGGCAAGCTAAACATGTGTGTCTTCATAGTAAATGATCTGGATATGCATCTGTCTAGTGTCCGAAGCTTCCACCTTGCAGTATTTCTTGTTACCTACAGACTGCACACAAGCAACGCTGAGACAGGCACTTGGTCACACAAAGACACCATGCTGTTTGCCATGTGCCCTGAAGGTCTTGGTTTTGTTTAATGAACACACTGTTCAGTTCATGAGTAAATTTTTTACAGATTCCTGGGGATCAATGCTGGAGCTACTGTGTTCATGCTTTGTGTAACACTCCCAGCAGATGGCTAGCTGTTCAGTGGAAACAGACCAAACCATATAGAATAAGCCGGGGTAGTGAAGTTGATTCTCTTGACTTTAACTAAGACAGCAAAAAGACAAATGTGTTACAAATGAATCCGGTCAGCCTGAGGAATCCTAAATGAGGATGTTGTCAGCTGTATACAGATCGTGAGCTTTCTTTATGCTATAACTGTCCTCATCATCATCATGTAGCAGGTCTTTTGCAAAAGGTCACTCTCCATCACGGTCTACATGAAAGAAACTAGGTGTCTCGCCAGCTCTCCTGCCTCACGCACTGTCATATCTAAGAATCTTTATGTTGGTCATCCCCTGCCTCTCCTTCCTAACCCCATCTCCATGTTGGTCATCCCCTGCCTCTCCTTCCTGGCCCCATCTCCATGTTGGTCATCCCCTGCCTCTCCTTCCTGGCCCCATCTTCATGTTGGTCATCCCCTGCCTCTCCTTCCTGGCCTCATCTCCATGTTGGTCATCCCCTGCCTCTCCTTCCTGGCCCCATCTTCATGTTGGTCATCCCCTGCCTCTCCTTCCTGGCCCCATCTTCATGTTGGTCATCCCCTGCCTCTCCTTCCTGGCCTCATCTCCATGTTGGTCATCCCCTGCCTCTCCTTCCTGGCCCCATCTTCATGTTGGTCATCCCCTGCCTCTCCTTCCTGGCCCCATCTCCATGTTGGTCATCCCCTGCCTCTCCTTCCTGGCCCCATCTCCATGTTGGTCATCCCCTGCCTCTCCTTCCTAACCCCATCTCCATGTTGGTCATCCCCTGCCTCTCCTTCCTGGCCTCATCTCAATGTTGGTCATCCCCTGCCTCTCCTTCCTGGCCCCATCTCCATGTTGGTCATCCCCTGCCTCTCCTTCCTAACCCCATCTCCATGTTGGTCATCCCCTGCCTCTCCTTCCTGGCCCCATCTCCATGTTGGTCATCCCCTGCCTCTCCTTCCTAACCCCATCTCCATGTTGGTCATCCCCTGCCTCTCCTTCCTGGCCCCATCTCCATGTTGGTCATCCCCTGCCTCTCCTTCCTAACCCCATCTCCATGTTGGTCATCCCCTGCCTCTCCTTCCTGGCCCCATCTCCATGTTGGTCATCCCCTGCCTCTCCTTCCTGGCCCCATCTCCATGTTGGTCATCCCCTGCCTCTCCTTCCTGGCCCCATCTCCATGTTGGTCATCCCCTGCCTCTCCTTCCTGGCCCCATCTCCATGTTGGTCATCCCCTGCCTCTCCTTCCTAACCCCATCTCCATGTTGGTCATCCCCTGCCTCTCCTTCCTGGCCTCATCTCAATGTTGGTCATCCCCTGCCTCTCCTTCCTGGCCCCATCTCCATGTTGGTCATCCCCTGCCTCTCCTTCCTAACCCCATCTCCATGTTGGTCATCCCCTGCCTCTCCTTCCTGGCCCCATCTCCATGTTGGTCATCCCCTGCCTCTCCTTCCTAACCCCATCTCCATGTTGGTCATCCCCTGCCTCTCCTTCCTGGCCCCATCTCCATGTTGGTCATCCCCTGCCTCTCCTTCCTAACCCCATCTCCATGTTGGTCATCCCCTGCCTCTCCTTCCTGGCCCCATCTCCATGTTGGTCATCCCCTGCCTCTCCTTCCTGGCCCCATCTCCATGTTGGTCATCCCCTGCCTCTCCTTCCTAACCCCATCTCCATGTTGGTCATCCCCTGCCTCTCCTTCCTGGCCTCATCTCAATGTTGGTCATCCCCCTGCCTCTCCTTCCTGGCCCCATCTCCATGTTGGTCATCCCCTGCCTCTCCTTCCTAACCCCATCTCCATGTTGGTCATCCCCTGCCTCTCCTTCCTGGCCCCATCTCCATGTTGGTCATCCCCTGCCTCTCCTTCCTAACCCCATCTCCATGTTGGTCATCCCCTGCCTCTCCTTCCTGGCCCCATCTCCATGTTGGTCATCCCCTGCCTCTCCTTCCTAACCCCATCTCCATGTTGGTCATCCCCTGCCTCTCCTTCCTGGCCCCATCTCCATGTTGGTCATCCCCTGCCTCTCCTTCCTGGCCCCATCTCCATGTTGGTCATCCCCTGCCTCTCCTTCCTGGCCCCATCTCCATGTTGGTCATCCCCTGCCTCTCCTTCCTAACCCCATCTCCATGTTGGTCATCCCCTGCCTCTCCTTCCTGGCCTCATCTCAATGTTGGTCATCCCCTGCCTCTCCTTCCTGGCCCCATCTCCATGTTGGTCATCCCCTGCCTCTCCTTCCTAACCCCATCTCCATGTTGGTCATCCCCTGCCTCTCCTTCCTGGCCCCATCTCCATGTTGGTCATCCCCTGCCTCTCCTTCCTAACCCCATCTCCATGTTGGTCATCCCCTGCCTCTCCTTCCTGGCCCCATCTCCATGTTGGTCATCCCCTGCCTCTCCTTCCTAACCCCCCATCTCCATGTTGGTCATCCCCTGCCTCTCCTTCCTGGCCCCATCTCCATGTTGGTCATCCCCTGCCTCTCCTTCCTGGCCCCATCTCCATGTTGGTCATCCCCTGCCTCTCCTTCCTAACCCCATCTCCATGTTGGTCATCCCCTGCCTCTCCTTCCTAACCCCATCTCCATGTTGGTCATCCCCTGCCTCTCCTTCCTGGCCTCATCTCAATGTTGGTCATCCCCTGCCTCTCCTTCCTAACCCCATCTCCATGTTGGTCATCCCCTGCCTCTCCTTCCTGGCCTCATCTCAATGTTGGTCATCCCCTGCCTCTCCTTCCTAACCCCATGCCTTGTGCTATTATTTTTGTCCTAATCCGCCATGGTGCTTGATATGGCCAAAATATTTCAGCTGCTGAGAACACCCCTAAATTTGTGAAACAAGGTCTCTTTCTTCAGCCCATTTTATTCCAACTAGGACAACAACAATAACAACAACAATAACAACAACAACAACAACAACAACAACAACAACAATAACAACAACAACAACAACAAGAGTAATTAATCTTTAAACAAACTGACCAAGAGGAACTGATTGCCCACTTCAGGAGGAGACAATCAACA